GATTAATAAATTAATAGAAACGAATCTTAGAATTTTTATTTCGAGATCCTTGACCAAACGACCAATCCTGAAACTATTTAAGATCGGGAATTATCACTCCTTTCTTTCAATAAACGTTAAGATCAATTAAGAAAAAGATGTCATTTAACATCGCTAGATATTTTTCAATAATAAATGAATCGAATATTGGCATTTATATTTCACGATCCTTGACCAGATGACCAATTTCAGTTCTCCACTTGATACCATTACGAGTACAGAGCGTTTCGAATACGAAACCGAAAATAAGTCTTGCAAGATCGATCCTGTTGAAATTTCGTACGGTATATCGCACAAGTATCGATCGAGGTCATAGTTCACGGGGCGAGATGAACCATAAAACGGCGCGCACACCTGCGTATCGTAAACATGACGTCACGAGACGAAGCGAGGGTGTAAACTCGCGTACACTCCCGGCGCAGTGTATCGGCTACACTGGTCTTGACGTAACCAATTAGTCGAGGAATTACCGCGACTACGATCTGTTCAAATTATTGCTCGCCGAACTCTCTTGCCTTCCGACACGACACTTAAGAACCGTTCACCTGATTCTTCCTTCGTTCACATTCCAAATCATTATCATTTCAGCATTAGAATAATTATTCGGTACATGAAACGTACTATTACAATATTTGTAATAGACGAAATAGTCGATAGAAATTTCGTAGCGCAGGAAAAACCGGTTAACTCGTAGCTTAACTTGAAACGGCGTTACAAACGTTAGCAAGGAGAGAAAGATTAGCATAAAGTTAGCCCGATACGCATGCACGTATGTTCGAAAGTTAAGTTCGCTGCCGGCCCTACGCTCCCCAGATACCCTGTCCCAGCTGAAGTCACATTTCGATATCAGCTTAATATCGTATTCCGGAAACGTCATCGACACTAGAATACAATTTCTTGCTGGTAACTATAACGAACTTATGCCATCGCTCGAAACTCGCAAATCACTGCTCGACGTAAGAGTAAAAATACTATCAGAGATCGTACAGAGAGAACGCGACGTAAGTTTCACCTCTGTACAATGTAAATCGATGTTTGCTGCGAAAGAGGTTTATCGAAGATCGAGGATCTGACCAGTGAAAGCGCGCGTGGAGTTTGCCTATTCGAATCGAGGTAAAGGTAAAATAAGAAGAACGATAAAACAGTTGTTATTCGCGGCGCAAACGAATGAGGAAAGCCTGGAGGAAGTTTGCGAGGTTCGCTAATAACTCCAGGGTACTGCTCGTTGTCGAGACGCTTTAGTCTCCGTGGTAAAACTTGGTAACTCGAGGAGATAAAGGTAGCGCGAGTCAGTGTCCCGAGGCCATACTAACGATCCTTCTCCTAAATCGCACCCGTATCTCGTCTCTTCCCTCAAACGTCTCTCCGAAATCGAGCTCTGTCAGCCCTACTCTTTACGATCGAGTTATCTCCGTCTCTGACAAATTTTCCGAATTTATCTATTATCATTGTTATTTGATGAAATCGAGACGTGCCGAGAGCTCGGGATCAGTTCGAACACGAGAGTATGATTATAAGTGAGAACTACCAAACGTAATCATAGCATGGAACGCGTACAAAGGCTAGTTGTCCCATTCTATGATCCACGTCTGGTTATATGCACCGAAACGCAAATGGGGGAGAAATTGGCAAGCCAAAGTGCATCAGAAATCAGAGATCAAACATTCAATCCAACTTTGATCTATTATCGGTAATGAGAGTGTAAATTCGAATTCAGTTTTCGCATAAGAATCGAGATTAACAAAATGAGGAGGAAGCAATTAGAAAGCAAAACAACGACGACGTTACCTCGCTGATAATTACGAGACACGCTTGCCCGGCAATGAAGAAAATAATTACGGCCGGCGGCGCGAGATTAAAAAAGCATGCAATTTTTGCGCCAAGCATTTTTCGAGCGCGCTAGTCGAATAAACGAGAGAGAGTTGATTTACAACACGCGCCAGAATGTTTCCCCCGCAACGCGTATTATACGTGCGCGGTAGTATGTGTATTTATGCGAGATCGTTCGTTGCGAACGGGTTGGCTAAACCCTCTTCCACTGGCTATTCCTCTGTGTACCGTGTACTGTGTACCGATGCCCGATGAAACGCGATCGTTATGGGACGCGAGAATTAGGAAGATTACTCGAAATCCTTTCGACATATTTCGTACAGTTAATTTGACGCTCGCAACGTTACTAGTCATGCTGCAACATTTTCTGTGAATAAGATCGACGTCCTTCGATGAGGCTTGAAGATAAAAGCTCAAAAAGGAAGATATAAATCGATGATAAAGTATTTGGCACTGGGTAAAATTTCTGACAACTTCTTACCGAGACGACTCTCGAAAGAGAGAGGGAGATTATGTGAGTTGAATTATTTGAATAAAATCCAACGAGCGTTCAATGATAGCTGCTGGTACAAGTGAAAATTTATGATCAAGGCCTGTACGTACGTCCGAGCAGCAGATACGATCGTGTACGTGCACGTGCACGAATTTAGGTTTGTATAATGCCCTAGGTGTAATTCGGAATGCATGCGAGATCACAGATACGGTATCGCGTTTGTGTACCTCACCAATTAGAATTTCGAGTATCTGCGATTAATTCGCGAGCGCGTTTCCATATTCTTGTTTGCCCTAAATGTGTTCGCGTATACTTTCAACGGTTCGGCACGTGAAATTAATTCGATGAAAATGTCGAACCTCTGACCGAAAGTACTCGCACAGAAAGTTAGTCCGCAGTAGAAGAGTGCGATCGTAGTGAGACCCACTCCGACGTTTTTCCCGATCCTCTGTACTTCCGGCTTTTACGTCGATGATCCGTTCTCGCTGACACAAATCGTGATGAAACTGAAAAATTAAACCGAGAGACGATTCGAAGGTATTTCGATAGGTGTACTCGCACGTTCGAAACGAGCTTGTATCCACGCGTGTAAAGGGCGTAAGAGGAGAAGCAGCAGCGGCAGCGGTTCAGGAAGGGAGAAAGCCAGAGGTCCCAGGGGTGGACGGTGAGCTGTGCCACGAGCCGCGGCAGCTCGTCACCTGGGACAGCCGTATATCGGGCGAGTACAGTCGCACCGAGAAAGTGCCATTGTACCTAAAGCCGTTTTCCTTGCTCTTGATCAAGAGCCATTCGAGAACAACCGCGGTTCGTGACTCGAAATGCTCCTCTCCTCGCCGAGGGATCCGCGCGCTGATAGATAATGTCCTCGAGGAATCGAGTTCTATTAAATTTCTCTGGCCTCCTTTTCGGTGACCAGACGAAAAATTCGATCGAATCTTTCGGAATTAATTAAATTTAATCCTGTCACGAATCGAATTGTCTGTTAAATAAGTAAGACGCGACGGTCGAAACGAGATGAAACATGCACAATGGAGAAGAACGGCTCGAAACGAAATCCGAAAGAGAGAAACGGAGAAGAAGTACGTACGTTGAAGAAAGAACAGAATAGAAGAGGAGAACGGGAGAGAACGAGGTGGTCTAAAGGGGTGGCCGAGGGTGGAAAGTGCGAAGAGGCAGCGGGGCCAGATCCCATGGGACTCTGTGCTCTCCTCTGGTGCTGCCAGCACTCCGGGAACGAGCCGAGGCGAGGCGAGGAGAGGAGAGACGAAGGAAGAGGGTAGACTACGAGAGGAGACCAAGAGGAAAGAGGGAAGAGGGAGAACTAATCAGCTCGACGCATGCGCGGTGGGCTGCTATGCCCGGTCCCTAGGGGCTCCCCTGGCATTCCCCATAATATACCCTTGCCCAACTCCCCTCGCGTGCTACCCTCTTCCCTCCTCCTCGTCTCACCTCTGTGTCCCTGCTGTTCTTCCTCCCTGAGCGCCCTCTTTACCTATGTGTCCTGTTCCTCCTGCACCTCTCCGATCCTAAGTCGTGTACCAGGTACAGGACTTCCGAACCTCCCCCGGGAATACAGAAAACTCTCCTTTCCTCCCTCTCTTTTCTAGTCGCTGCTATCGCTCTGGTCATATTTACTTGTTTATCGACGTTAAAACAATGAGAACGGTAAAAATTCGTACACGCGTTCTTCCATTACTGAGAACGTTTTGCAAGGACAGGGAGAACGTATCTATATGGTATATCAGTAATTTTCAAGAGACGAGTTTCCGCGTAATCTTCCTACCGCATTCTCGCATTTCGTCACTCGCCATCGGAAGAAGTCTCCAGCTATTCCCGCTGGGAGAACCCAGATCCCCCATTTTCTTAATGCCAAAGATTTCAATTACCCATTCGTTACGAGCCCGGGATTCGTAGCACGATCAATTTCCACGACAGGAAGGACACACGACCTCCGAATCTACCGCCAGTCACTGTCCCTGTCTGTTAACCCACGAAGAAAGCTCGCGTAATCCCGTTAACGAGTCCGCAAACGATTTTCGGGCATCGTAGCATTTCGTTAGTTTGAAACAACCATGCAACTGTTCGCTATCCGCATATAAGAGTATAACTGCAACGCATCGTATCTCGTTTTTCCCCGAAGAGAACGAGGATCCCGACTTTTATCCGTTCCTCGTTGCACCGGCCGATTATTATTTCAGCTTACCTTTCGCCAAGTGTACTTACGTCCGCTTTATACTCCAAGGTAAAACCGGCTTGGAGGAGCCTGGAACGAGGTTGTATCCCCGAGGAGGCGACCGCCTCCCAAGGGAGATGCCTCGACGGCTCCACTCTTTCCTACTCGCGCAACCTTACTCGAGCCTCTGTCCTCGTTCCCCGTGCTCTAGAGCAGTCTAGAGCACCGGGTCTGCGCTACAGCCAGCGAAAACATCGAGGTTCCTTCGTTTCCTCGATAAATACGTGGCCTTTCTACGCCAACGCTGCTCGTTACAAATAAAATGAACCGAACCTAACCGGACGCGCTTATTAACTCGCGTTACAGTCTTTTTCTCACGATCACTGATGCTTTTATAAACGGGACGAGCATCGTACTCGATGACCCGACGTCCATCGAAACGTGTACGAATTTAATTGATATAAATAACGATGCATCAAATCAGATTACGGATATTAAATGAAAAGGGCATATGCGTCTAGGAGGAAAATTGTGATGCAACGCGTTGCAGCAATTCCTCTTGGAATGGTAATAGGGGCTCAGGTGGCAAAGGTGATCCAACCGTGCTTATTATGTCGATATATCCTGTCGAAAGTACCGGCGAGAACGATGCTGTCTTAACGATATTGTACATACATAGATCCTTTTATTTCCGTTAAAAAATATGTCCGAAATGAGCAACGATGAATCGGGTATTAGTCGAAAAATTGTTCGCTCGCAACGGTGGACCGTCGAACGAAACCGCGATAAATCACAATTACCGGAATTATATCGAGTTTCTGTCGCGCGTTCCCTGGCATTTCGAAGCTCGTCGAAAATTCTTGCTTCGGGATTTAAGCCTGTTGCCGTCGCTCGCAATTAGATGACCCGAAGAATCTCTAGGACCGATAGGCACGAAGCGGTGTACGAAAAACTGGCAAATTTCTAAAGGAAAATCGGTATATCGAGGAGAAAATTCGAGTGCTCGAAACGAACGGGACGCGGTCGCACGCCAGTCGTAAGAATCCTTCGGGACAAAGGGAATCCCATATTCATAGAGTGTAAGGTGGGTGATGCAGTTCTTGAACGAGTACGTAGCTACGAACAATGACGACGCGTCTGAACGCATTGTTGCGTCGCGCGCGCAACCCAATGTCCCGCGAGAACTGATAAAAGTAATGCACCAGAATGCGCAACGACCGAGCCCACCCCTCGATTCTTCACCCATTGTTGCCGACGATTCTTGTCTTCCAGTCGCTGCCGCATTGTACCGAGTCTATTCCACGGATATTATGATTCTCTCACTGGGTTAACCGCGACCGGTATACATTTCTTTTATTTCCCCTTCCAGCGATTTACCCTGAGCCGCGAGTATGCAGTGACTCGTGCGATTGATCGATGCATCTCACACTAATAACGTTCCCCTAAAAGATTATCCATTGTATGAAAACCGCGTACAAGTTCTACTTTGAATCGATCGCTTGGCCACTGCATTTCACGATGAATATATTAATTCGCGTTAGCAATTGTTAAAAGAATTTCGCTCACCATCGGAATGACGACTGAAGGCCCTTTGCAGCTCCTCCTCCTCCTCTTCCTCCTCCTCGTCATCCTCTGGAATCAATCCGATCGAAACCGTAAATTGTGGAACAAAACTAAAGAAGGAGCAGAGAGAAAGTAGAGACCAAGTGTAAACGTTTGCTAAGCGTTTAAAAAGTAACACTCACGCTTAATTCCCGTTGTCTCATTATCCTGCTCGGTTACCGCCAGGACATTCTGCTCGTTCCCGTCGTCCCACTCCTCGTCTCCTGCGGAGAAACGAGCGGACCATTAATTCTATTTCATTTGCATATTACCGGAAGAATAAAATCTGTATTTACGAAAAGAAGAGAAGAGAGAGAGCACGGCTGATTCTCTTCTCCTCTCCGAGCTTGCCAACAAGCTTTTTTTCACGCAATTTAAACGAGCGTAAAAGGAAATTTCATGTGAAAAATACAAAAGCAAATCGGCTCGCTCGTTTGCTGCGTATACGTATAGGTAGTGTATATCATTAAAAGCGAAACGACCCGACGAGCCGTGTTTTCAGCGTGAAATATAGTACAACGCATCGATGCGACACCCAACGTGTACCAGAGTCATCCGTTTGTCACGTGGAACCACAAAATTAAACTTAAAAAATTGCATCCCTGTCCACGTGGCCAACAGGTCGTTTGTCAGTTTTGCATCTCTCGACCCTCTCTTTCTCATACCTTCGCTTCTATCAATTGCCAGGCAATGATAAGTATCTTCATTCATCTGTCTCGCGATTCTCGCAGAAATGGAAAATTCTGAAAACTGCTGGCGAGACGACGGAATAAAAACCGAATTTCGTGCATTCCCTCGATCAGAGTAATCGGGAAAGTTTGATGAGGCGAAGAAAAGTTGAAGAGAGGCCGGGAGTAGCATTAGACGAGAAACAACAGAGAGAGTAGGGAGCGGAGGTAAGTATACGTATGGTCTTAAATATTCTACAAGACATCAGCCAAGGCAGCCGGCACCCTTCGATCGAACCTTTGCACCCTCTGGCCTGTCAGCTGTCAAGCAAACTCTCTCATCTTCCGTACCACCATCTACGTTTCCTCCGAAGTTAATGCCTCCTCGATGCTCCATCCATCACTCTCCGCGAGGACTCTACTGTCTTGTATCCCTAATTGACTCGAATTTCAACGAACCCTATATTTTTTAACCGGTTCACCGTCATTCTCGTTTGTTCTCTCGCGCGTCGACTAAGAATGAGACTAAGATGTATCGCTTCGATCACAACTATAATTCTATCATGAATCTCTTTCGGATACTATCCCTCAAGGATAGGAGGTCCATAAGAGAGGTGTGCTTTATGTCTCACATCATAGGAGGCATCATCGACTGCCCTTACTCTCATGGAGCAAATTAGAATGCATGTGCCTCCCAGACCTCTTAGACCTGTCCCCACTTTTAACATACCGTGACTATCCTCGAGGTGGCGAGCTTGACCCGATCACTAGGTCTTGCAGGACAGTCAATGAATCAGGCTCAATCATTGATGGAGTTACATTTGTTAAAAGGGAAATACGCAACGCCTTGACTCCTACGCGCGTTTCTTCTCGCTAATATTCCCCAAACATTTACTGTATCATGTTATACTTGCTAGTCCTAGTCTCAATCACTTTCTGATTCATTTCGTCCTTTTTGTTATACTTATTTAGAATTTTATATATGTTTTCTTTTCTTTTCTTTCTCTTTTTATTTTATCTTATGTTCATTATTTTTATTGTATTCTTTCTATTGTTATATTCTTTATGTAATAATAGGCTCTATCCGTGAAATAAAGTATTATTATTATCATAAGAGAGAGAGATTGAATAGCAATACGAAAATCGTTGATACAGAAAAGGAATAGAAATCAGAAAACCGACTGTAACGACAACGACGTTGATCGGGGATGAAGTATAGGTCGATATGGGTCAGTGAAATATTTTCGGTATCCGGTGCGCGTGTAAGTATTCGATTTATCATAAATATCGTTAACAATACGGTGACGTAAACGGGGAAAGACAGTCCGGTCTGGACGATAATCGTAAAGGTAAAGAGGATCGGGTTATCGTCCCGACGTGTGCGTTAGATGCACAAATACAATAGAGGTAAGAAGCGACGTGATACGAACGGTCCTACGTACGACGAGGACGTAAGCTCTCGAAAATACAGCTCGCAATCTCGAGCCCACCCCCTCGAGTCTGGATAACGTTAAACGGATGTATTATTATGACCCACGTAGCTGCCTCGTCCGGGAATAACTGCATATTGCGGCTTAACCCTGTACGTTGTACTTTCGATAACGCTAGATGCATTCGCGGCTAAAACGGAACTACGGAAAGTCGATTCTTACATTTTTTTTAATGCGTTCTTACAATTTTCTTTACGACGAAGTCTCGTACCCGATTAGTACACGAAAGGACGGCGGGTTTGAAGCGAACAAAACTTGAAGATCATCTGAACCGATTCGAAATTTATATTCGCGACTGTTAAAACATTTCTGCGGGAGATGCAAAGAGCTCTGGCCTTGATATCCACTCATCATCCTCATAGCGATACGTCGACCCGTACAAGATTTCATTCAACTATGTAATTTTTATTAAAATTTAAAGATCTGGAAGAATATATGTTTAAACAAATAAAAATACCAACAGTGAAATATAAAAAATTATAGCGGCCTCCTTTATTACTGCCTAATTTAAATGTGGCCTCTAGTGATAGAAAGGTTCCCCACCTCTGGTATATCGGAATGTTGAAAAAGTTGTTCAGCGGACGGAAGGATATTGTAGATATAAAATGGTGGCACCGGAGTTATCCCGGGTGGTCCAGGTACCGTGTCGGAGCCAGAGGGCCAGAGGGTGTTCGTAGGCGGATGCGACGATCCCGCGGGAGTCTGAGCCCGCGTCAGAGCTAGCCGGGGTTAGGTTCCCTCGGGAATCGGCTCGACTTCCCTTGTAGCAGCCAGCCAGCCAGCCGGAGCCAACGGAGCACTTCCCAATGGCTGCTCTCTCTCGGCTGTCTGACTGGCTGTCACGAGTCCAAGACGTACGGCACGGTTGCAACCGGGGAGCAGAGATACCGGATAACCCGCGGCGGCTCGATTCTCTCCTTTATTCACGGCATATCGATTAATGACTGAGAAGCCCTGGCCCAGCTTCGTCCTCGAACCCTCCGGGGGAAGACGATCCTCCGGAGATATCGTTAGCCGGATCATCGTGACCATAAGGTGGTCGGGAGTCGATCGATTTTTCCCCGTTCGCGAATCGATCGACGCGAGATTCATACGGGATCGCCTCGTTCATAGCTCCGCGTGCAACTGGTGCGCAGGTGGGACGCGAGGCGTTACAAAAGTGGCCGGCATGCGGAAGGCGCGTTACTTATTGTTAGAGCGCGAGAGACTTATTGTTAGAAACAGGCGGTATTCCTTTGAGGCAAGGGCCACGCGACGCGTTTCAAACGGCCGCTCACTTTTGCCGGGAATTCTTAGCGCCGCGTGCACCACGTGTGCAGTTTGCTTTGTTCGCGAATCTCGCTGATCGAAAGGTCAATCGTAGCCGAGGAATGGTTCCGGGGCCAGGTTTAGCTCGGTGGAAGGATGATATACGTTTCGTTTTTTGGTGCGCGCGGCTAATTAATCCGAGTAATCTAATGGGTACACTTAGCGTGCCATAATTCAACGAAAAGCCGATGACTTAATCCTAGTTAGAAGTTGCATTATAATCACTATAACCACGGCAGCGGAATTAGGGCTGTCACTGCAAAAACTAATAGCGGATTAAATTTTAGAGCGGGCACGATTACGCGGATTAAAAGACTGGGCTCGAAATTTCCATATTACGTGTATAACCGTTTGTTTATCTAAATATTCCACGAATCGTCCACGCGCGACCAGTTTCGATAAAAGAGTTGAAAGAGCGTACGAGAGATCTTGAACGAGGCATAATCGAAATGCGACCGCGGAGGTACACCGTTAATTAAATTATTATTATTACGCATTTACGCGAGAGACGCAAATTATAATCACGATCCCGAAGCATAATGCACAGTGATTTGGGTCATTGCGTTTCGATTCTCGATTATAATGTTTACTATTAGCTACCACGATCCGTGGCCACAGCCCGACGTGCCTGCCTAATGCCGATTATTACCACTACCACGTAATGAGAAATTGCGATAATACATCGAGCAACGTCTGCCCCTCGAAGAATCTCATAGAAACTATCTCGTCATTCCCAAAAACTATCGATCAAATCCAAAAACTGAAATTCCATGTTCCGGTTATACGATGCGAGCGATGATCACGATTCCCTATCAAATTTCGAGAAACATATCGAGAGGGGAGAGAGAGAGAGAATTTCTCTTGGACGAGATGATTATTCGGTGGGCGAGTGACGAGCATAAGTAACCCAAAAGCCGACAGCGCAAACAGATGGGCCTCCATTAACGCAGTTACGTAGGTACTGTACCGATGCGCCGCGCTGCCCGGAATCGTCCAACGTTATGACGGGCATTGGAATCCATTAATACAGCTTCGGTTGCGCCCAGGTTCATTATCGTGCATTAATTAGCGACACCCTATATCACCGATGCTCGCAATGCTATCGAGCCAGGGCTTGCTATTTCGTGGGTAACCGCGTGTTCGTGATGTTCCACCGCGAATTCTGCTAGTGGTAGTACCGTCGGCTGATCCGATAGCCCGACATCGAATTGCTTTTCCCAGAAACAACCCATTTCTACCACTTTCCGTACTTCGACGCCGAAATTGTTAGAACCGTACGCGTAAAATGATATTGGGTACAATGAACCCGGCATGTATAGTTATCATTCTTGCTCGTTTGTCCATTGTCGGTTCCGCTATGCAATAGAATTTTTCGTTGCTGAAAGAAAAAACAAGCAAACACGTCATGGTTGCACTGGTACACTTGTTGAGTTGTACTACTGCGGGAGCTACGCGCCGACCGCTACTACTGAACCGTATTTACGATCCGCGCTACGAAACTTTTCTCTCGACCGCGCGTCACGCGCGTAGTAAATATGTATCTTTTCGAAAAATTCTCTACTTCTATCGGAACGCATATTTCTTACTTGTCAATGAGAGGTGAGCCAAAAAATTGAATGGGTAACGTGAACCAACTCTTTCCTTCGCTAATAAAAAAACGCGAAAGATGTAGGAAAATAAAAAGCAGATAGGAACGGAGATACGAGAGAAACAGCGGAGCAGAGAAAGAGAGAAGGTGGAGGCAGTGTGACCAGAATTGGATAGGATAGGAGAACTGGTGATTACAGAGGCTGGGAATTCCATGGGGAGAGACAGCAGTCCCGCGGGTTTCCACCTAATTCCATCCTGGCTGACTACCGACTCTGTCTCCCTCTTTCTCTACACCAGACACACGCTCTGTCGCTGTCTCGCGTTTTCTCTTTCCTCTCCGCGAACCGCGATATTCCTCTCTCACTCTCTATTTCACCCTGTTACGTGTGTTCGCTTTCCCGTGCTTTCCTCTCTCTTAGCCTGTTATCAGCCGTTGTTCTCTCTCCCTCTCTTTCACTCAACTCTACCCGTCTCTCTTGTTATCCCGATTATCCAGGAGCACACGCGTATGCTCGCTCGAATCATTCCGGATGAGAGCAAGCTGCTACTCTCTTTGCCTATTGTCACACACCTTGTCACCTTCGCCTTCATTCATTCGAAACAACGAGAAAAAGTCCTACGATTCTATTTTTCCATCCCCCCGTTTGGGGACACATGCCCCTCATTCATGCGAGAAATAGTTGGAGAATGTAAGGTTTAACAATGTTGTGGTAAAACTAAGTTCTAATGACTACTTGCTTAAAACACGGGAGGCCGCATGAAAATGGAAATTACGCGGAGTGAAAAGTAAACAAACGTCTACCTGAGGTTCGACACGTCTTGCATTTTGTTGTTGTCGTTACACCATCAAGGCCACATACATTGCAGAGTCACGTGTGCCACGGTCACGTACAACACATGTGCCAATATACCAAATTCGAGCATACCACGTATTAAAATATTAAAACATCCACGGAAATCTCGCGATGTACTCGGCGTTCGCATACACAAATCGCGAAAAGCAAAAGCACCAGGTTGCGAAGCTGACTCATGACATTCTGCGTGTCCGATGTCAGATAACAGAAAGGAAAGAAAGATCGGAGTATGCAGAAAACGTAGGTGGCTTACGTTTCAGGGATCGGGGTTTCGCCTGCTTCCTCCTGGACATAGCAACTCTCGGCTGGCGGCAACAGGATCGAACGGCGAACCACAAATCAGTCACATTTCGCACTTGTCGTTCACGCACTGGAAGACGCGTTAATATATCGACGATATCGCTTCCTAAGACTGTCCGACATGCGAAAGAATCGACGATCTCGCGACGGATTTACCGAACGCGATTACCCGCGCACTGCAACCACGTCGAAGCGCAAAAAATGCATCGTTCTCAAGTTGCTCGATCGAATCGATCAATCGACAGCTCGATAATTACGCACCCGGCGAACCGCGTACAGACTCTGAATTTCACGACGAGATACGCTACGCTCCAGTTTTCGGAGGATGTTCAAACACCAAAAACCACGTGGCTTGAGTTTAAAATATATGTTTGAACGCGCGACGAGCAATACGAACATAACACAGAACGAACGCGGTCGAAGGGCGCGCGGCGAATGACGCGGGTGACAACGCTGACTGATACCATTACAAAGAGAACTACTGTCTGTGTGATGCACATGCGCCACGCACCGCTGATAGCAGCCTGCGCAACTACTCGATGCGGCTCAAATTCATTTTATACCCTAATTATTAAATTATACACTTGATGTTATACACGTGTGTTCATATGTCGAATCAGGCTACGATTTATCACTTTCTTTCGAGCAAATGAATCCCTTTCTATAAGTTTATTACGGAAAATTTACGAGCTCTCCTCGATGCTTCGATTTAGAATATTTCAAACTTTGAATAATTCGACTGACATTTACGGGATTATTATCATGCTTATCTACTTACTTTCGAGAGAGTGAAAGATCAGAACGCACCATTCTTATTTCCTGCCTGCTTCAAATTGTTCCTCCCTCCGTAATATTCTGTGTTATCGACCAGCATAGATCAGCAGTGCCCTGCACAAACAGAAACAGCCTGGTTTACTACGATGACAGCTGAACTTAATCGTTGTTTTATTACTACACGCTTCTATGCGATTATATTTTAAAGTGAGACCGTTATCTAACATTTTTAACACTGACTTTAAATTCTAAATAGACTCGGAATATTTCTCGTATTTAATGGCTCTGAATCGATCTTATCTAAACAGGTTAGAATTCAGTACTGCAAAGAGGAAGAGGACTTGGTATTAATACATTGCAATCCGATCTCTAAAGTGAATCGCTCTGCTGTGAACTGAAACTTTAAAACAAAAAACAATATGCTCGCGTTGGAACGTATTCCCGATCAAATTGGCTACTTGGTCTTGACAGAGGATGGTGCCGTGTTATCGGTAATTGTTTAATAACTGCGTAAATTTTATCTATCCAACAATCTCGTGTTATTACTAATCGCTAATTATTTTTCAGTCCGGAGGTGAGCTGGAGAATGATGAAAGAATTGCCAACATTATCGTAGGATTAGTCACGCTGACCAATAAAATTGACTCGAAGGCATTTCCAAACAACGAGGTTTTTGATAAAATATCGATTACATATCCGGATCATTGCTATGTTATTTGTTTGTCAAACAAAAAGCTTCATGTGGTAAAGAAAAAATTGGCGTCCTCAACGACTACAGCGATCGTCGAGCAACCTTTAATAGATGTATAAGTTCTCCTGTTCATGATTTCTATTCATAAGTATGTAAAATAAATTTTTATGATACTTGAAAATTTTTTTACTATTACCCAAACCAAAGTGTCTTATCAATGTACCAATCTAATTCTAGTAAGCTAATTCCTATTTTTATATTTATAGTAAGACATCGTTTTAGTTACATATGTACATGTTCCTTTAATGCAAGTACAAAACGCTATGAATCAGTATCCGAACTGTCGTAAGTAACTAGCGACGTACTTAGCGTACTAGTAGCAGGTTTCGATGTTGAAGGTTCCTGATCGCTCACTCGTGGCAGCTTGGGTATTTGTCCTATTTGTTTTTTAATACCGCTAACGGATGTAGCAGACGGCGTATTCTTTAACTTATCTCTAAATCGTACAACGGAAACAAGCCGCTTTAGATGACTCTGTTTGGTTTTCTTCGTGTCTGAAAGAAAACGAGACATGCTTCGATCTTTATTATTTATGAACAATACGTATCGCGACGAAATTATTCACGTTACCTCGTTTATGCGTCAGTAATTTTGCTAATTTTATATCATCCTCGTGTTCATTTACTAGATCTATATTGAGTCCATTTTTTTTAAGCAACATTTGATCCAAACCCTGTTTCTTCTCCAACTCCTTCTTTCGTGTCTATTATAGAATAATAAACATTTAGCAGTAGTATCTATATAGATATTGGACTTGAGAAACAGTGCAAACTAAACATACTCTAAATGCGGAACGTAATACGCAATTCGAAGCATAATCGTCTTTCCATGTAGCTTCGTTTAATGCTATCGCGGTTTCCAATGAAGAATTCCGCGATTTTGCTATTTTCTTATCCTCTATTCCGTGCTCCAACTTGTACATAGCATCGTCGTACAGTCTGCAAGATACTTCTTTCGTTTCTGGTACCACCTGTTCATTTTCTTTAGGATCCCATCTATTTTCTTGACGTCTCGCACCACTTACTATCACGTAATCGAGATTCTGTAAAAAGGAGGGGTTTGCATCCAAAGCGACAATTTATCGAGAGTACAAAACATCGTATTGCTTACTGCTGGATCAGTCTTTATCTCAAAATGATTGTCGCAAAGGTGACATTTCATTCGGAATTGATACAGAGGAGTGCTATAGTACATTCCAATTTTCTTTTTCTCGGCGTTATAACGAACGCCCATCCCAATATGATTGCCACATCCTTCACACCATATGTTGTATGGCATTTCAAATCTGATGATGAGTATACCCATGTGTAATTTGCGGGCTCTTTCTCGCAATGCATGAGTCCCATGAAATTTATTCAGCCCACCAACCCGTGGATCGTAATCGGGCGGATAATAAAGATTTGTTCCTTTGCGTTCTCCCATTTCTCTACATTTAATCAATTTTTACAGATACATAAAATTCTTTTACACTTCTTTTTACGTATAAATACTTAATAATGTTGAACATTGTCGTACCTTGCTTTTTAATCAGTCCCCAAATAATACAGTGTTTTAATTCTGCCTAAGACGGACTTGTTTTAATTAACATCCTATTTTCCTATACTTTTTTCTTTATTTTATATCACACGCAGATCGAACGAGTGGAATTTTGACAACTGGCAGCTGTAGTTTCAATAACAATACACTTACGACATGCGTTACGATGATTACAATTAGGTTAAGATATCTAGGAGATTTTTCGAACACAGTGACATCTCTAGGACCCTGTTCAAGATTCAAAAAATTGAGAAATATATATTTCACGCATGTGGAAGATAACACGATCTTATAGACGAGAATATGCTATCAAATCGCGATATGGTACGATAAGGTATTTAACTTATAAACAAAATATGTTCTCTCACTATTTCAAACGTTTCAAAACAAGTCGTATTGCCATGATAAAACTTTATTATAATAGTCATATAAAAAAAAAACGGAAAAATTTCCTGTCTTGTCCTTAGCCTATGTCTTATAATATAATTATATATATTAATAGTCTTAGGAAGGTATAATACTATGCAAATACAGGCTCTTAATGTACAAACATTTCGGAAAATAAACGCAAACAACTTTGTTAGACTTAAGAAATAAAACGGAACTCAATAAGGGTGTGTATGGGTACGTTCCCAAGAAGTCGACTATAGAGATCTGTGTACCCAATACCCTTAAATATTAAACACCCTGCATCGGTTGACTATAAGTTTAACATCACATATCTTAAGGATCCATTATTTTATGTATCCGTTCATGGAGATATCTCCCACTAAGTAATACTTATAAAAAAAATATAACTTTTGTCAAGATTAGCTTTGTACCTTGGTTCATGTGCCCAGTCGAATATAAAACGAATTGCTCGAAGAACTTTATAAAAAGTACAGTAAATTCTCTAATCGCGTGTCCGGCGGACGATGTATAAATTGCGCTACTAAAAACGCGAGTTTATGCGCATATTGGCATGTCGCAGGTACTTTAACGGTGCCAGACCAATTATAATACATATGACACATCTTGTACGTCATTCTTTGAATTTGATCCGGAGTCCAACCCGTGGTATCCGCTATGACATTAAAAGCGGTGGGCGACACCGTACCCTGTCTCACCGATTGAGGTATGATGAAAAAGTCATACCTCAATGGATTCGTAACAACGTCGTCTACTACAGTACCAGGAGGTGGATTGTTACGATTATAGAAAATCCGAGTATTGATTCTCTTTGTCACAATTATAAAAGCCATTTTAACTGGCACAGTCTCATAAATTTGGTCCAACTTTTGCTTTACCGCTTTTACTTCGTGCTCGAAAACGTACGGTACTTGCCCTTCCCCTACACCATCGCGGTAAATTACGATATGCGAAGGCAAGGCTTTGTTTAATTGCCTATAATTATGCAAAGCCCTTTCCAAGTTGGTTGAGAACTGATTAGATAGTTCCTCTCCGTTAGCATGGTGAGCTACCGCACTGAAGTATCTTGTCAAAGATGGGTTTAACGTCGCGATCAACGCACCGTAATCACGACTTCTGTCTTGAGGATCGTGACAAACGTCGAACCCAACTACCATAAGTCTAATGTTATCCGGCAATTGGACACTCCAGGGCGCGCCGCCCAGTTTGCAATTCATCTGAATCGCAACCTTCGTCGCAATTGATCTCGAGTTTCGGCTGTTTATGTTTTTCGCCAAAAATACTTGCGACGGTACAGGCCTGTCGACCGTGCACTTCTTCTTAATAGCACCGTACCGATCAGCACGATTATTAGTTACGACGCAAAATATTAATTCTGGATTAGCGGAAGACATCACACTTTCAATTGTGGTCAAGTACGTATTCGCCCGGTCATCCTGTATTTCCCAAACTCTGGGACGATCAACCATGCAATTCATGCCTCGGGCACATTCTTGGAGCATGCCGACGAACCTCTGTAAAAATGAACACACACATATAAAGATACATGAACATAACGCAGGACGCAGATATATTAAACAATAGATTTCTTACATCTACGTCGCGCCTCATGCGGTCTAAGCATATCACAACCCATTGTTGTAATCGAGCCGCGCAGAATGCCGGCTTAGATTGGAGTTCTCTAGTCCAATCGCAAAATTGTCCGCTCGAAGCAGTTGCGCCATTTAACACTATACGTTCTGGTGGCAGAATGCGTGCCGGCACTTCGACCAGTTTATCATCGAGTTTCAAATTCCACTCGCTGAATTGTTTAATGACTTCAGGCTCGCCCCGAAGTCTTCGATTAAAATTAATTAATTTATCTATACGCGCTTGAGGCGACACGCGTGTCGTCTCGGCCATTGCACGCATCAGTTGAAAATTCTCTCTCATCTTATCCGTCATGCCTGCACGATATTATCTGTCGTCAAGTACAATCATCATACATAAAATAAAGAGACAATTACCTGTTGCACGACAAAGTTCTGGAACCAGGTATACAAATTGTTCTTCTTCAGAGTTACGATTCTTTGGTTTAACTTTGGTAACTAGGAGCGGCTGTAGTTGATTTCGAAGTTTAATTTGGTATTTACTTTCGTAATAATCTTTATACATAATTTCCTCCCCATTTTTCAAGCGGAATGTAGAGCTCGGATTAGTATCATAATCTACATCGCATATGCGGTACGTGTTGTTATTATAATCGGTCAGCACTACTAAACCGAGTACCTCCTGCTCAAACAAGGCCTGAAAATATACGTAATTCAATGAAATTATGCAATTAAAAATTTAATAATAAATTATATATTTGTAAGAGAATCTCACTTTATAGTCCTGGAAATTTTGATTATAACAATCATTCAACACGTCCAACAAAGTCTGCTGACGGAGAACTTTATGCACGATCTCAGCACACATAAGTAAATTGTTTTCATGTTGCCTGATGGACGTCAAATACCCAGGCCACAACTCCATGCGATATTGACGGATTTCTATTTTGGCGCGAGCATCAAAATAATCGCGGCCAATAACTTGAAGCTTCAAGAGCTCCAAACATTTTCGCATAATGATGTTAAAAACTTGAATGTAATGAGGATCGCCTTTCCTCAGCTCGCCCACAAGACGAATACTGATCTTGATAGTTTCGTTATCCGACTGCCTTTTAGATATCAATTCCAAGGAAGCCGGCAATCGTGTGGTGGTATACAAGACTGTTCCATCAAAAACGTATGACGTCAGACTAGCTTTATGGAGCCTGACTAAACCTTTCCTGACAACTGTACGCTCTTCTGCAGGCTCAAAGTCCACACGATATTGAAATAGACACCAACTTGGTGTCGAAAGCAGTTTGAAGTAGTTAGATTGCATTACTACTTTTTGTCCAGTAGTACCCTTCTTTGAGTCGAGGGTCCCGGGTTTGGTCTCTACCTCTGGTAGATTAATCACCCGCCTTCCGCGCACGGATCCTCTTCCCCTGCACACGGCACTCCTCCCTGCATCTCCTGAATCAGATGCTCCTTGTCTGGATGTTGAAGCACCATCGTCTCTAGGCCCCAATCTATCAACGACCTTTACCTTTGGCTGATAGCCCTGTGTGGACGATGGCCTCGCATAAGGCGATGGACCAGAGCTTTGCGAACTGTAGGCAGGTCGTCGATTCCCGTTGTCGAAATCTCTGGACTCTGAGCCATGTTGAGAAGACTGATGACCTCTTCTATCATCATAGCCTCTTCTTCTATCATCATAGCCTCTTCTATCATCAAAGCCTCTTGGTCTACCCCGACCGTAATTTCGGCCTCTCGAATTAGGATTTTCATATCCAGACATGACTTTAACAACTATAACAATCTAATTAAAATTCAAATGTGAGTATATTTTTCCCATCAAAATAATAACACAAAATTTGTTTTTATTTTATTTTTATGCAGAATCCGTACTATCCATAGCAACAGGGCCATCCATACAAAAGCGACTTTGAATCGGGCCGAAAGGGTATTTGAAACCCTCGAAGCATGTAGTTAAACCCAAATAGTAGGGAGCCTACCTGCATGTTTCGGCAACCGATTCGTAGTCGTTTACAACATGGGATCTAAGGACTCGTGTTTTCGAACGGTTTTGTCTATACCCCATAATAAACGTTATGGACCTGAGTTTGGGCCTTCCGACGTAACAGTGACGTATGGAGCCGATATGGATAGTGCGGATACCCCTCGATAGACAATTTATACAAAATGCAGCAACGTTTTGCACGAGTTCTCATTTTGACGTTAAATTTAGGACAGGTAATGATTCAATTAGAACAGAGTGTCATGACAAGTTTTATACACTCGTTGAGGATATTAAATTTGTTGGATCACGGAATACACGGAGGAATAACTAGTAATTCTACCTTGACTTTATTTCAATTCTTTATATAGTTCTTTAGACGGTGAAAAGTATTCTGATTCTGAGCTGTTTGTGTTCTTTGTCCATAAAGAAAATTCTGTAAGCGAAAAAGTAGGGGAGTGAGGGGAAAAAGCAGAAATTGAACGAAAATTGGTGTAAGTGATGTCGAGAGTTCAATTGCGTAGGAAGAGGCCTGTCTGATAGGAACCAGATGCCCGAGTCCCGGGCTACATTGTTTGGGCCAGACCGATAAGGCCACAACGTATCTTTACCCCCTTAAAAAGGACGCTGGGAAAGCGACGAGTCGAAGCAGGCATGGTGCCTTGCGAGCGTCCGAACGTGCAGCGTACAAGCTGTATTTGAGAAATAAAGTCTGCGATATTTTGAACATTGAACAAAGTCTATAGCGTACATTGAGTTTGTTAGTAGTAGGGACAAAGATGACTACAAAGGTTTGGTTTTGAGAAGGGTCTACGATTAATACATGCAAATTTATCTTATGTTTATATCGGAGACCGGAAACGCACTCGTGGGTTCTATGCCCTTGGGTTTTCTTACTATCTCTAGTCATTATTATAAGATTATACGGAATTTCATATAAGTAATATCTTATAAATTTTCGATCGTAAACTCTAAAGAAAAAAATTTAGTAACGTCCTCAAATATTTACATCCGACGCAATATTAAACACAGATTATATCTGTTACAATAATGAAAAAAAAAGAAGACTACATCTGAACAATTCTATTCTCCTTTGTTATACACTTACAATTTAATATAGATAAATTGGCTACAAAGTATTTAAAAGTTGTAATGGAATACATTGCTGAATAAGGTGTCTGTTGCATACAAAATATGCTTACGGGACAACGGCACGTCCGTTCGCACAGAAGATATGCTAAAGTAAATGCACTTTTAACAAAAAGAGTGACAAATAAGTAACCGAAACATCGCAATATTGAGAACAAATAAATATGATCTTAGTTCTCCGATTGTATCTCAAAACTGATACGAAAACGAGAAGACCGCTTTGTTTGCATCAAATGCCGGCTTCGAGAATTGCGTACACTTACATGATATTGAATGAAAGTGCATATTTAACTGTAAGTACACATGAAATATAAATACCTGGAGCTTAAAAATACGTTAAACTGCTCCAGACTCGTAGAAAAACCGATGGTGCAGGCCACAAAAATACTGTTAACATTACAGGCGCTCGGTCTGGCGATTCACGATTCCACGACGTACCGTTTTGACCGTTGGACGAGGAATAGTCTTTGTAAAGTTGAAACCGTTGGGAGATGAAACGGCTGGAATTTTACGCATGCGTCGATGATTCTGGAAGGGACAAATTTCGGCAACGTCGTATCCATATCGTACCCTATCCAAGGTATTGTGCATGAACGCGATAGAAACTCAATCACAATTATTAAAATTAAAAATAGCAACGAACGTGTCTCTGTACTGATTAGCGCTGATTAGGACCCATAACGATTTACGTTAATTTCGTTGCCTATAAAACTTCTTAATAGTCACTCAAATTGATACGTGAATGCGAACTGACGGGTTCGTCGAATGCGCAAACTCGCATCTGTTTCATGAAACGAAAGATATGTTTAATGAAGAATATTATCATTGTTTTAATAATTGTAACTGTACATTTCCACTACAAAAATATAAAAATTTGTATATATGTAGTAAAGTATTTAAATATTTACGAAATCAGTAAGAGTGTAGAATACAAACCGAAGTTATTGCTCCCCTTCCATCGGGCTACATCTACATCTACATCTCGACAAAAGAATAGGAGAAAATACCGGAGTGGTGAACACGTGTTTCTTTCGACAACCTCTTTTAGAGTTCATAAATAATTTATTATAAAAAATGGGAAAAGTAAGGACGAAGAGAAGAAAATTCCACAAAGAAAATCCTACGGGACTTCCATCGGTGAAAGATTTTGATTTAGAAGAAGCGGAGACTGTCACGAACGAAGACAGGGAAATTGCATTGCAACGAGTACTCGAAGAGGTTTGTATCTTGCAAATTAAAAAATAAATAATCGGTATTTCATTTGGAACGCAGTAATGAAGAAAGTATGAATGTTCCAGATACAGTCTGCCAATATCGAAGAAAAGTTGTCTGGTTTGCAAACGATGGAATCAATGTGCTGCGATACGTTACTTGCCGTACAAATCGCCAGCAATCGTATAGCTAAAATTTTGGGACCGTCACTACTTGACCCAAACGCATCGGTAAGAGCCTGTAGTGCAAGTGCGTTAAGAACTGTCGTGGAACATGGTGACGAGAAAGCTCACGAGATTTTAATGATAGATGATGTCATGTCCCCGATCTGCGCTTCGTTGAAACAAGTAAGTTATAGGAAAAAAGAGATATCTTACCAGATCCACGGTAATAATTTATTAAAAATGTTCAGTATCTAGATTGGCAGCCAAAAGATGATAAAAGGAAAGGTGATAATGACCAAGCATTCCTCCAAACGATCCTGTTGCTGTCAACATTGTGTGAATACAATGAACAAGCAATATTACATTGTAATAGAGAGAATATTGTGTCATTATTAATCAAATTCCTGGACATAACTGTGTACGGAATAGAAATTGTCACAGTTGTTACAAAATATTTGTCGTGTTTGTTGGATGACAATCTCGCTGCTGTTAAACAGCTTAGCAGTTACGAGGATACTGTACTTCAGCTTTTAACGTTTGAATCGAATGATAAAAATAATGCTGATGCTATTTGTCTTAAAACTGCTGTGAGTGGCCTATTGTTGCATCTAGCTAGTTATACAGAAAATACTTCGATTATTTGTACAATAGTAAATGTGCTTTCGAGCACTCTTTCAATTGATCACAATTTCTTATTATGCGATTTGGTTTCTATTTTACCGCATGAGAAAAATGCTTTGTCGAGCAGTGCAAAGAAAAGAGTGCGGAATGACACAAGTATTCTTGGTGCGCAGCAGCATGCTTTAGCGATTTTGGCTAACTTATCAGTATACAAGGATGAAGACAGCGAGAGTGAATTTGATTTTGATGATTTGGACTGTGAAACCGAGGATACAAACGATGAAAGGATGGAAGAAACACCTCCAAACGCTTCCCTACCAGTGGAGGTAGTCGAAATTTTTAAGAGTTGTGCCATAATAGATAAAGTATGGGACAAAACGAAAGCAGTTGATACGGATACGATAGAAATACTAGAACAAAATACCGATGGAAAGGAAATTATAAATGAGATGCGCTTACTAAACGCGAGGGCTTATTATTGTTTAACCAATTTGATATCGAGTTCAGAACTTGATGTGCTCGGTGGGACGAACAATGTATACAGGTAGGTACATAAAATCTAATTTCCATGTTATACGAGTTAAGTAATTTACTGTCAACTAGAATGTGGATTGATATTGGAACGTTCGTATTCAAAAATGCGGATCCAACCGATAAAAATTTAGTAGAATCCGCGGCGGCGGCATTGAGTGCGGCTATTAAAAAGTTGGCCCAACCGAATATCAAAGTTTTCGATCGATTAACGTTGAACGACATCGAGTTCATGATTGACGGAGAACGTCGGTATCCAAACCCTGACGTTCGACTGCACTTGATGCGAATATTAGGGAGTTTGGCTTGCATTTTAAGGTTTAAAGATAATATTCCTCCCGACCATTACGAAGTGATTAAGGTAAGATCTACAATTTCTTCTATTCTATCGACTATAATAGCTGGTTTATTATTTTTTATAGCGTGTATCCATGTTCTTATTGGATAACAGCATGAGTGAACCTTTGGTTTGGATTATGGCAGAGGCTATGGACGCGATAATGGACATATTTTCGGACGATGACAGTGAGCAGATACTGCGAATCGAGCAAGAGATTCAATTGGTAGAAAAATTGAAATCTCTCGTACCGATCTTTAAGAAGAGGGTAAAAATTCTTACTATTTTCTGATTCATGATACCAAAATTTCGTATAATAACTGGTTCTTTATCCATAGTTAAAACAGCAAAAGAAAGATTTGGGAGACCACTTTGCTACGATATCTACGGTGAATGGGAATATCACAAGGTTCATAAAGTACAAAGAGTCCAGAATGTAAAGTAAAGCTTTGTAAGCTTTGCTCTAATCTGTATTATACAGTTTGTTAACGCGTAACGTTGTAAAATAAGACGTAATCCTATTTACAGTATAAATATAATATTAAAACTTTGTAATTAATTGTTAAGTTTTAACAATAAAAGCTTTGCGTATCTCGCAACCCGAAGCGTTCACTTACATTTCATTATTCTCGGAAGTAATAATCGATGAAAAGCTCGAATCATTTAAAATAAAATATCCAAAGGAGCAACAGAGTAAATCTAGGGCGACTCTCAGACTTTATTCCACATCAATAAATAACGAGAAAACTAAATAGATAAACAACGAAATCCACAATCACAGAAATCTATACCTAACGTCGACGTCTTTCGATCAAGCCTTTCCAATAATAAAGCACGCGCGCACTCATACGCACACGTTTTTTGTATTTAAATGTACCTATGTATTCGATAAAAATAAAATCGTCAAGACGATCCCATCTTCGGTTAAATTTAAGCGGTCAATTATGCATTCAACAAACCTTTGAGCAGTTTGAGCGATTAAATAAAGGCACATGTACACGCGGCATTTGTACAGTCTTCAAAAAAGTTTAGACTCACGAGACTGTCCGATTCTTTGAATGAATTTAGATAATACCAACGGTACTATTAAAATTAAAGCGACTTTCCTCTGACCGGCTCGATACTTCCAATTCCATTCGAAACTGGATTAGGCAAACCGTGGGAATTTTTCAGATTTAATGAATTGTACCTCCTCGGCTTCGGGATAGGATTCACGTCTTCTAGTATCTCCGGTCTTTGTCTGATCGGTTCGGATATGTGAAGCTCGACCACCTTTACTGGGTCTCTGGGCGTGACTTCGGGAACGGGCGATTCATTCAACCTCACCACGCGAATTTCCTTTTGTTCCCTTGGGAACTCTTTGAATTCTATCTTGATCGGATTTTTTTCGTTCCCGACCATGTTCTGAAAAAAGTGCCTACGATTCTCCAGAATCAAATGCCTTCGGTTCTCTTGACCGTTCTCCTCAGACATTTTGGAATCAGACAAATTGGCGCTTTCCAATTCCTTTATGGCTTTCTCGATCTTCTCGATCTCTTCTTTCACCGAAAAACTATCGTTTCTGGACAAGGAACTCGTAGAACCTTTCTTCTGAAAACAGACGTTATCCACATCCTTAATAATTTCTATATTTTCCTGGGAATTCCTGCGGTATTCTATCTGGACATCATTTTGTTCGTTCTTCTTGGCATCTTCTTTGACGATCTCCTGCTCCTCGTCCGCGGTACACATCTTTGGTTCTTCTTTTACAGAATTGTTTTCTGAACAATTTTTACCATCGCACGATGTTTCTATATTATTTTCAACAATCTTCATCGAATCGTCTTCCGTTCCGTTCACTTCTAATTTTTCTTTCGATTCTTCGACACGCTCGGTCTTCTTTGTCAAATCGTCGATGTTCTCGGTGACCTTTGTTATGTCGGAGGATTCTATTATTCGAAGTTCCACGCTGGTTGCTTCGGGAACCGTGGAACTCGTTTCGTTCGTTTCCACGTCATCGCGACGCGGCGGCTGTGGTGCTCTGCGTTTCTTACGCCCGAACGAACTCATCGTGCTACCGACAGAAACGCAACTGTTTATGGAGAGGTTCGACTTTCTGTGCGCGTCCTGAGAATATCTTTTGAACGCGTAGTCTCTAAGCACGTTCTCGTTCTCATTCTCGTCGGAAATCGTCGTGTCGCCCGATCGACACGCTTCCTCTTCGGGATGCAACGTGTTCACGCTTGTCCTCTGCGATGCTCTATAACCGAATCTTCGCCTGGAACCACGTAAAAGGCACCCGTAATCGAGATTCATTCATACTTAAAAAAAAACTTACATGGGAGGAACGGGCGTCGATTCTTCGATTTCCTCGTGGGGAGTCTCAACATCGTTCTCGTTCTGTTCCCTGCTATCGAAATCTAACGCTGGTATCTTGTCCCTTGGTCTTGGACTGACTTGACCGAACCTATGCATTCCGTGAAAACAAAAATATAATCGCTGTTGCGAAATTGTTAAAGCATTTGAATAATAATTTTTACTTCCTCGCCGGTGGTTTGGGAGTGAGGTCACCCATAATTGACGTGGTCGTGTCCTTTGGACTTCCATCGTAGATTCTCGCTGGATCACCGTTCACGGTCAGATTCGAGCCGTATCTCGAGGACGAATTGTCTAATGTGTACTTTCTTCTCCTGACCAAAGTACCGAGAGCATCGTCGAAGTCTTGCTGGTCCTTCGTTACTCGCGGAGGCACCGCCGGTGGTACTCTGATGTACGAATCTCTTTTGTAGGTGGTCGAAACTGTTCAAAGTCCGGCGTATTAATAAGATCTGTCTACTTTTACACGTACGATATTCGAATAATCACCTGTAGTAATCGTGGACTTTTTCTCCTGCGCTTCTGGCTTGTCATCTTTCCTTTTCCCGAACAGACCGTTCCTGAAAGGAAACGTTTTTATACGTGAGCAGTTGGAGATAAGCAAATTAACAGGCATTAGTACGCTTCTCGCGTTATGTTCAACCGCTCTAGTCTGTCTGAAGCAAACAGATCCGTGTCACATTTCTGCCACGAGATTCCTCCGTTACGCTCTTAACCCACATACCTTGGAATTAATATTCCCGCCGATTAAAGATTCCAGAACCGAGACAACGATTGTCTGCTATCTACATAATTGACAACGGATAGGATTTCGCGAGGAAGAGCTCTTAAAAACGTATCAAGACAAACGCTTCGTCCTTATTAGATTGTGGTCCAATATTAATTAGGACAGATTATTTATTCTTAGACTCGAAAGACACGATCTCGTTTTAAGTGCAACATAAACCTCCGTATCATCGACGCGTCAATCGTCTATTCAAGAACAGGTACGATGTACTTGTGTAGTGAATAAGAAACATTATTCTGAGTTAAGGATGTGTTGACTATACAGTCAATCCCAAAAGTTTATGTATATTAGAAAAACGCATTTCCTATAATTAAAAAGAAATCAGACGCCGGAAGACTAATGCTAATAATAAATAGCTATGTGCTAAAAAATATAGAAGGAAATATCCAATTGAGTATTGACGCTGATGAAAATTTTTTTTTTCAAACTTGCGAAAAATGCTTCAAATAAAAGTTGTTTTCCTTCTAACTTCGATATTTAACGAGTTACGTATGATTATTTGGCATTTTATTGATGTTGACAAAATCCGACCATCCCAGCGTCGAAACGGCGAACTTTTGGCAAAACATTTCGTTTTTCCTTAATTACTCCTAAACCGTTGGACCTACGGGAAAATTGTATAAAACCTTTCTTGTAGAGGACGACGAGATCTACAACTTCCATATAAAAGTTCTTCGCTATCATTAATATTTAACGTGTTACTGACGAAAAACGAAAAATCAGTTTTTTGCAAATTACTCGTTAACTATTGACGCTGGCGAAAAAATTTTGCATGGAAATTGTAGATCTCGTCGTTCTCTACAAGAAAGGTCTGATGCAATTTTTCCGTATGTCCAACGATTTTGGAGTTATTGGCTAAAAACGAAAATTTGAAAGAAATTGAAGGGGGTACCCCTTGGAAAAATCTCGGAAAAATCGAAAATTTTTTGTTGTTTATTATTAGCAATGTTCTTCCGACGTCTGATTTCTTTTTAAAAAATGCATTTCTAAAGTGCATAAACTTTTGGGATTGACTGTATAGCCAATACATCCTTAAACGCGTTGTCATACATGCCGCATGAAAAGCATAGAGTGACGTCAGACACATAGATACATAACAATTTTCTTATTTTATCCAACGACGGGAATGCTACTAGAAGGTGAGTCGATTCACGATGATTAGAAATCGATTTAATTTGTTTACAAGCTTCTATATATTCGTAACGATAGATGTTTGAGCGTTTGCTGATTAAAATATACATCACTAGAATGTGCCGCAGTAATTTCTATAGAGTGAACGCTCTTCCACGAGAACAATCATAATGAAGGCTCGATTCATGGCCAGGGAAACGGTTCAGCGCAGCTTCGGTATGACGGATTACGAAGTCGACGGATAAGATTTCCTTTCGAGCGTGCAAAGAGTTCGCGTCGGGTTCCACGACGAACAATTTTCATCTGTCTAAATGAGAATTTTCTACTTGACTATTATAAGAAATTTTAATTATTAAGCGCGTGCTGGGAATTTTTACCAGCCGTAATTAGACCGGAACGCGTTCTCTCTACCGTCTGAGCGCTTCGCGACTAAAAATCGTGATTTCACCAAGAATTCCCTGTGGTTTTCCACAAAGATTGTTGAGACTAGAATATATTCATGGACTCAGTCGCCAACAGCTAAACGATTAATTGCTTACGCACGAGATTCGATGCACGATTTTATCTACGTTCCTTTAGGTCAACAGACTATCCCCCTTCGGATGATTTATGATTCTCGCGATCGTATCCCTACTGACCTCTTCATACAGATAAATCTATCAAATATCGATGCAAATCACCGATCTCAACGATTTCGAACAGAAACAATCTCGAATCAATTTGTCGTACGATTTCTATAGATGCGAAGAGAGTGAGAATATCGTTTCCACGTATGCATAGCATAAAAGACAAAAAAGACCGTGATCAAAGTCCGAGATAAACTGCTTTGGTATTATCACGACCAAAGTTTCAGACGGGAACGTTGCCTCAAATAGAAGTTGCCGAGACCTTTTGAACGTTACACCGTCCGACGTCGATCCGCTATTACAGTTACATACTCTTTATTTTCGTCGCTGGGCGACGGCCAAACGCAGGTGCTATAGCCGCGTGCCTAACTACGAACACAACTACTACTATCCGCGTCTGCGTTTCTCGTTTGCAAGGGTCTAAGTTCAAGTTCAACAAACTTACGCTCAACGCCTTCGCAATTTTATTTCAGTTCTGTAAAAGAATAAATTAGTCGATTTATATAAAGACTATTTACCAGGTGGATTTAATGGAAAAGCTGTGCGACCTCTTCTTCTTGCCTCTCCCGAAAGTCCAGAACTTGTGCTTCGCGTCCTTCGTCTTTCCATCCCGGTACAGATGCGGCTGAACATTTGCGATCTCGTCGTTGAACGGATTCAAATGTTCCGGGTAGTCGTAGACGGAAACGATCGGACGTCTCGACATGATTCACCTCTGCGCTGGTTCTTTCAGATTTTATCTCTCCGCGAGAAAGAAAGAAAGAACGTGAGAGACCGTTGCGACGAAACAGCGGCATTCATCGATCACTGGCCATGCTTCTTTCTTCGTCCTTGCACGTCTAAAAGTTTTCGAAGAAATATGTTTCGTTATATTTTATGACGCCATTCCAAACGAAGTTTTACGAGATAAACGGTGTTTTATCTTCGTTAAATTGACACAGATTAGAGCGATATAAAACGATTCGCCGACGGTGTTTACAGTAAACTTAAACTTTGTACGATTTGTCCCGGCGACTATTCCTAAATACTAATGGGGAAGAATGTAACGTAATTGGCCGAAGAGCGCCGGCAGTTTAATATAGTAACCACGAGGAAAGCATATGAGCGATCGGAATAAAGTCCAGATTTATTTTTAACGCATTACGTTAGGCCTGATTCTGTGGAAATTAGCGATCGCAGGAAGTCGCCCCGGAAAGGAAAACAATGCTCGCAATATTTTTAACTGATACTCTTTCTATTTGTTAATCGCAGAGAGCTAAGTGCCAGACGCCAGTAATTATTGTTCTGTTGTAGTTATGTCAATTGTAGCTGGTTCAAATCGAACGACCCGTGAACGCGTGTCTGTACAATTGGCTACTATTAAATGGCATTGGTAATGGTCGCTGAACGATGTCCTGGAGGTTAATCAACGTTAAACCAGGGAACACGCATCTGCTGTTTTTCTGGAAATTATCTACGAACGCTTTCAATTACCTCGTTCGATCGTTAACTAGGTAAATTTATTAAATTCGAACACGTTGACCCGGTTAACGAACCATCTGATCCTGAGCCCATTACGAAAATAGAGAACGACTCAGGTTTCGAGATTTGCGCAATCAATTCGACTTGATTGTCGAAAATTTTAGAAAAAGACAGGAACATCACCTATACTCGTATCTGGCGACACGACAGTCACGAGGAACAACTAACGAACGCAATTAGCTCAATTAGCTCATTGCACTTGCGGTTCATTTCTGATCTAGAGCTCGCTGATAAACTTGCATCACAATATTGGTCAAACAATCCTAAACGGAGAGTCAAGTACGAGGCGTATGCACGCGTTGAAATTAACAATGAATTATTACAACGAAAAATTATATTAAACGAAATGACCAAGTTGTCCGTTTCACGCGAAATAATAGTTCCTCTGTTCTTTTCACGTGTGCACGATACTAATTGCACAGAAGGCCGGCGTGGTTTTGCTAATTGAAGAAACTATTTCACACGAGGGTAACTATGATGCGCTGCACAAAGCGTGTTTCTTCTTTGCATACATAATATTTGTTTCTAATATTTTTAGCGCGTCGTGAATTGTTTTTTTTTTATGACGTTCGCGAGATAAGGAAAGAATTATCGTTGAAACGAAGCGATTAAATAGGTACGAGTACAGAGGTGGTTTAAGGTAGCTGTTACGAGTCGTAACGCTATTGCTTCAGCGTGTGGTAATCCTAACGACTGGCGAACAGCCTCCGCATCTGGTACGCACGTTACTAGTTGTGACAAACTCGACGAGACGTCTATAAATAATTACGCGGCTAATAAAACTGGATAAATCGCACGTAGATTGAAAGTACTCTGTACACACAGATACATGTTTAAGGACGTATTGACTATACAGTCAAAGTTTATGTACCTTAGAAAAACGCATTACCTACAATAATTAAAAAGAAATCAGACGTCCAGAAGAACAATGATTTTGGATGAAAAAGTTTATTTGTTAACGTTCAACTGGTTTCTAAACAATAAAAGTTGATAAAATTTGTTATATTGTTTATATAAGTATTTTCCTATCATCAATTTTTGGCAGTGAATTCTGCAGACTTTTAACTTTAGAAAATAAAAAANTTTTTCAAAAAACCCATGAATTGATTTAAAATTTTACAGGTAGCTTTTTAATAGTAGTAGGCATCTATAATAACAAATTCAATATTCTAATATAGTTTAAGTATATAGCCTAACATCCTTAAATACGGTGCGCTAGTAGTAGCCGAGATTTATCGATCAGAATTTCAGTTTCGCGTGTCATGTAAGTAGAACTGGAACACGCTTTTGTCAATGTCTGATAGCGATTTCGTGCAAGGAGTTGTTCGTGCAATTTTCTTCGGAGAAATTTCGAATTTCTAGGTTGAATATTCAGCTACGTTCGATCACGAGGCGAGGTGGAACATGTTTTACGTGTTCCTTGGAAAAATCGATCGTCATCGGGACGGAGAGAGGGGCACGAGCGCTAAGACTCGGTGTCGAAATTAGCCGCAAATTAATTTGACTTTGTCTAATGTAACTTGCCCTTCCGTTTAGACACCGGGGAACACTTGAAATGATCGCGAATTAAGCTGTCAGATAGAGACGTTGATACAGAGAGAGAAACTGATCTCGTCGTTTCGAATCGTTCCTGTCCAAATGTGCTAATAATTAATTCGTTGAAAAGAGTTCGCAGCCGCGTGCACGCTGGAATCCCGAAATAAAATACGTTCTACAAGGCGAACGAGGAACGCGGTCAGTTTTTAAATAACATCGAGAGAGTTGGGCAGCCATGACCAAGGTTTCTAGGATACCGGTTGGATACCAAGAAATCCAACGAGGAATTTACACGCGTTTCACTGTGTTTGTACAAAAATAATCGAATGAAAACTCTCATACGCTACGAGTAGGCAGCGCGTATGGAGACAGATATCTCTTGGGTTTATGAGACAATGAAAATATACGAAACTCGTGGCTAGCTGAATTGTACGCGTCATGTAGGTCAGTAAATCGCAGCTGAACGTGATCGCATGAATTAGTAAGGGGTTATATATGTAATATGCCACGCTGCGTCACGGTAAACAGGCATTGTTCTTCTTTAAAAACGAAACGAAACGAAACGAGTCAACAGTTGATTGTTCGATACTCGATACCTGCGGATGTCAATCATTTTGCAGCGTGCCCCAACTTTCCTTCCATTCACGTTGGCGTTCCAAACTTTGGTTCTCGATATTTTAAAACACGTATACGACGCACACGTTTATTTACATGTTTCCACCGGAATTTACATATAGAGATTAATGAACAACAGCGTGATAAGCATTTTTTATCACGAAACATGTCTACTTCGAAGACTATACTTATGTTGCGATAAGACACCGAGTTTAGTTGGTACCTATAGCATTCGAGCGGGAGTAAAATTTCTAGAGGTACGTTTCATCGATTCTTATAGCGCGACGACGACGCATTTGTATTTGTCCTTAATATGCATATGTATGCACCTACGGTTTGGGAGCATTGCTCGTTTAATTGATGACAGGGTACGATAAGAAGGATCAAAATTGGTTAAGCTGTCAGTTCGTCAAAGTAAGTTTGATCAAAGTTTTGGTAGAATGATCGCAAACTGCACGTCGGTGTGTCACTGTCAAGCTATTAACGATCGATCGAACGATTATCCTGAGAACTATCGTTTACACGTTTGTTTTCAAAGTTTTAAACTCTTACATAAGCAAGTGCAGGTGTAGAAAAACCGTGTTTGATCGTCGTCGCCGCCGCCGGTCTATCTGTTCTGCATTCCAAAGTGATACGTCGCACACTGTCCTCGACACTGAACCCAAAAAGACAGCACGGCACTAACGTGTGTACGTATGTACAGTACGAAACGTGGAACGGTGGAATACGACTGTCGAAGAGCAAACGAACCTCTCTTATCCGCGTTTGCCGGGCAACTGCGGCGGGGCAAACTGCGAGCTTCAATTTCAATTTCAACCAGCTTCGACTGACTTCGCGCAATTTGAATGCGCCGTGACTAACTTCGTGCCTTTCTACCCACGCTCACCGGTTTATTTAAATCATTAATATTTTCGATTTCAACGCAAATTACATATACATATATAGATCCAAAGTACTTAAACTCCGGTAAAAGATCGAATTTCAAACATTCGATTCCTGCCAATCGAAATTCCCCCTGTTAATTGATATTTATATGGAATTCGTTTTATTGCCAATAATAAACACGTGTGCTGACTAACGCTAATTGAATTCATGCATCCCGAGTACAGGTTTACTATTTTGTGTAGGCGTCAGTTAGTGGAACGTGCATAGAAAGTAGAAAAAGAAAAGCGTGATGCATGCGAGTAAGCTAAAACGAAACTGCTATCCTACACGTTATTAATCAGTTGTGCGAATTAACATCATTGTTAGCTTCGGGTTTCTTATTCTAATAGCACAGCATATTGTGATTGCACTGTCGACAATGATAACTTACGACTAAAAAGAGTGAGATAATCTCTCTCAAGAATTATTTATCGTGTCGATTAATAAGAAAAAGGAAGGAAACAAATAAATGAGATACCGTTCTTCATCGTACTTGAATATATCATTCCTATTCCCATCGATGACGATTACGTGGCCTGACGGGTTCTACATATGTATGTAATAGCAAAGCTGCTCTCTGCTGTTATTACAAGTAAAAAAACAAAATGGTGAACAATCTATATTGGAACCGAATCGATTTCGTTTATCTCATTTATCGATTTAAAAACTGGACAGGAACCGTCGAGCCTCTAGACATGTACATAGACTTTATCTCGATCCGATTCTAGATCGTATATCCAATCAACGTTGATAAGATACGCGTTATCGAGCCCATTTTCATTTTTGCGCAATGTTTACGATGATCCGTTTTCAGACATAGTAGCGAGAGGTATGTTATATAAGAGAAAAGTATTTTATTTCTGCTATCGCATTAATTTCCCCCTGTAAAAGATACCGCTAGCTCGAAAAAGATGAGTCACCCGTTCGCGACAATTGTGCAACTCCTCGATACTCGTATTTAATGATATGTAATATAAATACGTACAAAAGGGAAGATTTAAATGAAACGAATTTATGCCCGGAAACTATGGTCAAGGATAGGAACCGTGAATATCCGTTGATACGGTTCGGACTTTATTATAGATGATTCGTGCATTGTACGTGAGAATAATGAAGACGCCTTTCAACGGCATCCGACTAAATGAAACCGTCGATTGAAAGTAATTATCAAATGATCCCGATGCGGAACGATATAGAAAGTTCATCGCATAGCAACCTCTTATCGTCTGACAACAGGTCAATCGACCAAATAACAAGTCGCGAATGGCCAACTGATTATTGTCGGATGCTCGAAACGATTTTCGTTTTATATTCGTAATCTATCTAATATTTGCAACAATTGGCGGCGCAATGTATTCACACGATGTCTAGATTTTGACTAGATTTGTACAGTCATTAAATGAGACGCTGTTCAATTTTAGAAGAACGATTAGAAATTGTTAATGATTATCTATCCATAGCTAAGAATTGCACAGCGCGTAACGATAGAAACGAGTCGACGGGTGGATAAATTCTAATAGATGATAATGTGTTACGCGTTATACATCCAGCGGTGCAGTAATTGTTATGTAACGCCGGTAGAAATTGAGAATCGAGACCCGGCGATGTGTATATGCACTATCTATGCACGAATGCATTAATACGCGACAGCGTCGACGCGTAGACTAGCTATGCAAATTTAAGTGCAGGAAGATCCGTTTGTTGGATTGTCGTGTTCATATGACCCACCATAATCCACGTACGACACTCAAGTTTTTTAAGAATTCCGAAAAAAACAATCGCAATCGTAACCGAATCGAATGCGAACACGAATAAGCAATTGATTACCTTTGCGTTTCTTTCTTTTCCCATCCGTTCACGCAGGCACATCCATCATCCGTAATTTATCACACAAACTATCGTTCCACACTGGTTTCGTTTACATAGTAATCGTAATTCATAATGTTATAAACCGTAACGAGAAATTGTAACAAGTGGCGTTACCACTCAGGAGAAACTCGAAGCTTGGCGCACACCGTCTTAGATAAAGAGCGAACGAACGTTCAGATCATCAGATGTTTTACAATTTACAATGTGGCTATGGTGACTATTCCTATTCCTGCTACGTGTTCGATCCGATCGCACTGATTCTCCAGTGTAAACATCAAAATTAGATAGCAAAATATTCATAATTTGTCAAAATGGAAAGGTGGATGCGTAATAAATTAAGCGAAATTTTGGATTTTCCCGTCACAGAACAATTGATAACGTACGAAAATTAGTATCAATTATTATTGTCCAAGTGTTACCTGTTTATCATTTTTTGTAGGCACATAACGTCAATGGAAAATGTACGGGACGTGGATGAATATTTGCGATCTTTCTTAGATCCTAACAATGTAAAGCATACACAGTTTATTGAAGATGTGAAAAAACAGAGAGGTGTGTGTTTACATAGTTTATATTTAAATTTACTATCCTCGTACCATTTTCTAATATTATTTCAGTAACAATTGGCAAAGATCAGGCTGGATACAAAAAAGCAAATGATACTGTTGATAATACAAGGAAAAAACAAAATGATAAGAAGAAAAACAAGGGAAAGGGAAAAGAGAATAAAGAATCTAAGCAGGTACAAGAAATCGCACAAGAGAAAATGGAAAAGAAGAAGACTAAGTTTGTAAATTTGTATTCTCAAGAGGGAAAATCAGCAATTCTGTTCAAAGGTATTACGGAAATGAAACGAAAGGAAGGTGTTTGGAAGTTTCAATTCATAAAAGAATAATATCTGATTAGGTAGACATAAATGCAATTGTGAGGCAACGAAGCATAATTTGATTAACAATTGCCTGAACTGCGGGAGAATAGTTTGCACCCAAGAAGGATCTGGACCTTGCTTCTTCTGCGAAGAACTCGTATGTTCTCAAGAGGAACAAGCTATTCTTTCTAACAATAGCAAACAAAGCGATCGTTTGCACAATAAGCTGATAAACCATAAGCCTAATAACAATGCTCTAGAGGAGTCAATAAAGCAGAGAGATAAACTTCTGGAATACGATCGGGATGGGTACGTGAGTTATTTTAACGAAATTGCTAATTGTACCGATTAACATTAATCCTGCCGATTTAGAGTGCAGTGTACCAAAGTGATAGACGACCAAAATGACTATTATCAATGGAACAACATATGGTTACCGGCTGAACAACGATCGAAGCTGAAAAAGTTAGAGGACGAAATGCATCAGAGGAAACACATGACTCGCCTCGACAGAAAAGTTAATCTAACGTTTGACTTCATGGGCAGAGAGGTACGCGAAGAGAAACAAGCCGATGACATCGATGAAATAAGCGACGATTATCTTCAAGAGATTTCTGAATCTGTTGATGAGATTCAAGGAAGCAACATTTGCCCAACTATAGAATTTAATCCAACGGTATGAACTTGAATCGTTTTTCCTATAATAAAAACGTAAAACCTAAACTATTATTGTGTAGTATATGGAATCGGAGGATCGAGAAATGAATGTTCAGACGCGAACGTTGAGAACAAGGATTCCTTCGAGGACGAGCAGTATTATTCAAGACAAGGAATACTTGGAAATGTCTGATCCCGGTTTATGTTTGAGCATGCATCAACCTTATGCTTCTCTTTTAGTGTCTGGAATAAAAATGTAAGACGTAGTTGATTTAGATGCGACAATGATAGCTACATGTCTTTATTTTTAATGTTTTAGCCACGAAGGACGCACGTGGTACTCATCGCACAGAGGAAGACTGTGGATCGCAGCAACGTCCAAGACTCCCAATATGGAAGAAATTTCAAAAATAGAACACGCTTATCGCGTTTTGAAAGATGGTTGGCACAAGTTACACTCTCGAATATAAAACCCGCTTCATAAAGATACGAAAATATATATGTATTTTACAGAAAGACTGAGGTTCCCTGAGACTTACCCAACCAGCTGTCTGTTAGGATGCGTGACGGTGGTCGATGTTCTACCTCAAGAGGAATATAGAAAACGTTATCCAGAAGGGGAGAGCGATAGCCCTTACGTTTTTATATGCGAAGATTTCTTCGTGTTGCCAATTAAATTTCCGATACAAGGAAAACATAAAATTTGTAAGTGACATGTTTGTAAAATGATTCGTGTGGAACGTAATTGAAATGATTCTTACTACGTCTGTGTAGATAAACTGGATACAAAAATTCATCACGCCGTTCAGAAGATGCTGGAAAAATGTACAAAGAACACACACGACGTTAAGAAGTAAATCGTTACACAATGTATATTAAATATTTATTATTTGTACGTAATAGAATATATTACACTTATATTGCAATATATTACATTAGCCATTATGAGATATAAATTTCTTTATACCCTACTCGTTTATTTTTACCTGTCCATATCTCCCATTCAATGAAAAAATATTAATGCTTTCTTTCGTTTCCGTTAAAATATCAGACTTTTATGAACGTTAACAGTAGATTTCAGTAAAGTCGTTTTTACATAAAACAGTCTATACATTTCCAAGTACGGGAACATTTTTCATCGGAGTATGGCCTTATAATGCTTATTGTTCACTATATAAATTTTGTCTATCCGTTAGAGGTGTATCAGAAACGATCTCATGATTCCCGATAAAATTTCTATGAAAAATCAACAGCGAAAAGTTTTTAAACATTAATATAATATCATCTTGCAATAATTAGCATAGTATATCAACAAATGTAACTTCAACAAATTATAAAAGACGTGGTACTCGCGGACCAACTGAAAATTAAATATGTAAAAGCATTAGATGCAACAAAGTAGTAACACTCGTATGTATGTATAGATAAAATAATGTCTAGGAGTCTAAGGAAGGAATAGAATTTCTGAAACGGTATTACCTTGCGAACTGATCGATTGGGAATGTATAAATATCAAAGTATGTTTCTCTTATAGATTTTCTTCATAGAATTATGTAACTGCACGATATGCAACCTTTACCCAAACACTCAAGTCGGACATACGTATAATAGATTGAAACGATAGTTTTACTGATTTCGGATATTATGCAGTCTATTAAATTGTCATGCAATTTACGCACATCTCCTAAAGGTACACACGTATTGTAATTCTAAGATAATATTGTCTACTTAAAACACAATTCGAATAATAAATGTAATTAATATCCATTTATCCCATTTACATTTTAATTGAAATAATTAATTGCCACCTAACATTATGCAGACTAGAGTCCTAGACTGATCGAACGAGAAACACAATTACCTTTCACGTTTAATTCAATTTTAATAAGAATCAACGAAAGAAGTTCACGATTCTACAAAGTCGATAAACATATACGTGTGTATACGCACAATAAATGTACGCAATAACAATTAATAGCTTTGCTCTCAAACAACATTCCAAATTTTTATTTCCCTAAAATGCAGATCCCGAGACTCGAGCCCTTGCGATGGATACGATGTACATGACGTAGAATTAATTATTTCTAGATAACTTTCCGTGTCGTGAATTATTTAGGCTGTCAAATATCGTCGATAATAATCAGTAAGATGAATTTTTTCAAACAAGTAATAGGCCATCACAATCTCACCGTAATACTAATAACTGTATCCGTATCACAAATCTAGTGGAACAACTTCAAATAAATAATTTCATATATAAATATACATATATGTATATCCATTACATGGTTTATGAAATATTAAATTCGATTAATAAGATAATAACATTTTAAAATTGATTCGCCTCGAAATGAACCGATCGATATTTTCATTGAACGCTTTATACGATTCGGTCGAGTATCAGGAAAAATGTTCTTACTCACCATTTCCATCGAAATCTGAAGAAACACGGACAAATTGTTCTTCTACCTTAAATATAAGTCGGCGAATCCTTCAAATTGATACCACAGGCTTCGCAGACCGACACGTTCTTCTCGTTTACTAAGGTACACCGCGGACATTCCTTCCCACCGCTGGCTAAAGGTTTGTCTTCGTTCCCTTTGTGCCTGGACTTGCCGCACATTTCGCAGATCTCTTTCGACGATGAATTGAGATACGTGCACGCGGCGCAATTCCATTTAGATCTCTCGTCCTCCGCTCTCACATCTTCCTTCCTCGTGTTTGCCAACTCCACGTCCTGCAAACTGTCAGCAATTTTCACGATCTGATCGGACGACCGATGAGAACGTTGCATTGGAAGCGTCTGGCTGCCGTGTCTCTTCTCTTTATGACCCTCCGAGGATGCATCGCGGTATCTGTTCGAGTCCATCAGATCGAAGGAAGAGGACTTCTTCTTCAGAGGTAACGTGTCGTGGTGATGGTGATGGTGATATCGACCGTTCGTCATCGACGAACCGTCCGTCTCATCGCTTTTTCCGCTTCTCTTCTTCTCGTAACGATACGCGCTATACTTTTCGTCGTTGTCGATTTGCTTGTACATCTTCTGTTTGCTTGATCGGGAGTCACACTCGCGTTTGTGTAAAATGTCTTCGCGTTCACCCAGATCTTTCGAGTATCCCAAACTTTCTAAATTCTTATAAACGAAGTCCCAAGAATCGTAGTTGTTCTTCTCCGACTTACCAATCCTCTTCCCGTAATCGCAGTCCCGCGAATCTCCATCGTTCGACTGTCTTCTGTACGAGTCCATCTCGTCTAAATCCGGTATCCGGTGAGACGTCTTTCGATTATGTAATTTATCGTAATTAGCTACCGTCACCGGCATATCCAGCTCGATCAATCTATCTGTCGGTACTCTCGCGTATCCCGGCGTGTAATACGGATTTACACTGCTCAAGTACTTGTTACAGTGCGGCAAGCACCCATAGCCGCACCGATTCGTGAACCCGTGATCCATTGGTTGATAATATCTATAACTCCCAGGCACGGTGTTCGTATCCTCGATGTATCTGTACTCGGACTGACAGACGGGCATCAGATTGTAAGAAGGCATGATGTGATATGGGATCGACGGTGACGCTTCGTCGATGCAGCTAGGTTGCGGATAGTGATAGTCCTTGTAGCTATCCGATTTCGTCCGGCTCTGATGTATCTTCTCGAGGAAACGATAATTCAAAGCTCTGATGGCTTGCTCCGGTGTACCGACGTGATTCTCGCGAAATTCTAGTACCTCCAACCACGAGTTGCTGCAGTTCTGTGAAACGCTTTCCCATATTTGCTTCAAGATCTGTCGGAATCATTTCACTGTCGTTCAAGGGCATTTCAAGATATCAAGATAAATAATAACGTTGCATTTGCGCACCTGGCATTCGACGAAGGCGACTATAGCATCCCTGCTCACGCTAGATACTTTGTCAGGATCGATAGGGCCCTCTAAAGTGAGCACGCCCAATCCCGTGTGCTTGTATCCCATTTGTTCAAACATTAACTCTGCTCCTATCAAATTCGCTTCCACTTCGTGTTTGTAGTATCCGCTATACATCTGTCGATCAACGAATTAAATTAATCGACGATTGAAAAGATCATACGCGAAACGAAAAAATATATTAACCCTTAACGTTCTATACTCCTTTCTCCAGGGCTGAGCTAATAAATTAGCTGCGTATAAAGATATTGCACTCCAGGCAGTCGCAGCTCTGTACCCACTGAAATCCTGTAACGTGGCTGCCGATCTGTGCAATATATCTGCTGTCTCTTGAAATACGTATTTGTTCTCATTCGGTACTAGACAAAGATATTCTTTGATGAAACCTGAAACATAAAGACTGTTGCAGACACTTGAACGACTACTTCATACATTTACATATTTCCGATTTACCTTCAAGTTTGTGACGTTGTTGTAACTTTAAAGGGCTATCGTCTGTTTGCAAATAAACCAAATGGCTCTGTTCTAATTTCATACTGATCTCTTGTAATCTGTCTTTGCCTCTCATTATTAAGTCACTTGCCATTTTAGCTGCTACAACGAATAGATTTCTATTTAAATACATGTACAAAGTGAATCAACTTGGAGAAAATATTCCTACTGTGTTCAATGAGAAATATGATTGAATCTAACAGTGAAGCATCAAGAATAACAAAACTGGATGATTGATAAATAACAGAAATGGGACTAGGACTGTCATTCAGTAATAGAGATCTTTCACACCTATTACAAAACCGTCTAGAAATGCAGTTTTAGATGAAATTCTTGATTCAAACTATGGCTAGCTCCAACCTAAAAATAAATCCTATATTTAGAAGCCCTGGCTACAGTGTTTATTCCAGGAGCTACCATAATATATTCTCTATTTGGTGGATGTCCCATTTCGTGCATAAACATCCATCGGGTTTCACGTTGCATTTAGAATACATATTATTATTTCACTTGATAAACAGCCAGAGAGAGAAAGAGAGACAGAGAGTAAATATTTTTCCCACAAACTTTTCTTCTTGGTTAGAGTTAGGTGTCGTATTATATCGCGAGCATGAAACCAACGTGCACTAGATAACCGAGCGCCGATACCACGGACGGCAAGTGGTTTACATGAGTTCACATTTCGCATATATAATAAATCGCAAAAGAGAAGAGAACCCAGTGCACGACGTGCAACACAAGTGTCAGTCTAGTCGATTCTACTCAACGAACATCGGACTCGTACTGACTCATACTTACATAATTTAATGTTATTGTTTACGTTGTCAAACGATTTATTATTTACTAGAATTTACTCGGAACAATTATAACGTAGTGGATTAAAAATGATGACCGATATGGAAGAGGCCGAGGCAAAGAAATTGCAATCGGAGATCGAAAAACGCAATGGGTAATCTTTTACGCGCGTACTGGTCGATCATCGTTTGTTTGTTTTAAACAATATTGTTCGATTTTCTCGTAGAGAGGAAGACAAAGTGGACTTTAAAGAAGCTGCGAACAAATTAGCTGAAGGACTTTTAAGTCAGTATCAGGTGCAATTAGTACATGTTCAGAAAAAGCTTGATGAAGTAAGGTGAGAGGACAGGTGAATTTATTTCTCGTGATTGATGTTGTGTACTATTCGCTTCTCTTTTATCTGAATAGGAATAAACAGGAGACTTTATTAGATCAGATGCAATTTGAAAATAAAAAACTTCAGGACACCTTCAACGACGAGAATCTTAACGAAATGGTAAGTGACAATTGAGGAATTTAATTTTTGTGCCCGAATTGTATTAGATGATGGATTTTGTGCAATAAATTTTTAGTATAAAAGCGTAGTATGTATAAAAAAAAGCAAGATATAGATATGCGAAAATATGCACGGGAATATGTATTGCAGTTTCAAACTATTAAAGTTAGTCAAGGGAAATTAGTTTTAATGAAAAAAGAGATGGCTTCTATTCACGACCGGACGCTCAAATTGAAAGTAAGTTGTACACCGCATTGAATTTTAAATCCCCCGATTGGACGTGAGTCTCGACTGACACTCATTTGAATGATACTCATTTATAGAAAAGAGCATTGAGATTACAACAAGTAAAACAGAAAGAAGCCTTGACCAAGGAACAACAACGGGAGCAAGAGATTCGTCGTGAACAAGAACTGATCGGTAAACCTGTAATAAGTTAAGGAATACAATCTTCCAGTGAAATAATCAAGATTGTCAAATATGTACAAAAAGTTATTGTATTTATACATATTACAATAAAACACGTATCTAAAAATTCATTACCTGATGTACATTACCATACGATTTCCCATTGCCCGTCGGAGCCACATTTCTTTCCATCCTTGCATAAGTAATTGAATGTCGTTTTCGTAGGAAAGCCGATAATTTCTCTGTCCTCCTGTATCCTGAATGTAAACGTTGATTCGGCCGTTCCTATGAAGTATCTAAAGAGAAAACGAGGAGATTGAACTATCAGAAATACGTACGCGTAGTTCATATTCACCTGGCATAAGAACATATTATTTGATCGATGATGGCAACCCCACCGTCTTTAAACTTATTCAGTACATGATCGGACGGAATAAATCTTAAAACCGTGTAATTCAATAGATATTTTTCGAGTTCCTCAAATTCTGAAATATAATTTAGAGTCGAATGTAGAGACAGGCATTCGAAAGATTTCAAAATATTTTACCTTCATCTATAGCGTCTGTAGCAACAAATAAGGTATTCAATTTAAGTTCGTTCAACTTCTCTTTTAATTGTAAAGCGACAGATTTTATAGTGGGTACCATCGAAGAACGACCGACAAGGAAGTCGCGTCTTCTCAGATGAACTGATAAGTAAGCTCCTCCGACCGCGTTCCTCCTTTTCTGTGATTAAAAAACTTCTCTCTAATCTATCTTTTTGTCGATCTAAGTACGTACCTTTTCTTTAGTCCAGTCATCCGGTCGTTTTGTCTTATCGCGATCGTTCGTGGAATTAAGAAACGTTTCTCTGTACTTGTTTGCGATAGAGTACAATTCGGAATTGTATCGCATACTACGTCTGGCTCGCCAATATTCGCGTGAACCATAAGAATCGTGCAATGCGATTTCCATATAATCGAATGCAATAGATCTAAGACGATAATTTTATTTAATCGATCATGTACGACACATTGTTCTTGGATTCTGAATAATCAGAGCTCACCTATAAACGTTAGGTTTGAGATTTTGTTTGAGGCTGGATATGAAACCATGAAATTTAAGGCATTTAACCATTCTCGAAGTTACATTGCGATATCCCCAAAAATATCCACCATATCTATTAGCTTCTACTTTGTGATATTGTAACTCCTTCGTACACTTTGTTATTTCATTTTTATCTTCAAATTTACCTGTTCTGAACATCTCTTCATCGTTTTGTAACACATACACATTGTCGAGCTGTGTCTGTCCACTTTCAGAAGGGAACTCTGAAATAATACGTTGTTCCGATTTACTAATTCATGATGCATCAATTCGATTTGATTGTACCATGTAAAAATTGATGCATTTCAATGACTGGTATGTACTTTCGTAAACTTGGAATGTTAAAAAATAGGCCCCAGGGTAACTGTCTTTGCGATCCTATATGCTTACTCTGCCAATGATATAAATTGCCTATAAAATAAAAGAACAATTATCGATCACAGAAGCGAACATGAAATAACTTTAAAACTGATGTTAGGTAACAAAATTACCCCATGGTGGCAAGACTAATTGCCACTTGAATTCTTCCTCTTCTTTAATCAAATTGTTTATAAAAACCGCTACTCGAACGTAGACGTCCCTTCTTAAATTAAAACCTTCCGGGGGGTTCACGTCGTAGAGTATATAACTAAAAAAGAAGATATTGTTTATATAAGAACAGCCGGCTTCGCAGCGGAATAATACAATAATAAAATAATGAGTTTGAACCGGTTTCGAGAATAGCGTGATTGAATGTTGCATTTATTGTTAATCTTCGCATCTTCATCAGGCGTATCACAAAACTCATTTTCAACAACAGTTTGCGTAAAATTAATTAAAAACAATGTAAGATACAACACTCTCGAGGATAACATGGGATTTAACATCTTAGGGTTATACTCTATTCTACATGCGCGGGATGTGCTACGATACGAAGGAGTCGTCAACTTTCAAACAATGATAAATATTAAATAAAGACTGTCTTTTATAACATAAACAATCTCTATAAATCAGTCCTAAGACACTTAATATACAATAAATAAATCTGCATCCCCATAAGTCTATTCCTCATACTAGATCGTATGTATCACGATCTAAACGATCGTGACGCTCATATGTGTACAATTCGATCATATGTTTTTCTCCGATGAGTTCGAGTTTCCTTCCCTTCACGAGATTTTATTGTTAAAAATGATATGATCGAGGATAGTAAAAAACAACAGCAATAACAACAACATTGTACAGCTTGATTTTTGTTATACACGAATTACAGACTTAAATCTCCCTTATTTCGCAGTTGATTGATGGGTAGATTACAATTTACTAATTCAATCGATAATAATTGTAATAATGATAATAATAATTATTATTTTATCGTCTTATACAATATTTATAATTTATAGTTCAGTTAACATAGTTTTCTCGTCAACCCCCTTGGCTTTACCCGCGCCAAGCGACGGCGTTGTTTAATTATATTTTACATTTACCGTGTCGACTCATTATCTCCCATACTTCTTCCTTTCTTTCATTTATCCTATTTAAAGTATACAATACACTTGGCATATAAAAATTACAAGGACAATTTTATATTGGTAATGATAGTAGCTGTAATTGTAGTAGTTTATGATATTAGTGGTAGCACTAATGGTAGTTAAAGTTATATTTAACAGTTAATAGTTTTAATATAGCCCTAGCAGCGATAGCGGTAGCGATAATAAGTTATATTATCGTTAATAATTATATTCATCCGATAGCTATACGATCCATTACCATTCTCTTCTTCACGTTTTACCATTTGTTTTTCACACGTATACTTGCAGCATAAGAAATCCGATCCAATGTTCTCGGTTCGTTCAATTAGACTCCGATAGCGTATATTTTATTCACTATTCATCGTTCTTATCTTCGAAACTTGTGGCTTGTCGTGGTCTCTCTTCCCAACATGTCCTGGTTTCTCCTTTTTTTTAACATATTCACATTTGCGTAGCGTATGACGTTAACCGGTAGCAGAATCCTTATTCAACTTTATTGATGAAAAGTCAGCAAACGTTATTGATACAAGTGATAATACTGAATCGTCGTTATATAATAAATATAACACGAAAATTATATTTATTACTAATTTCATCATTTCCCTTTTGCCTCGTCGACCGAATTCTCTATTGTTAACATCACAGCTAGAACGATGCTTTGTGTCAACACGAGAAACTATTTTACATTCAATACATAAAACGTGAAGTAGTAGTACATTATATGATATTACCACAATTAATACACAAGTCGAACGAAACGTGTGTCACGCCGTATGCACGGATTTGCACAGTGCACCTTCTCAAGTACTTTATAACAGTTTCATTAATCTCTGTTCCACCCCTATATTCTTCGTCTTTCATTTTTTTACAGCTATGTATATACACGTATATACATGTACGTTTATGTATATATATGTATATCTCTTGAAACAAAACGTCCGCACAATTATAATTAAATAACATAAGCTCGTCTACGGTTTACGTTCTATTTATTTCCTCAAAAGAAGTTACAAGCATCTTATTTAAACGAATAAATAAATCGTGTGTAAACTGACTCTGCGAACGCTCGAAATAATACTTTGACTGCTGATACTTTACTCAAATATATATATAAACGCATCAATTTCAAAGTGGCTATCAAAATTTCATACTCAACGAATAAGTACAAATCGCGTAGAAACTTGACCGAGTTTAACTGAACATCTCTCTCTCGCCAAGCCCTGTGAGCGGACAATCATTTCAAAATTCGTTTATAGTTTATATATGTATATTTGTGCACTGTGTATTACGCTACACATACATACAATTGTATATATACGTACGTATATGTATGTGTAGTCTCATACTACTTCACATTTAGAAATACTTTTAGTAATTATACAACTGTTGATTTTCTCTTTATGCTGCTGGCACGAGCGGCCCGATGACGCAGGCCGTAAAACAATCAGATTAAAAAAATGTAGTTCTGTGTACATGGTACGTTTTGATCGCGATGGTATGGAATTTAGGCATTCGTTGTATAGAATCATCGCGCACAAAATAAATTATATTTTACACGCCTCGAACATCTTTAATTAAGTCTTTTATCATATATATTATTTATTCTGTAGCGAATGATTCCGACAGACTCTGTGCCTCGCGTTTTTAAAGATCGCCCCGATAATTCGAAATTTGAGCGACTTGAAAAAGAATCGCCTCTTCGCTTCCGAACGAACTTTTTTTTATTCCGGATGCGATTCGTGTGTCCTGTAACGAAACTTGTTACACGCGATACTCATTCAGAAGATGTATCAACATTTGTTCAAACTATACCGGGGTCGTAACTGCGTTTAAAACTGCATCGGGCTTGCGATGAAACCTTTCGATAGTACGATTATAGGGTAGTTAATAAATAATTCGTATATATGTACATACATGGAGAAAGATATATACACGGAACACGCTCACGCACACACATACATATGTACAATAACTAGCAATTGTTTCATAAACACGCACGAATGGATTCGAGTACAAAAATCCAGAATTTTCGAGCTTGTTCTTCCGCCAGTTCGGTCGAATCGAGCGTATCAAACAATTGAACGAAACACACGCTACAAGACTATTACATCACAGTATTACACGTTTACGTGGATGTTTTTACCAGTAACACTCTTTACGCATTATTATCGTTACGGTAAATAAATAAAAACTGCGTTCTTCATTACGTGTATACTTACAACTTAAAACCCGGCATATTGATTTGAAACTTTTACTTTAAAATGATAGTAGACCACAGAGTTGTAAGTTCAAGCAATTGATCGTTACATTATTGTTGGTAAAAACATGACGCATATCAGTACAATCGCTATTAATTCTAGTTATTGAAGCTCTATTCGATACCGAGCGGTCGGATTCAGGCAAAACTTGTATTTTTCATTCATATATATCTATTTATGTATTTATAGTTGAATACGTAGAAGGCGGCGAAGCTGCTACATATCGAATCGATGATTTACATATTATATGTATGCGATTATGAATGTGGCTATTCTTTTTGGAAGGTTTGTTTTCTTTTCTCGTTTCATTTTCTTCTTCTTCTCCTTTTTCTTCCTCCTTTTCTTTATCATCATCATTATCATCATCATTATTTGTTTTCTTATTGGAATGTCCATTAGACACTATTAACTAGCGTACATTAAAAATAAGTTCAGTCATTTACACATACTGCAGACACTTCCGAAAGGGAGAGACGGCCATTCTGTTTGACAAAGTGAATCGGCTTTGTATAACTATTCAGCTTTGTACAAATTAGTTCTGTACAATCAAAGTACTATCGTAGGTAGTATTACAATTAGAAGTGAGAACGGTACGCTATTGTACGTATAGAAACGCTTCACCTCAAGCATAGTAGCTCCTCCTCTACGGTTCGATATTTGCTCAAAGCGCGTGCAGCTTCAACTCATCAAGGCGTAGTTTTTTTTTTATTTTCTAGTCATCGATCAAACACTTGTGCTATGCCAATTATCTTCGGTTCTAATTAACTCGGACTTAATAATGTATGATAGTAACGATTAAAAAGAAAATGATAGGACCGGTCGCCTCAAAGTATTTATACGAAAGAAACAAGCGTACCACCGTGTCTCAGTATTGAGGTAGCGTAACGTTGCTTTGGCTTAGCGAGTCTTTCTGATTATCTAGAAACATTTCAACTGATCGGTGGCACTTAGACAAACGAAAAAGAAATAGGTAACGAAAAAGGAATAGAACGAAAAAGCAATGTTCCAACGCCGAACGATGAAAACTGTACAATTGCAATCTTTACAAGGGTAAGAGATATTTTCATCTTCCTAACGCGTATTTATATTTATCTCGAGATTTGCCAACGTTACATTCTTATATGCATTGCGATCACGATCGGAAAAATCTTCGTAACGCAATGCTCGCGATGTCTTTGGTAGAAATTATTTGGTACGTTTGCGCCCGTTCGGAAGGTCATTTGCAGAGCGATGGAGCTATATAACGAATGAACAGCTTGCAGAGGGTACTTCACAGGGAAACAAACATCAACAACAATGATTCCTCAAGTATTAACAACATTAACAACATTCCATTATAACTTATTATCATTATTGTATCGTCTCTTATTTCAAATGACCAGATTCTCTCTCTCTCTCTCTCTCTCTCTTAATGTCATTTACAATCGCTGTATCGTAGTCTCAGTCTTTCGTCACGTCCTCAACTTTGTTTGTAACACTTTGTAATGGGTAATTATAGTAATTATCAACGTAATCATTGTCTTCAGCAACATCGTCACCGATCGTTAGCAACATTTACGGCCATTGTAGTTCCTATCCCTCCTTTTAGCCGTTTCCTTATTCTCTTTACTACCGATCGAGCCTAACAATAATCGTCTCCGGAACTTTGAATGAAGATTAGAGACTAAGAAGTATTGTACTTACAACAAACTTGAACAATCGACATGAACTATTCCCTTTCATCGAACGAACTAGAAATGCTAGAGAGCGGAATGGAAAAACGATTTTACTTTTATTCTAATCGAACGAAGTTAATGAATGAGTAATGAAGTTACGTTACGTTAAATCACGCGACCGATCGATAGAAATCCAGTCGTCTCAATTTAAAGTACAAAGTTCCTTTAATTTTACAAACACTTACTAACCACTTCGTACATATATACTTATACATTGCGCGATTATTTTGGTATAAAATGTCCGTCTCCTTATATTTCCACGTTGAATAAAAAGCGAGCATCCTTCCTGTTCACACTGTTCGTGCAACCGGTTGTCTGTCCAATCATTCTCTTCTAATTACGATAGTTGCTTCGGTGTAGTTCTTTAAATATATATATTTAAGAATGTATATTTAAATATATATACTTCATGTGTTTATACGTGATCTACAAACATTTAAAATTCATCGAAATAACAGAGAAGAACAGGTATTCTTCCGCTCCTCCTGTGCAAAGTAATATAAATATATATATGTACATATATATATTTATATATATGGCTTATTAGGTCACCGTCTTATAGATGCAGAAATATAGAACGCAGTCTTTTCCTTGTACATAAATAGTTTCCTCGAGAGCGATGGCACTAACATCATTTTAGGATCTCTTTTTCTTTATTTTGTGCGGTAAGTGATATTTATCAAAATAGATAGTTCGTCTCAACTATTTGCTTCACATAGTATAAGTACGTATAAGAAATTACGCGATCGCGCGAGCCATGAATAATATTTACGAGTTACTTCTAACGCGGAAAATCGATTATTTCGAGAACTACGATTTACGAAATCAAGATAAAAATTAGACAGAATTATTGTCGTGTAATTACATATAACTGATGATTCTCTCTTTGGCTTTCGAGGAAAAAATATATACATATTTCGTGATACCTTGACCGCTCGCTACATTTCAGTATCTATCAGAGAGTAGTGGTATCGATTCACAGAATTATTTATCATTTACTATCCTTTGTGGGGAAAGGAAGCGTAACACGCGGCCTATGGAACGTATAGTTTTACGTAAGGCTTGATAAAACGTTTGAACATACGATAAATCAGCCTTTCGTTTCGTTTCTTTCTCTTTTTATTAACACTTCGCGTCGAGATCGTTCGTTTTCATACCACTGCGTGTTACGACGTTTCTTAATAGTATGAAGATACCCTTAGAATGATATTTAAAGCTCTTACAACTTTTACAACACACTTGCGTACAGAGAGTAATAGCTGGGGTTTGGACTAGACGTGATGTGGTTGTAGATGTGGCAGCCTGCTGGAAAAGTTGGATCAGGATTTCATACTATTTGCTTCATCGAGTCGCCTCTCTGTTCCTACCGTTAACAAATTGGCAAATTCCACCTCTAATAATTGTCGGGCCTATTCGAACACAGACAAAAAATAACAATCAATGGACTAATGGTATCGATATTTCCATGATACAGTCATATAGTTCTCCATCGAACTTACTTGTGTGTTTTGGGTTGGAATTTGTAGGGTTAAAGCAAAACTATTTGCATCGAAACTTTCGTCGAGGGCTATAAGAGCACCGTGTACTCCAGATTCCAACAGGTTGTTCCCGTATTCCTAAGCGACGAATTATTATTTTCAGATCGTATCAGGTCTCAGAACAGATACAGAAACTTAGATACGGTAAAATGATATTTACTTTCAGGCCGATAGCTTGCACCCATCTTATAACGCGATCGTTACTCCAAACGAGGACGTCGACATTGGCACCTTCGGCCATGCGCCTTCTCTCTTCTAATTGTTGTCTATCGTAATTTAGACGCTTCAAACACGAAATCCCGTATTGCAAACTTGTTCTGTCGGAGTTGAAGTTCAAATCAATGGAAATGAGAACTTTTTATCAGTTACTTTCGCACGATGGATCACTTACCTGTGAAAACTATCAACCATTCTAAGTTGACCGCGGAGGTCCTTCTTCGTGAGGTGATCCAACATCCTAGCGTCCACAAGGCACTCCATGAAAGTGGATCGATATTGTGGCAAGCCGAGACTCGGCAGCCAAACGTTACCGATCCATTCGTGGTTCATATCTCCGAATGCTAAAGTTGTGCGAGAGGTTTTCGGTGCTGATGGGCTCGTCAGCGATACCATTTCTTGTATAGCTAATCGTAGTTTCAATCGATGCAAAGGGTTACTAAGAAAAACATAATAGATATAAGAAGAGTCGTCAAAGAGATCGTCGATAGAAGGTAAATATAAAGCGCGTTTCCCACTGGCCGGCGCCGCCGGCACGGACAGGCAGGGCCGCAACGTTAAGTTTCAGCTTTTACACGCTCTTTCCTATACCTCGCAACTTAACGTTCGGCCCTGCCCGTCCGTGCCGGCGGCGGCGCCTTTTCGGCCAGTGGGAAACTTAAGTCGTACCTAATGCCGATCTCGCGTTGGATCTCGGTATCGCTAAGAGCACTCATTATGGCACCGCTTTTCACGTTCGCTCGGCAGGCTGCAACGTACCATGTCGGCATTCCCACCCAGAGCTCGAGCCAAGCTACGACGGTCGGTCCGTTCCATAAGGCGAACGGTGTTCCAGCCTTCATCGCCTCAGCCAGGAGTTCGTGCCGCGAAGAATCTAACATACTACCAAACATACTTGGACTGCAACAAAGTCCCTGCCGTAGACGGACGTATCTTAACGAATAGGCTCGCGTTTATCACGTTCACATACCTCTTCTTTGTTCTACGATCGAAATCGCTCTTACTACCCATAGTACCGGCTACGGAAACGCTGTCCCCGTAATCAGGATCCGCAGGTGTACTCGCTCCTCCCATGGTCATCATGTCTCCGGGCATCGGCGTATCCTTTCCTTTGATCTACGATCGGAATTCCTTTTTATCTCCCCAAAAAGAGAGTAAAACTCATTTGAAACGTATACCTTCTCCTTTTTACTGAAAAATCTCCCAAGGCTGCTCTTGATGCCCTTTTTCTTTTGCGCCGCGGCCACCGCCGCGGCCGTCGCCGGGCTCATCGTCGATTGCATGTGCAAATGCGAGCTCGATAGCGGGCCGATCGGCAGTCCGACACTGGATAAGTTGTTTTTATGCAAACTGTCCTGGCTGCTATGTCGCGAGGACAATGGAGAAGGAGGAGTCCCAGAATTGAGTGCGCCGTTGTTATGCTGCCCATGCCTGCTGCATGGAGCGCTAATCTAGTTCTCTATTTCTACTCTAAACAAAGCGTTCTAGCCCACAACACGCTGTCTAGCCATTTACTCTTCTCTCGAATTTGCAATTGCGATTCAAAATTATTTCTTCGCGATGTATAAACGTCTCTAAGTAATTTCCACTCATTCAATGGTCATGGATGGATTATTATTCTGCACTGTTCGTAATGTAGTTTAAAGCGCATTAGCTAAGGGAACTTACGTGAGCCAAGTGAATTGCAATTTTACTTTTAAAAATTATATAGCGTCGTGGTTACATATGATTTTAAATGAGCACAAGCGAAAACGCTATTTACAGCCGAGTAACGCGCGCGAAATGAAGTTTTCTTTGTGAACGTTTGGTTTCTTTAATGAAGATGATTCGATAACTAAACGTCGTTAAATCGCATTAACTACTAACTCAACGGGGATTGCGAAGCGATTCCGTAAAGTATTAATTTTAATTATAACTACTTAACTAAATTAATCAATCTATAAAGTAATGAAAAGAGAGTCGTAATACCTACTCAGTAGTGCAGGCAAGGCACAAAAACCTGGAAATATAGCTGATCACTGCTTAATGAGACGGGATCGCCGTAACACATACCCGTTTAAAGGCAAAGATACAGAAGGACAAATTTATGGAATAATTCGTTAAACGAATCGTTAGATAGTGAAATGATCGATCGTGCGTATGGGTCCGTCTGTATCCTTGTATTCTATTTTCGTAAGAGAACAACCTTATTCGCGTAGACGATTCAGACGCGGCGTTACTTCGACGCAATTCTCTTGGCTGCCTAAATTCCCTCGTTTGTTTGAGACAGCGATGTCTGTCGTGAACCGGGCAGGCTTGAATGTACGGTGGACGGAAGAAGCTAATATCAGTTTCTTCCAGGGACTCATTTCTATCAGATCTATCGGATGATTTGTCCGTACCGCTGTGCTCGAAAATAGGGGCTGTAGGCATGCATGCGACAACACTACTATTCGCAATTGACCACGCGGTTTTCTTGTTAAAATAAATTTATTATATGCTACTTTCTACTTGTTTTATCGAACAAATTAAAGATCGTCATAGCGAATCCTTTTTTCCGAGAAAGAAGATTGTTACCGTCGACGTCACTTAGGTCGAACCGAGGGCTGCCCATTTCATGCCCACGCGAACCACTCAAATATGTCGCGCACAGCGGTGTACGTTGCGGATAACATGCAGTACTACAATCGTTAATTAACCTGTGAGCAGGAAAACCACTGCTGGGAAATCCGATTTGTCCGGTGCGTCTGGCAGCATGAACAATGCACAATGCTGACTACTTACAATAGAATTTACTGCTACCTTCGTCAATCCCATCTCTACGTTCGTAAGGACTTTTTCAAGAATGTAAATTGATTAAGCGAAATTGCGCAAACAAATATACTGAGTATTTTGCAAGAAAGAGAGAGAGAGAGAGACAGTCCAATAGTCCGGCAGAGATGCGGTTGCTAAGGTGTCGTTTATTGTATATCATCACTTATCATTCTCGAATAGTGCTCGTGTACAGCGTTATAGGCATCCGCGATAAAATTCAGATAGTTACGTTAAGGATGTATTGGCTATACAGTCAATCCCAAAAGTTTATGCACTTTAGAAATGCATTTTTTAAAAAGAAATCAGACGTCGGAAGAACATTGCTAATAATAAACAACAAAAAATTTTCGATTTTTCCGAGATTTTTCCAAGGGGTACCCCCTTCAATTTCTTTCAAATTTTCGTTTTTAGCCAATAACTCCAAAATCGTTGGACATACGGAAAAATTGCATCAGACCTTTCTTGTAGAGAACGACGAGATCTACAATTTCCATGCAAAATTTTTTCGCCAGCGTCAATAGTTAACGAGTAATTTGCAAAAAACTGATTTTTCGTTTTTCGTCAGTAACACGTTAAATATTAATGATAGCGAAGAACTTTTATATGGAAGTTGTAGATCTCGTCGTCATCTACAAGAAAGGTCGTATGCAATTTTCCCGTATCTCCAAGGGTTTAGGAGTTATTGAGGAAAAACGAAATTTTTTTCCAAAAGTTCGCTGTTTCGATGGTGGAATGGTCGGATTTTGTCAACATCAATAAAATGCCAAATAATCATACGTAACTCGTTAAATATCGAAATTAGAAGGAAAACAACTTTTATTTGAAGCATTTTTCGCAATTTTGAAAAACAAATTTTTCAGTGTCAATACTTAATTAGATATTTCCTTCTATACTTTTTAGCACGTAGCTATTTATTATTAGCATTATTCTTCCGACGTCTGATTTCTTCTTAATTATAGGAAATGCGTTTTTCTAAGGTACCTAAACTTTTGGGATTGACTGTATAGCCAATACATCCTTAAAGACCGAATATATTGCGAATTTGGACGCATACCTTCTAAGTTCCTCTTGACTGAGAGCAAGTGCCTGTGCTACTCGTTCTAGCCTGATAGATCGCGTGGTCAACGGAGAAGCTGCATCGCTGCCACCACTTCCTGCACCACCAGTGCTATCCCTTTCGCTCACCGAGTGCAATTCCTCGCCCGACAACTGTAGCTAAGTTATTAATCGATTATTCGTTTATCCGTTCTAAGAACGGTGATACGAGGAATCGGCACAGTGATTTACCTGGCTGGCAGGAAGAGATTCCGATAGTTGACCCGGGCTAGCTAAAGAGGCGGCATACTGATGAAGATGTGCCGGCGACATCGACGCTGGTGCCTTATTAATTAATAAATAACGATGTTAAAAATAACGTAACTTAAAAATCGTTAAGAATCGTAACAACTTTTCTCCTTACGGTGTGATATTTGTGTAAGTAATCCCTGTTAGGACTGTGATGCGACTTTGGCGTGGATCGACCGCTCAACGGTGGCGATGCTCGTTCGAGACTTCGTCCTCTCGCTAACAGATTCATGTGCTCGAGACTGCCAACTCGGGACTCCAACTCCTCGGCACGCGCCTCCGTACTTTGTTTTTCTTCCTTCATCAAAATTGTACATTTTCACATATCTGCGATAAAATCGCAGCGACGGCAACGCGATCAGAGAACGTTCGATTACCTGGATCAGTCTAATTTCATTGTTAATAGCATCTAATTGTTCTTGTAACATTAACGCTAACGTTTGAGCGTCCGTGTGTCCTGTAGGACTGATCACATCGGCTGTGCAACTGAATAAGCTCTCGTTATCGCCGTCGCCTTCCGCATCGCTGGAAACGTCGAACGCCTGTTGCACGTTCGCGAGAACATGTGCCTGTTGCAACTTCCATTCCTGTTCCGCTAAGTTGCGCGCTACGTAATTCTAGAAACAGATTAACAATTCACAGTCGTGTCTCTTCCTTTACAATTTTTGCGTTATCAATTTTAACAAAACATACTTTCGTTGAATCTTCCTCGATCGTAGTTCTTTTGGCCGCTCTCCTCGATAGGGAATGAGTGTCGAAGCTACTGTGACTCGCGCTCCTCGAAAAGGAACCCGGATCCACAGCATTCGGTGACAAACTTCTAGTCAATGCATCGGTTTGTTGAATATTAAACGCTATCTCCTGTTGGAGCATCTGTCTCTTAACGCTATCGATTTCTAAACGAGCTTTTCCTAATTCCTTAACTATCTCGGCCTTCTCATTTTGTAGATCCTCTGCGAGCTTTCTCGTTTTCTCGAGTTCCTGCGTAAGCGCGTTCTTCTCTTCCAACGCGTGCATTCTTTCTTTCAAATGTACTTGTAGTCGATCGTTCGATTCTAAAAAGCAAACGATAATTGACGCGAACCCTGTTTAACGACGACGCAACGTATCCAGTAAAGTTTGTATGAATTACCCGATAGAAGTTTATCAACGGTTGTACTTAGTCGCGTGTTATGTTCCTCGTTCATTTTGAGTCGTTGATTTACACGCATTACTTCCGCGTTCTTTTCCTCGAGTTGCGCTTCCAATCGTTGTATTCTATCCTCAGCGCTGCCGTGCCTTTCTTGAGCCTGCTTATTAAATAATTTATATAATTAAAATCGGGGACCGCAGACTTATCCATCTTCGATGAACTTTTTATCGATCGATCCTTCTTTATTTGCTAAAAATCTAACATGAAAAGCTAACGAGTTTTATTGAAAGTATAGAGACACGTGGCTAATGTACACATATTTCTACAGAATAGTGATAAGAATGATACTAAACTAAGAATTCTATCGATAAGCGTCGAAAGAAAATAGTCACATTATTCACGATGTTCAGTGTAGAACTTTGAATGTGAACTTTACCATTTGTACATTTGATTGAATGGAAAGAACGATCCCAAGTATATTCTTTGTCTGTGTATCATGTAAGCGTATAGACAGTCACGAAGAACAACGAAACACTGACAAAGATCAATGTATATAAGCTATAGAAGGTAGAGTAGATGCTGCTGCTATTTTTTTCAAGTAAAAGATATAGAAAAATGGGCAAGCATTTTAAAGATGGCTCGGGAAGAAGGATAGAGTACTGACAGAAGTGCAGAGGAATAAGAAAAGAATTAAACTGATGATACACGGACGACTCAATTCCTCTGCGTACCTGGTTGGGCCTCCTCACCTGCGTCAGAGCCTCCATCCTCTGCTTCAATTGCTCTTCCATTTCTGGTAATTTCGCGTATTGGGCTAATTTCTGTTCCGCGAGCTCTAATTTCTCCTGTATCGCTGCAATTTTCTCTTCTTGGAGCTGAAACGAGTATTTCGCGCGCGTTACATACACAAGAATGCCGCACGCATGAAGGGGCCAACGAGACGACTACCTTTAATTGAGCCTTCTTGTGTTGCAGCTCCTGTTCCAGCTTCTCGTTTAGATCATGCAAACTAGTGGACTCTCGTTGAGCGTTCAGATATCGCTTTTCAAGAGTAGCTATCCTCTCTTCTTGGTCCTCTTTTTGAGCAAGGTTCTCGCGCAAATCTCTTTGGAGTTTGACGTTCGCCTCTTGGGTCTTCAACAGATCTTTCTGAGCCTTGGACAAGCTCTCCTCCATTTCCGTCACTCGACCGCTCATTTCGGCTACTCGTCGTTGCCACGTGCTCAACTCTGAGCTCTACAACGATCGTTCGACACGGTTATCAATAAAATTCATCGAGCGTGCAACATGCTACTAGTGTACTTGTACTGTGTAACGGCAGTATATCAAGGGTCGTGTTTCTTCTATCGTGGGATAGTACACCAATATAGCAAGCTGCCACAAAGTACAGACAATTTTTTGCTCCGACTTTCGGACACGATACTATGTCTAAATTATGCTTGTGACTTGTAAATGTTTTGTGTGCCGGTATTTCGTGTGTGTGTATGCGTATACATTGAAGTAAGAATTAAGCCGATCGTTAAGTTTCGCTCGGGGAAGAAAAGTTCATTCTTAATCACTGGATCATGCGAATAAAGAACGTTGAACACATATCGTCGATATAAATTCATTCCAAAAGTTTCACATGCTGTAGGCATCAACGATAGTATGCCACAGTTAAGGAGTGAATTCGAAATGTGCAACGTAATATGTATTCGATTTCGTTGGTAATATTTATATGTATATAAGAACCCATTATCTCTCTCTGTACGAAAACATACGATAACCACGAATCGTATATCTCATTAATCTTTTTATCAGCGGTTTAGCATCATGCAGCGTAAAGGGAACGTTCTAAGATCTAAGATTTCTGTAAACTCGCGCGAGGCCGCGAATCGTTCGGAACGCATGCAGAAAAGTTCAGAGGGGGAAACGAAAAAGAGTGTCGTCCCGCGTCTTAACAAAAATATACTTTTAATCACACCGTAGGTATACTTCTAGCCAATTTTGGTTTTCTAAGCCGGTGGCTCGTAAGATCATACGTACTGAGACATCGGTACGCCATAATACGATTTCATACCTGTTTGTCGAGAGTGGTTTGTAAATCTATTAATCGTGCTGTTGAATCCTGATCGGCCGGATCGAGGCTCCCATTGCTGAGTCTACTCCCGATCTCGGTCGGCCTCTCCGTACCTAGCTTTTGTACCCCTTGCTGTTGCTGTTGTAGCTGTAGCTGCTGCTGCTGCTGCTGTTGCTGTTGCTGCTGTTGCTGCTGCAGTTGTTCCTGCTGGCCTGCCGCCTGCTCAGTTTCATTCTGCCCGATTACAACACTACATTCAGAATGCCTCGCTCGCACTTTGCCTGTCCCGCATCGCCCAACTCCGCGCGACTCCCAATCGAACTATGTATGTATGTATTTGACTACAAAAGGAGGCTACGCGACTAAGCCAGCTACTTAGAAACTACCGTGCACACGTCACGCCGATGAACGCATTCTCATTATGGATGCAACGATCGAGATGAATGACAAGCAGATGGTCAGTCTATCGGTACAGATTTGAACTCCGTTCGAGCCTCGATGACGATGATTTCAAGTCGAAAATTCCGATGACATAGACAGATAGATGAGAATAGTAAATGATCAAATATTTTTAAGTCGGATGACACAGAATGTAGGATATTAAACGCATGAGCCAAGGGCTGAAATCTGTGACCAATAACTTTGTAATCGATCAATATCTAACGCTGAGATTAGAAGCGTATCATAGATAGAGAAAAAGAGAGGACGATAGATAGCGATGACGCAGTAAACGAGAACTCTTTATCGCTCTATGCAAAAGAGAACGGAGTGATGTGTATATATATATATACGTGTGTGTGTGTGTGTGTGTATATATATATATATACTTTGATTATATTAAAACCATGGAGCATGCATAGTGAACAAAAGATATAGTAATGGATGCAAAGTCATGGTCAGACATGTGTTGGACACCCTCTCCTCCTGTATGCATCGATGAACAGTGACTGTGAAGTATGAGGGAGCAAGTGTTATGTGAAATATCTGTGGAGTGCGGTAACGCGTTTTGTTGTGCATCATTGTCGCGATGTATATCTTCGGCTACCTTGTTCTGCTGCTGGCCATCCTCCGTTTGCCCGTTCTCTTTTGGCCTGTCCTCTACAGCTTTGTGCCCGCTCAATTTATATTGCTGAAGCTGCGAATTGGTCATCAGAAAGATTAGCAAATTTCGATAGGGACACTCGCCTTTTGGGTAAACGCGAAAAAGGTCAGATGAAACGGTACCTCTTCTTTGGTAATGGCTAGCTCTTCTTCCAAACTCGTGTTTCTTTCCAACGCGACTCGCAGCCGCTCTCGTACCTGAAAATTAATTCGCTGATTCGTTATGCGTCGCGATTCTATTTGACCGAAACCGCGCCGTCAATGATAAAATGTACGGTTCCGTTGTCCCCCTTTCGTCTACGATACATCTAGTTCACCGATATTAGCAGTTACTTGAATACATCGGTTTCAGGGCTCAGTCACACCGTGACGGATGATGCTCGGGTACACCCATTTATATATAATAGCATCCTCCGCCAAGGTTGCGAACGTGTCAATGTCATCAAACAATAGGATCAGAAAGTTCTTACTTTCTCATCCAAAGCCTTGTGATGCTCGAAAAGACTTTTCAGAGCTTTCAGCACTTCAACTTCGGACGATACTCCAGATTGCGCGGCCGCTTGCCTCTTAACCACAGTCATCCTGAGCGATCGCTCGTGCCGCGAGACCAGACATTCCAGATGTTCGAGTAGAAGCTGTGGAAGGGAATCGTTTTTTAGCGAGCCGGACTGCCTACGCGTACACAATTTAATCCGACGACTATTACGTACACGAGTATTATTCCTCTCGGCTTTCAGTTCCGATATTTCCTCTTCCCTCTCTAAGATATTTTCGCGTGCCGCCGCGAGTTCCTTCGTCAGCTGCGAGAAGTCCTGCAATCAGTAACGTAACCCATTCCATTATCAATCTGGGAAGAGGGAACACGATTCGAAAATCAGGAGACGATCTATGGATCGAGAAACGCGAATAGATCGTCGCTCGGTCCCAAAGGGAAACTACACTTTCACCTTTTTCATTCAACCGCGTTTTACACACGCCTCCGAACGCGTTACTTCCGCTCGACATTCCACCGGAACGTTAAATCTTTATTTATAAATGCTGCCGCGATCGATACGGCCTTCCGCGAGCACACAACATCGTCTGGCTGTTTTATGCTTTTACACTTTAAAGGAGCAAACAGTCCGGTCTAAATTTAATGCCACCGTCCCCAGATCGTCATGAAACCTGACAAAATACTGCACGTGCGCTTGGTATTTAATTGCCATCGATACCGCATCTGTACTTAAGGCTCTAATCCAATTTTCAACCAAAAGGATGTGCAAACGTGTCCCGTACGTCGAATCGGACTTTAGCTAATTGAAAATGTATTTATGAAAGGAGAAACATTAATTGTAAGCGGAGAGCGAGGTATTTAGCACAGCCGAAGGATCTTTCTGCCTATGTCGTCGTATTACTATTTTAATAGTATGAGCTGGAGGCTTGTAATGCGCAATACGCGCATAATAATGAGCGGTCGTCATTTTATTACGTGACTTAACAGTAATCTCGTCCCATCTTACATGATCGACGACTTTATAATTATTTTACTTCAACATAATTATAACTAATAATACATATCTGTGATTTCGAAGAAAATATTGAAAATTATCACATTCTGTTACGAGAACAATAAAATTCGATGAAGAAGGAAAAATAATTCTGAATAAAATGTGACGAGTAGGGAAGAAAAATATAAACTCGTTATTTTCATTCGTCGCGTCGCACCATGTTAGCTTCGTCTCCGACAATGAACATCATTGCACGCGAACGGCTTCGTTTATACACGAATTCAACATACGCTTCGTGCAATTATCTTGAACCACCGAATCGACCTTTCCTCAAGATTCGGTTTCGGATAAATGATGTAACGCTGTTTAAAGAAGAACGCGAACACATTGGTAATTATCAGCGATTATACAGCAATTAGTAGCGCTGAGCGTAATCGAGCAATGAACATTGAACCGCAAGATCCTTGGGCATATCGCACGCGCAGCGTAACTAATCTTTTATTAATCGGCCACGCATACAAACGAAACGCGTCGACGTTGAAACGATCGACGACACCGCGTCGACGACAGTTTTAAAGCTAGCACCTTCGAGAACGAAAGTGTATAATACAACGCCTACGCGCATTTTCCTGTCTGCGAGGCTGTTTTCTCGAAATTCCGGTCGAAGGAATGGCATTCAAGGAAGGAAAGGCATTCATAATTAGTAGAAAAATCGAATGTGCATCTAAACTGAGATATCATAGTCTGAGTGAACGTTGCATAAATGACGAAAAAAATTGCTATGTACGATACATCTTTTAAACGAATAGTATAAATATCTTCAAAAAGTCTGGTAATTAGTCGCGTAGACTAATCGAGGACTTCTCATCTGTTGCTGGTTTGCGGTTCTCCGACGTCGCAATGTGTATCAGTGTACTCTCGCATAAAGAGTCGTAGTTCTATTTGTTCGCCAACTAACGGGTAACAGTTTCCAGCGGGGTATAATATACGCCAGATGTTTACCGTCCGACTTGGTCACTACGCAAATACCGAGGAGCTACTTCATCCGACTTCCAGATCATATGTAAACCCCCTGTGCTCTCCCTTACTAAATCTCTTCGATGCAAACAGATAGTAAAGAGGAATGTCTCATTAGAATATTAACTGATTATCCCTTCAAGCATCGTTCTGTCCTATACGATTAAAGGAAATAGTAGAAGATCCATAATGAGCGCAATGGAAGATAAGTAAATCAAGATAGAAAGTATCTCAGATCGAAAACGATCGGTTCGTGAAAGAATCGAAGTCACTGCGTAAGCCACAAGCGTACGCTGGTTGAAACTCATCCAAGTTCTTCGACGACGATCCTGCAGTCTTCACAATCGTTCCCAATGAATTCAGTTCGCGCATTAATCGTGTAAACCGAGTAGTCGCCGTTAATATGTAATAAGGTGGGTGTGGGTGGACGTGAGGCTAACGCTCCGACTATATACGGCACTGTGTGTTTCGCGAGTGCACTCTAAACAGGTGGTTCTCAACTCATTATGCATACGTATATACGCCTAAGTACGTCCATTCGGTATTCGGCACCATCGTAGATGAATAAATATCGAAAACTACGTTGACTTTTCATCTCTTAAAGAATTTAATTAGTCGACTTATACGAAGAGCGTAAATCTGGAAAAAAGAACTTGGATAGTCAGATACGTGATAATTCTCTTACAGCGAGGCATCCTTGCTAGCTCTTACGCAGCTCTGTAATCGATCGGTGTTATCGAGCGCATTGTAACTCAAAACCGAAGGATATCTCATCGATAGGAGGTCGCGATGAAAGCCTCTGGCCCGGTTGGTGGTTGCGCGCGCGAATAGAGAGAGCTACTACTACTCGGTAGCGTAGTGTGTAAAAGGCGAGGTTCATTCATGCGCCGCCGGCCGGAGTAAGGTGGGGTGACTATTGATCGTCGAGCGTATATATCGTATATACCGGTGCATTGCACTCGCTCGCTTCGTCCTAGAAATTTTTACCCCCCAAAACTCTCTTCTCCCGTATCCTCCGTATCCTCCACCTCCGGCGCGGTGCCGGTGTCGCCGTCCGTTTCGTATCGTTTCGTCCTTTCTGCCCGATTTTTCCCAACGGATTTCTTCCCACTGCATTCCGGGGCCGAACAATCAGCCCTATTCGGGCTTCGGAATCGATAAACTTCCCGGGGGCCTCTTTCCAGCTTTTTCCCCCCCGCCTCTACGTTTTATCTGCATACCTAGACGACGACAAGAGTAAAATCGATGCCAGTCAAAAACAATTACGTGCTCCGTTTGGAACTGTAACTACTAATTACTATCGATTCTTGGTAGAGCTCGAAAAGTCGGTGCGAGGCATTCAATTGTCCACGTGAGGATACAGTATTTTGTATCATATGAGATGAGAAGTAGGGAATGGAGAATTCGTAAGGCCGCGAAACTATTTCACCCTGTGATCTGAATATTTCCTTAACGGAGGGTCGTGTGGCTCAATCGTTTTTCTCGCTTCCTCTCCCGTTCCCCAGCTTCGCTTCCGCTGCACGCGCTTGCAGTTTTTTGCACTCTCTGGCCGGCATTACGCGCCGAAACTGCGAGCGGGTCAGTTCCCCGTCCTCGTCGATCCTTTCGAAGGATCTCCGTCGTGTGCGTCCGCGTTTGTGTGAATGCAATGATAGACAGAGAGTGAGAGAGAAGAAATTTTACGCTCGAAAGTTTCCATCCCGGCTCCTCCTTCTCTGCAGTAGACAGGACGAAACTTTCCGCAGTATTACAAATGAAACGGTCTTTGTGTCGCGTTGCCGCAGCTTCGAGAGATCGCTCCAAGCATGCTTGGCAGCGAACCCTTTCTTCCGGACAACGTTCTGCCAGGACTGTTCCAAATAATGCCGCGATATCCCAACCGAAACTGGTGCTGATTTATATAGAGAGGTGGCGAACGGACGTCCCGTCCCGTTCCGAATTCCTTCCAAAAGATGATATTCGATTAAACCTTTTCTTCTTAATCGTCCTTCCGTTATATACAATCTCTTCTGCGAACGGATTTAAATTACTCCCACTTTTACGTGGATATTACGCTCATAGAAAATGAAAGATTCCCTTTTTATGGGCTATTACGTACACGTGCCTTCCACAGAATTACCTTCGGCCGACCGAGTGTACACATACACGGTGGTAACGGTTACGTTGCGAGACGCGTATCGACGATACATTACGTTCCAGGCACATGGAGATAGGGTGTGGATAGACCGTGGATATCATAATGTAATATGCGCCGGATTACAGGCTGCCTCGGAACTCGGAGCAATTGGAGTGCGAAGGACAGAGTCACTCGAGCAATTCGCGTTACGTACTCGCCTCTACTTTCGTCCTTCCGCGATTTCCTTGCAGATTTTTGCGCTTCGCTCCGAGAACTCTTACCGCGAATTAACGAAAATTTAGACCAGGCTGAGGAAGGTTCAAAATCCGTGCCGGTGTCAATTAGCGAACAGATGCTTCGCAAGGTACGCAGAGATAGATTTTCTCCTGCTAATCAACAGGGACAGGGGCGGAGAATTCGAGTCGTTAGCGACACTTAACAACCTGACACTCGATACCATCCGACGGGAGAAGAAAAGAGGAAAACGCGAATCTAAATTAATATCTGTTAGTTCGAATATCATTTTTTATACCGATTTATGACATAAAATGTTCCGTTCTTGAATTAATTAAAATTCTCTCTGCGAGCTCTCTCTGTTTATTATCCATTCTCTGTTCCCGTTTCATTTTTATCCTTTGTCTTGAGAATACGTGCCACTGGGTCGCACGCGGGAGACAGAAAATCCTGTCCACGGGAAAATATGAGAGGAAACCCCAAAGTAGCCTGGAACGTAAGACGGCGTGTAATACGGTCGTCGCAAAATGCAATATATAAGAATAAAATGACTTTGACGAACTGAGTGATTATCACGTGCTATAGATATTCGTCTGATCGTTTTTCTGCGTTACTTATTACACATTACATTATAGGCAGACCGTCGGTACGTCGTACATATGTATAAAAGGCAATCGAGCGACGAATGGATCGATATATATGTCCATCGGTTTCTCTCCCATCAATGCTCCATCATACATCAATGCTTCACATTGTGTCCCTTGCCTCCTCTACGTACTGCATACCTTTTGACACGTACGCCTGCATATACCTCGTATCTTACAACTTCGGAAAGAAACAGCGAGAGGAACGGAATTAACTTGCACGGGTAGGGAACGTTAACGAGTGTTACGCATTCAAATGTTAGACGCGCAACGTTATCACTTCGATGAGTACTTAATGAGATACGCTAGATAGGAATTGCCAGTGATAAGGAATTTTTTATGCACACACTGGCCCTTATCATACAGTGCTGAGCACTCGCGAAATGCAATTTACCTCACGCCCATTCATTATTTGTATCGATCCATGAAAAACAGTTAGAATGAAAATTGCAACTACAATCCTTATACTGTAGAGATTTCGCGAAATGCGAAAACGTGTATACAGCATATACATATCTACGTCCTACGGGTTTGCATCGAGATTCGAGATGCATTATATGCATTTCCGGCGGTTTACCGTTATGTACACGTATCTAGGAATTGGACCACAAAGTAGATAATATTGCTTTCTGCAAACCATGTGCATCGCGTTTCTGTTCAGTATCTATAAAGATCGTTCTTCCAGAAAAGAACTTATGAATCTTAGAAAATAATCCGGTCTATTCATTAGACGGTAAAAAAAGTTGAAGTTACATTACGTATCTTTAACGCCAGACTGTTTTTCTATTAATTATTCCACCTTTTAACGTAAACGGCCTTTGACGGGAGCTGCTCGCCGAGGAACGAACCAAGTTTTCTGCAGTGTGCAAGGTAGGCACCTCTACACACCAGTCAAGGAAATAAGTATCGCAATCAGTAGGCGCGGAGCGTTGCGTTTGCGTCCTTAATCGGTTTCCAAGAAGCGTGAAATTCTCGCGCGCGTTGGCCTTTTACTTAAACGACCAACTCATTTTTCCTTTTTTTCCCTTTGCATAAGAACAAGAATCTACCACGTTCTTGCCTTCAAACACTCGTCAATGCATCTCCGACTAATGGCAAATGCCTTTGCTCTAAAGTAGGATTTCAACTTGCGAAACCTCGCGAGATAGGTACTTCGATAACGATACTAATTTACGATGTTAAGCCCGGAGTACCTGTTACAAATCGATCCGTTTCAATTTTCGAGCAAGCGGAAATTTTATAGGCAACTAAATTTTTGTGTAAGACGAAATTATGAGCCTGTTAACGGAGTAATTCGATTTTACTCGATTCCATTGAACGTCGCTTTTCCCAGCGCGATATCGCGTCAACGTGCTATATATACCAGCACTACGGACGAACGAATATTACGTGTAATTAAGTGCAATAACTGAGTGCCACTCTACTATACGGCAAAACCAGACACGAAGCCAAATACTTCGCATCGTGTCCCATATCGAGAACCTGTTCGTTTCTTATACAAAAATTATCTAGAATTCGACATGGTCCTGTCGAAAGTTAAACGAATCGCGTCTAACAAGACGATTTAAACGTGTCCACGTTCTCGCGACAACGATGATAAGACAAAATACTGTTTGCAGGAGAGCTTCACCGCGTCACAGCCTGTATAATACCGTATGTACACCCATTCTCTCTCTCGCGCTCTCAAAAACTGGGACACCGCGAAGATAACGCGTTGTTTTAATCATTACGTAAACGTAAACGCTTCGGCAATTATAGACGTATCCTGCATTGGCACGCTTCGATCGGTTATTTGCATATACCCCGTATAAGTATAGCGAATAAAACTCGAATGAAACAACGTTTGCATCGAAGTTACATAGAACTGCGAATCACGTGCAACGAAATCACGCGCACGCAAACGTATGTACATGAATAGGTGAAACGTGCATGGGAATACCAGTGTCTCATATCTCAGGCCTTTGAGAACAAATTAAGATTTACCTGAGGAATGTTCGCGTTCAGCTGACGATTAAGCGAATCCCGCTCCTTCTCGACCTCCTGCAGCCTTGACTCGGTTTCTTGTAGCCGTTCCTGGGTCTCATGCAACGACTCCATAAGCTTGTCCCGCTCATCGAGCATGGACACCATCAGCTGCTCGAAGTTCGAATCATCGCCGGAGTATTGCGAATTCCGCTGGCTGATACTGTCCTCCGGGATAGGCGGCATCACCTCGCACATCATATTCCACATTTTGCGTTATCCAAACTCTTACTTCTCTTGCTTCCTCGCTCGGCTCTTTCTCTCTCGCCCTACCTGTCGCGCGCGCGCAATCTTTCTATCGGTCACCCTTTCGGCCGGTTACACAGAAACTTCACTTCGAATACGACACGCAAATGAAATTACGAGGAGAGCATACACGCGCAACACGCGCGCGTACATACATGCACGGTAACGTGGACACTCGCGTGCGCGGCAGTGACAACGAAACCCACCGCTTTCGATACCGATATAAGTATGTATTCGACTGTACGCCTGGTAACGTATACGTGTATACCTCTCAAGTTCCAAGCTTTTTCAGTTAGTCATTTTTCAGCCAGTAGCTTGCCCTCTCTTCCTCTTCTTATGCTAGCTGAAGTAGATGTTTGTCTCTTTCCTTCGCCTGAACTGCACCAACAACATTCACACGCCGGAATCTTCCGTGTTCCTCTCGAGCGCGAACGATCGACCGCTTCACCCGGTCGCCGAACAGATACCTTGGTTCCTATAGAACTATATAATAACGACTAACCTGCCTTCCCGATTGAGAAGCGACGAGAGAAGCTCGAACAGCGATTTTCCCTCTTCAGTTAACCGTTAACTCAGTACACATGTACCCAGTGTCTACTGTCTACCTAGCTACCGGCGCGGCGCGGTGGAATCGTCGCTCGAATAAGTTCCAAGTTCAACATCACTCGAGCAGACACGAGCTGCTACTTTCTCACTGTGATTGAAACTCATGTCTCGTTTCGAGCGTCGCACGATACATTCTCAGTGACCGAGCTATTGTTTACGGAAAGGGATCAATCGATATAGGTACGATGTACGTGTAGACACGCATACACGGAATCGCGTACGGCACTCGCAACTCGCAGCAGCAGCGATGGAAGCAAAGTCGACGCGAGTTAGGATACTACGTTCCCTTGAGATTGATCGATCGTGTGTTCCTGTCCACGGCGTCAACAACTGCGAAGGGTAAACGGCCCGATGCCCGACTATTTCGCGGCTGACCGATATAGCGGATCGAACGGAAACCACAACACGGTCCAGTTTGACAGATCGGATGCACGACGTGCACACGATATCGAACGTACCGTCGGATTCCTTATACGTACACGCGTTTATCCATATCAGATTCGGATCTTCGATCACTGAGATGGACACCCCTGCACGATGTGCACACTTCACTTTCGACCGCGATCGGCTTGATCCTCTCCCGATCCTCTCTTGAGATCAGCAGCGGTCACCCGACAGTCCGACTTTCATCGATGAACTCTGATATCACTGGACTGATCACCTTCTCTTTACTGATTCACACTTGGATTTCATTCAGATGCAGGATCTCACCGTATCTGCTTCGAACTACCGCGTGTACATATCACCGATCGCACACGAGTAGGTTGTAAATTGTAGGTTGTAGGTCGTAGGTTGTAAGTTGCGAGTCGGATGTTTCACGTACCGGGAGATCAGGAGGAAACTTGTTATTGCTAGTCCCAGAAAACGAGGTTCACGTAGCCAGACAGGGTCGGGACACACCGCTCCGAATCGCCTCGCCAACTATTTCGCGAATAATCATATCACCATCCGAGACTCGGCCGACGGAACGATCCCGGTCTTACGTACGAGCAATACGCGAGCCGCGAGTCAGCGTGCGACGACGACGATCGGCATTTCGATGGCATTATCGCGGTGAAGCCGAGTACTGACTACTGACACACCTACAGTTCGTTCCTACCGCCCAGCCTCTACGCTACTCCATTTCCGATACCAACGACCATCTTGCACCGTGACGTCAGCCTTCGTCCCCGAAGGTACCTCCAATCGGTGCGACTCCACCCGAATGCTCCACGAGTCTCCTAGTGCCTGCAAGTCTACAGCCGCGTCCGCAATCCAACGACGGGATCGATCATTTCTTGCCACTTGTGGCACATCCATAAACGCATATCTCGAATACGCGGATCTTTCGAATCATGGGCACTGGGCACTCTGATTTCCTCTTGCAATTACTCCAAATGCTTCTTAATGTCTGTAAAAGATATTTAATAGGGCTCTTACTCAAACTTTACACTCGATCGTAGCGTAGAAAATGATACAGAACGTTCAAATTGTATTTCTTGTACCTTCTTAAACGTCTATTTTTATTTCGGTTCGGTTAAAAGAAGATCTGATCGAACAGAGAAATCGGTCGTTAACGATTAGAACGCGGTTTTGATTGACGCGAGAGCGGGAAGAAAAAATCGGGAAGCTTAATTTTACAGAAGGCGGAGACTGCGCTACAGCGCGGGATGCTGGATGATCAATACCGACCACCGTAGCAAATCCTGGACCAAGAGGTGCACAGGTACAGTCAAGAGAGATAGAGGCGAGCATCATGAAAACAGTCACGCATACTTGCACGCCAGGATCCACGGGTAAGCAGTCCTGGAGCAGTCAAATTATTATTAATCTGCACGTATTTATTCGCTGTAATATCGAGAAACTCCAAAACGATAATTTTTCTTGGCGGTGTTTTGGAGCGAGTCGCGTTCCGCAAGCAAATGACAATTTGAACATTCCCATTTCCCGAGTTGCGCTATACGATATAATTTTAGATCTACCTGGGGATGACTCGATCGAGGATATTGCCGAATCGGTCGACGAGCTCCGAGAGAAATTGGCCAACATGAAGAGGTTGATGGAAGAGAAGCGAGGCAGCACCCTGGGTGAGATAAGCGCGAGGAAGAGAAAGGAGACTTCGGATATCATAGACGGGAACTTTCTCTCTTGGATATTCGGCTCGGCGCTTATCATCATCCTCAGCGTTAGCTTCTACGCTTTTTACAATCTTTACCACGCGGTCTTGAAGAAGTTCCCCTCGCATCATACGGAACTGTAAATAGACGGTGCGATCCGCGATTCATTTAAGGAAATCTATCGATGTTCTTCGGTTTTAACGTTTGTCCTCATGATACTGTACAAGAAAACTTGTATTACGATCGCGACGAAGCATGCGACATATCATCGGTCAGGTCATCGTGGTCTGGAACGGCAGAAGGAATCGAGAAAGGGATGGTGAGCGGGCTCCTTTGACGTGCACTTAATAAGTTCAACGAAAATTTTCTCGTACTTTTCGCATGTATCCACAAGAAGGTTTCTGGAACAGTAACTAAGTACGATAGTCTCAGACAGATGATTGATTCATCGAAGTATCACCACGCATTAAACGCATCGGAGAAGGAGCGAGTGTCTTGAACCGTCTCTCTGAATTACCTATTCGTTTCAATGCATTTGCGAAAACATAGACGATTCAAAGGGTGAGGCATTTAAAGGAAAAATCTTTAGAAAGAAGAAAGGGGATGTGCGCGTTCTTCGTTTTTTCCAAATTTTCTCGTCTCGTCCGAAAAACCGAGAATCTTCTCGTACATAGCTACTTATCGTTAGTACTCGCAGAGATGAAGAGGGTACTCGACGCTGTGAAACATCGATAATGAACGAGAAACGATGCGATCAACGGTTCGTTTCTTTATATTCTATCACTTAACGCGAGAATCTTTCGTGTTCGTCATTTATTGGAATGTACATATTGTGAATATTAAATAAAGATTCGATCGAAAACGTCTTCTTGTCACTGCCCTTTCCAACACCTCCCTCGCAATTACCCATTCTAATTTTTATTGTCTTTAATACGAAAAACAGTACTGTGAACGTTTAATTAAAAACAATTACTATACATACAGGACGATGAATTTTTTTGTTCATGGTAAAACGAAACAACTCACGCGAGAATGTCTTGACTTCTCTGTGCCCGAAGCTAAAAACGATTCAATTTAATGAAGGGCTGGAATAAGGAAGGACAGAAGTAGCGAAAACTTACAAAACTGTGTCTTTTTGTTTTCTAACTCTTTGGAAAAGTTATTCAGCATTTTTTGATAATCTTCTTGTTGCTGAAATTGCACCACCGATCTATCGTTATCCCTTTACACGTGTATGTGCAGATATTTAATGAAACTTTAGAGCTACCTTCAATACTTCGGTTCTAAGAGCTTCCCGGCGAATTGACAAATTTGAAATTTGGTTCTGCAACGTTCTCACCTGTCGGACGTATCGAATAGAAATAACGATTTTCTACGAACGGTCGCGTGTTACCTCATCTTCGGTTTTTCGAATGTCCTTTTTCAACTCCATCATCAACGAACGATATCGATCACGACACGACGACGTTTTATTTTCTAAATCACTCAACACCTTCTCCGCGTTCTTTATCTCGCACTGCGATTTTTGTAACTACGCAGAACGTGTCGAGCTAATTATAAATTTCTCTGCCAAAGTTTCATTTATTAACGAATTCATTTTGCTTACTGCCCGCTCTTTTTCTGTTAATTTTTCCGTCAGCACTTCTAACTTATCGTCTACGCTATCGCGAATCTGAAAGACGCACGTAGATCTGACGAACGTTAAAAACGTGTAGGAAATTGCTTTTAACTGACTTCGATCGGGAACCCGATTTCTACGATCTTTTCTTGGGGTACGATCTGACAAATACGATTTGCGTTAAAGTGGGTTAAAGACTTCGCGTGAATAAAATTCATTTAAGAAACTTACATATTTTTTCAACTCCTCCGTTTGAGCTTTATACTTCATTACAAACAATACTATTAGTTAGCGCAAGGAGTTGTTAATAGGAACGATAAATGATTAGAAATCCTTACCACGATCAGGAGAAACGTAACGACACAATAGACGATGAAAACAAATATGCACACTATTTTAAAGGTACAAACTGACAGCAATACATGCCACATTATGAACAATTTGTCGACGAACAATTACCCGATATGAAATAATAACAGAATCGCACGAATTACAAATTGTAAACACATAAATTTATAAGAATATCATGTTAGTAAAAACCGAAGATCTAACGATGCTTCCATTTTGAACGATCACTTTATCGAAACTGTATGAAAATATCGAAATTCGAAACTGATCGAAACATCGGTGCAATAGGCAGCAGCAGGTTTAAAGAAATAATCATTTTATTATTTTATTTTGAATGAAAATATAATTATCAATTAAAAAGAAAGCTATTGTCAATCCATTGCTCGATAATGCTGACGTATTACTGAAATTATACAATTACTGTATACACGATGAACTACCTTTATGAAACTTTTACTCCTGTAAACATTAATCCATATTTTGACAAATTACTATGATGCAATTTTGCATTATCGCTATCAACGAACTGTAATAATAGAACACATGTCCCGACTGTCCAGCTATAGCTTACGGAATTCGGATTTTTGCACGTTTTCGAGTGTGCTACTAACATAATTGTATCATTAAACGGTGCATAATTTAATGCTGAAACACGTCCGTGCGAAATGTATTCACGTATCTGTCTTGCAGAGAGAAGTTCACAGAATCCAAGAAAAGTATTCTGATCATGTAACCTCTAAATATGGAGTGTTCAATACGAAACGGAACGGCGTAAATAAAAGATTCTATCATGATTCTCATTTCCCACTTCACACAACAATATTACCCTCGCAATCGCGAATCGTTATTGCGGGTGCAGGAACAGTGGCAAATTCTGTTGCTTATCATCTTGTTATTAATGGATGGAACGATGTTTTAGTACTGGAGCAGAATAGGTATTTGATTTTTATTTCATTTCGATGCCTATGCAACACGTTTTACTATGATGAAATTAACGAATTCTAAATTCCGTGTAGAATTGGCAGTGGAACATCCCATTTTGGATCAGGGACGCTCGGTCTTTTTAAACCGATATCTCATAGGAATTTGATTTCTTATAGCATCAAGCTATACCAACAGCTACAAGAAACAGGGTACGACATAGGACTAAAACAATGCGGCAGCGTGTACTTAGCACAAACCAAAGACAGAATGATAGCTTTAAAAAGAAGAATGGCTTACAATGTCCCCACAGGCTTAGATTGTAAAGTAAGGCTTATTAACTGAGCCACGAAATCTATCAAAAATAGAATTCTATTCATGAACCGTTCATTAGGTTTTAGGTAGAGAACAGTTAAAGAAACTGTATCCGTACATGCATACAGAAGATTTGGAAGGTGCAATTTGGGTTCCTGAAGATGCAATAGCGAATCCCAGTGCGGTTTGCGACGTTCTGGCTAAATTAGCCAAAACTGGGGGAGCGAAATATATCGAAAATTGTCGTATAGAGGAAGTATGCACAGAGAACGGAGCAGTAAAATGTGTAAATACCGAGTATGGAGTTGTATCCTGCGAGTATTTCATTAATTGTGCAGGGATGGTATTGTCATTGTTCACATACGAAATTTTACGTAATTTCAATGTCACTATTCAAATGCTATCTGTTTTATATAGTGGGCAAGACAGTTAGGCTTACGTTGTAATCCACCTGTCAGAATTCCCGCTTATCCGGCGGAAAATTTTTGTGCAATAGTTTCTCCATTTCCACCGAACTCAAACGTGGCCTTGCCATGTATCCGAGATTACGATTCGTATTCGTATATAAGAGAATGGCAAGGTATTTTATTCGGATAAACATATACGATGCATTTAGATCATGCACGTAAATTTATAGGAGGCTTGTTAATCGGTTGGTTCGAACCCGAATCGAAACCCGCGTTCGAAAATGGTATCGTTCCTACAAACGATTGGAGAAATTATCTAACAATTGATCCCGCGCACTGGATACCTTTATGGGATAAAATAATACACAGAATGCCTTTGTTAAAAGATGTACAGCCTAATGTGTACAATTGTCCAGACAATTTTACGCCGGACGGGAGATGGATATTGGGAGAAAGTCCAGAAGTGAAGAACTATTTCATCGCCGTTGGCATGAACGGGAATTCATTGCAAGGTATTTAATTGACAATTCTTTGACTCCTGTTTGCTATTCAGTTGAAATTTTGTTAGGGGCAGGAGGAATAGGAAAAGAAGTCGCAGAATGTCTGATAAACGGTGAATCTACACAAGAAATACTTCCTTTTAATGTACAGAGATTTCTGGACTTGCACAGTAGTAAGCGATACTTGCAACAGAGAATCAAGGAAATCGTCGGAAGAAATTATGCTATCTTATATCCTCATCAATGCGAGTACAAATACGCTCGGAAACTTCGTTGCTCGCCTTTGTATTCCGTCCTTGAGGAAAGGGGGGCAATTTTCGGCGTAAAAATGGCTTACGAACGTCCGTTATACTTCGATTCGACGTACATAAGTGAGAAAATTAATCAACATCCTCGACGTATTAGTCAAATGACGATTAATCATAATTAACAGGAGGTCAAAGAAAACCAGTTATGCCGCCGGGAAGTTTCTACAAACCCAAGTTTTTTGACTTTATGAAAGAAGAATTTCTTGCGTGCAAGGAAGGGGTGGGAATAATAGATATGAGCTCATTTTCGAAGATCGAAATCAAAGTATGAACTTGAAAAACGGATTGGCCGTTTCTATGAACGTTCTCATATATAATAACCAGTTATTGTATGTCCTTAGTCTAGTCGTCGGGAAGTTGTGGACTATCTCCAGCATTTATGCTCGAACGATGCGGACGTTCCGGTGGGCGGTATAGTGCACACGGGGATGCAAAATGAAAGAGGAGGCTACGAGAATGATTGCATGTTAGTGAGACAAACCGAAAATAGTTACTTCATGGTTTCGCCTACGTCGCAACAAACTCGTGTTTATCAATGGATGTCTAGGTAAACGAAAACTAAAAAAAAATTGAACGTCTTTATAAAACTGGACCGTTTACAGACATTTACCAGCCGACCATTCGGTGGGCCTTAACGATGTTACTTCGAAATATACCGTGATCAATTTAGTAGGACCGAAAGCAACAGGGCTCCTTTCGGAACTTTCCAATTCCGATATTAATCTTTCGCCATTTACGTACAAAGTAATCGTTTATCATCCTCTCTCGTTAACCATTTCAGCCAACGATGCATTCATTCAATTGACTCGTTTTAGAATGTAAACGTGGCATACGCTTCGGACGTAATGGTACTGTCGTTCACGCATACCGGTGAATCTGGTTATTGTTTATATATACCTTCAGAATATGCGCTTCACGTGTACTCCAGATTAATGGAAGTGGGCAGAGATTACGGAGTGCGGGATGTAGGAGTGCTCACGCAACGTTTTATGCGAATAGAAAGATTTATCCCGTTCTGGGCCGAGGAATTGACACCGTTCGTAACGCCCTATGAAGCTGGAAATGGATACAGTGTAAAGTTAGATGTAAGCAAGTATATGCTTAGGAATCTTTTACATATTCCTATTATTAATCGTTACGTTTGGTACTCGACAGAAAGAGTATTTTATTGGAAAATTCGCTTTACAACATCAAAAAGAGCGAGGTGTGTCAAAGCGATTAGTAATGTTTGTCGTGAACGAGCTGGATATCAATAAGGATGTATGGCCGTGGGGTGGTGAGCCAATTTATCGAAATAACGAATTCGTAGGAACGGTCACATCGACCGGGTAAGTACCACGCGCAAAATAAATAATAAAAAATATGTGTAACTGTCACATGAAATGAATATGTGGTTCTATATCCTAGGTATGGTTTCGCTACGGAAAGACACATCTGCCTTGGCTTTATCTCTTTGCCCAGGTCGAAACACACGCAGAATATCGTTACAACGGACTTCATAACGGAAGCTAAAGCCCTCTACGAAATTGATATCGCTGGAACCCGATTTCCCGTTAAACCACACGTTCATCCCTTGCCTATACCTGCGTTTAATACCGAATTAAATAAGAAGTATATACCGACTCCTGTTGTTGCGTACGACAGCGATGTCTTTCGCAAATAAATTTCCTCATCTCTTACGATGTAATACACGGGGGCGTCAGTCATCAAAATAAACTAAAATTAAAAAGTAAGCATTTATTTTTTTGAAAGACTTCCTAACTTATAATAGGTTTGTGCCTTTGATATTATTTATTTATTATAGCCCTACTTAATTGTCTTTTATCATTTCGTAAAAATGCCCGACTAAACAATGTCTGTATGTACACTACAGCTGCCTCAATCGCAATAGCGTTAAATTAGTATACTGTACATCTAAACGAATTTATTTTGCAGGTATGCTTATACAAAGTTTAAAAGGCCATTTAACAATTCGAACAATAAGTATGTACATACATTCAAAAGTAACATTCAAGTTTTAGGAAATAATTTTTTATCCTATGATTGAAGTTTGTTTTGCATATAAAGCTTATATTTTCTACTGTTAATATAAATTACATATATGTATATATAATTTAACAGCAAGTTAGAGGTTTGCATGTAAATTATATACTTCTATCATATACTGATTTCCTTCCCACTGCAATATTTGTTGTTGTCTGTAAAGCTTACAATTAATCGTTTATTAAAGAAAGCTTCACGTGAAAGAGGCAAACTGATCTTTAACAAATTTTTCGCATTATTTTAATCGATCTATTTAAACTGTGCACAAGAAAATATTGCAGGGTGAGTATCAACATAATTAGATGATGTAAAATCTGGAAAATGTACACTTTCACTCTCCTTGGACATATTGTGTATGCTCAATTTTAGCATTCAAAACCTTACAAAAATTATCTTTATAGATATTTTGATACCATTTTACGATGCCCAAGCTTCCAATTCTTTTAAATCATCGTCCTCCTCGGGCTTGGCTTCTATAACCAAGAAATTTGTAAGTATCTAACGATCAACTGGATCGGCATGTTGTACAAACTAGTAAAATTATTACTTGTGCGAGTCCTAGCTGGAGCAGTTGGAATCGCAGTGGCTGGAACGTTTGGCAGTTCATCTGTAGGTTCAATTCCAAGCAATTCTTTGTCGAGTTGTTCTTGTTCAAGTTCTTCCAATTCTTTTTCTAATTCCTCCTCATCCACATCATTTCCAAATGCCACAGGATTGGAAATAGCATCAGAAATTTCTCTTGCCACGTCTTGTTGTTCAGCGATATCGTCCATCATATCGTGCACTTGATCGACATCCCTAAACAAACAGAGCAATACATTTTCCTGAGTGTTCACTGTTTCGTAAATTTCGTAAAAGAATAACGTCTTCCTACATGTGCTGATGGACATTCTTCAAAGCATCCGCTGCATTTTTCATTGTAGTAAGTACAGCAGTGTTGGTATTCGCACATTCCAGGGCTTCCCTTTGACTTTCAATCGTAGTAAGAGTACCGTCGATTTGTTGCAACTGTTTCTCGTATCGTTTCTTTCTTTTAAGTGCTTGAATCGCAGCTGTAGGGCGTACAATATTTTAGTTAACATTTCCAACTTTTTCGTTCCGTTCAGTATAAACCGAAACACGTAATTTAAAGTAGCGAAAGGGCAATTCGAAAAGTTTTCAACAACGAAAATATATTTTAAAGCAGTTTTAACAGTTACAAAGAATTCGTTCGCGAATAGGGAAACGTCACATTGATACGCTGTCTTATTGATTAGTAATTATCCTTGAATGCGATACCTAAACGAAGGATACCTCTTTTAAATATGTACCTCTCTTGTTCTTCGTCCCATTTTTTCTGGCGACCTGAATTTCAAGCTCTATTTTACTCTCGAGGAAATCTTGTTTTTTTATCAACATATCCTCTGTCTCCCGTAACTTTTGTATCGCCTCGGCCGTTGACAAAGGGGCCGAATCCTTTTTACCACCAAAAACCTTACTGAAGAAACTCATCGTCTTAAACGTTCCCTGATTTCAACTAATTAATCGGCCAACTATATTAAAAACAAGATGAACACTTCACACGTTCAACTTTCTTCGCTAACCAAATATCATCGCCATGTTCTTTTCTCTCTGGCATCGATATACATATACATACTACGTTATGACTCATCCCTACGATTACCACAGATTTTATAGTTTCATTTTCCAATCAGAATGGAAATTATATTTTTAACGATGAACAATGACGATTTATAATGCCTCCTCAAAGTATATTGTACAATAAATTCCTGAGAACGCGAATAAATTAGGAAATAATTCTAGGGACTGCGAATCACAATACATATGTTATATTTACGATTCTTGATCTTGAATCTTGAATTTTTTACGTAGAAAATATGTATAGTATAGTATAGAATATGTATAGTACAGTATGCAAGGTGTATAGATATAAACAGAAGTTTTAAGTTAGCAAATATAAGTAGATCCTTATTCTCATGATGCAATAAGTGCGTCGTAATTGTTACTAGAGATTTTCGTATTGTAGATTATCGTTCGATTCTATTTTCTTAATTTGTTGTATCTAATTTAACTTGAAAATACGTGAATTTCTGTTCTCGCACAAATGGAGACAAGTTTCAGTAGTGTAAGTACGTTGTATTTTGTTTCTGTTTTCACGCGTGTCTCTATCTCGTTGCTTTGTAACAGTTATAACGATACAAAAGACAAGAAACCGTTTTTAGTTCAGCCAGCATTTCGTAAGAACATTTAAAAATAAATATGCGTGGTAAACGTCATCGTTCTCTTTCCTCCGTAGACGTTTTAGGTTTACCTTACGTGTTACACATAGATGATGCGAAGCACATGGAGAGATAGAGATCGGGTAATTACGTTTTTTTGATTAATAATTAGCAGTAAATATAATTTCTAAACGAAATTTATAATATATCGGATTTGCTCGATTGCTGAGAGTCGATCAGACTTTTTGTACGAAAGCTTTCATTTGTAGGACTTCCAGAAGCGCCGTCCCGGTGGAAACACTACGAAAAATGATTTAGCAGAGGCTTTACACATAACGCAAACTGACATCAAACCGATACCGGGATTTAACACTAAACACGAAGAAAGCTACTATCGTGCTCAACACGGTATCGACTGTGATGAAGTCTATCCAGGAATATATATCGGAGATGCGTAAGTATGTACATGATTCATGCATCTCCATAAAGATAAATTAGTTATCTGTATTTTATAGAGCTACAGCAAAGAATAAGAAGTATCTACAAATATTGGGTATAACTCATTTGCTTAATTGTGCCGAAGGGAAAAGATTTGGATTTGTAAATACTGATAGGAGTTACTATCATGACACGTCAATAAGGTATCTTGGCCTGCCACTTGCAGATGTATTTACGACGGATATCAGCAAGTATTTTTATACAGCAGCAGAGTTTATCGATGATGCTGTCTCCAGAGGCGGTATGGTATTCGAGATAAAGAAATATTCTATGTAATACTCGACATGATACTTGAATTTTTACGAATTATATGTTGATAGGCAAAGCTTTTGTTCATTGTATGTTGGGAATCTCACGTAGCTCGACATGCGTGCTGGCATACTTGATGATAAAGAAAGGGATGCCGGCCACAGATGCAATTAGAATCGTCAGAAAGAATCGTTTCATTCAACCGAATCATGGGTTTCTTCAGCAATTGGCACAGTTGGATAACCAATTACGGAACCAATGATTGTAATCAGCAATACTTATTAAGAAACTAACGGCGCTTCTCATGCAGTGCATGGATATACGTAAATGCAATTTTATTGGCACATGTATATAAATTATTGGAGTAAATATCATCAGGATAAATTATTACATATACTATTTAAACATGTATTCTGTGATTTAATTTAATACTGTAAACATATGCAAAATTCATTGTTAATTGTATAACGATTTTGTACCTTATCCAGATCTAGATCCCTGTTTTATTCCATCTTAACAGAGATAAAAATCTATATACTTCCATCTCGGAAGGATGGATGAAATAATTAATCGATTACGCGAAAATATCACCTCATTCTCCTCCGTGATGATACCAGAGAGAAAATTTTTTCTCTCTGATGATACTGCTTTCCCATGCGTCGCCACTACAGTTGTTGAGTTGTGCTTCGCATGTTCAAATTATTCGCACTATTCCTCAACGCACGGCGCTGTGGTCGAAATTCCTCAAATCTCACAACACTGTATACTATAGGGATCCTTTAATCATGGACCATACCTTTAATATTCTCTGGAGCACTCTCATTTCCTCTCTGATATAGATGTATGTTTGAAATACATTAATATATTTTTTAAATAGGCATAAATGAAACATCAAACATGCAGTATGTGCTTTTAAATGGTTCTCGCTCTAGTTTCTGAACGCCAATGTTTGATTTTTATAATTATCATATAGATTAGATTATGTCGGAGAAAAACGAACTACCGTGAAATGCCGGACAAGCAATAACAATTTGTATACTGAATTATAGAGAAGTGGAAATAATTAATTAATTGAACATGGGTAAGTTCAGTGTGCTTACTTCTAATTCAATGATCGTTACCGATTTTGTATATTTCAGAAGATTCTACAGAAGCACAAAAGTGGCAGCAGCATTTATCTCTGTTGCGAGAACAGTATGTCAATTTGTACAATACAAATACAGAACTTCAACGTGAATATGCCATTGCTACTGCACATAAACAAGATAATGGATTTATTAATAGAATTTTGGCAACAATAGCATCCCTATATGATCAACAACGTTATAGGTTTATAATCTTTAATGTTCATAACTTAGCCTGCAAGCCCCCTTGTTATCTGATACTCATGCATATATATTTCTCAGTGATATAACTATCAAATTGAAGGATCAGGAAATGCCAGCACATAAATTTGTATTGGCTGCTAGAACAGACTTCTTCAGTGACTCTATGCTTCGCGAAGTAGATATTTTAGGTATAGTCCTTGTGAATTAATAAAGATATTTATTGCTGACGAATCTAGGGCTTATAGAGATAACAAGAGATATACATGTTATAGATTGGACTCATTTGGATCCTAATATTGGATTAATATTGTTAAAATGGATATACACAGGGAAGGTGCCTCAAGAGAATTTAACATTGGATTTAATGAAAGTAGCAGCTAGTTTTCAACTGTTAGAATTAGTCGAACAATGCGAGAAATATTTAATTGGTATCGTGGGACTGAAAGATTGCGTACAGTTGTACGCAGCTGCTGAAGAATTGGGTGCTCAAAAATTAAAAGAGCACTGCAGTTCTTTAATCTCTGCGCACTGGGTAAGTCATAAAAGAATAAGACATAAATATCGGCTTGCAACCTTGGTTCTCTCAATATTGAATAAAAACGGTTCACCCTTTTAGGAAGATTTAACAGGGGAGGACTTCAAAGGAATGCCCGGTTCTTTATTATATAAATTATTACATGCTAAAAGCAAATATCCACTGCATGCTGCTGTCAGACTGATGAGGGAAGATGTAGTCTTTTTATATTTAGTGGAAAATGACGCGGGGGTGAGTTACACATTTCATATTCCATTAATTTATTCAGATCTCGTGATAAAAGTATAATTCAAGTTTTATATTGAAATCATTACGGCGTAGATCATTGTATAAAACGAGAGAGCATTTTATATCAGAACATATAAACACGTATACTAAAAAGCACTTTATCATTAAAATAAGTACTTGAAGAAAATAGTTAGCGACGATACCGTCAGTATAAAAATATTATGTACATTGGTGATTTTCATCGAGTGCGATGCATTGCATAAAGGGTGTCCACAAAAACAGTATTCCGATGGACCTCCTGGTCCTCCTCTATCTTCGCCAATAAAACAACCCTGCTTATAATCGCTCGACACAATTTCCTCTTTATTTTGCCATCCATAATCTTCATGGTAAATTGGTTCTGAACGCTTCTGAAACGTACAGTCTCTTTCTTCTGTTTTAACTACAATTGCTAAGGGAAATAGTAGTACATTAAAAGACGTATGACTCCAATTTATAATTTCAATCGAGCAATTCACTTACAATTGAAGTTTGAATAAATTGTCCTTTTTCTACAAAGTGTAGAGGAAGGACACAACACGTGAAACCTAGTACTTCCATCGAATTGAGAGCACAATAGGTCAGTTTCCATATGCCCTGGTTGCGATGCATAACATTTGTAGCATAAGATACCTTCTGCAGTTACTGGCAATGTGAAAGTATCTAAAACATTTAAATCTAAATTGAAAAATGGAATAGCAGACTTTTGCAAAGATGAACTTTAGTCGAACGTACGTAGGAGAATTATAACAGTGGAGAACAGTTTGTTTGTTTGTATTTGGAAAGACATCTCGCTTACAATTGTACAAAAATCAAAGTTTCGTAATATAAAATTCAATTTATCCTCAATTCTTAAATCTGGAACGATCTCAGTTACATAGAGTATAAATTTTGCAATACACGAGAGAGACTACTTACGGATCTAGCAACTAGCAGAAGAAAAATATATCGAATTCATAATTAAAACGTTCGAATATTAATATTAATCATTGGGTACTAGCAGCTTGACGTCTATATATCTTCGTCAATGCCATTACAAAATTGTATCTAACTAATTAAGCACACTTCGCACGAACACTTTTCATTTAGATTTACAAAACATTACATAGCGATCGCGAGTTACGATCTCGGATAACTGTGTTTCGTTGTTCTGCGACGATACACGGTCATTTAACTTAATCTTATAACCAGTCGGAAGCTGACTAAGGTTAGATAAATATATCGCAGAACACGTCATGGCTTTTCTATGTTTTACCAACAATCTCTTCTTCGTATATTAGAGAGCAATCTTGCCTCATGGTTGCCCGTGTATTTGTTAATGCTAATTTATTCGGGTAGCCAATATAAATTCTCTAAATACAAGCACGTACCAACATCCGTTGGACGTACACATTCCATGCATTCCATGTATCACATACCTACACATACACACACACGTATCTTTCAAATAACTGAAAACGATGGTTCTCAACCATTGAATAGGTTTCAAAGTTTTGAATGAGAAAGCAAAGAAAATTGTGCCAATTTTGATCATTTATGTATTCTTTTAGTTAACAAAAGCTGTTAATGCCGTCGATAACAAAGGTGAAACACCCTTGGAAGTTGCTTTAAAGACTCGTCAACCATCGTTAGCACGAACTTTAGTCGAACATGGAGCAGACTTATGCGTCAAGGATTCGAGAGGTCTTTCTTTGCTTCAAGCTGCTGTTTATAAAGGAGATTCGTATTCGGCTGAATTTATAATAGAACAGTTGGAAAATAATGGACGCCTGGAACAATTATGCGAGATCGTAAAACTTGTAGAGAACGCGCGAGACGCGAAGGATCTTGAGGAACTCGAGGGATGTACTATTTTGCATCTGATAACGAAACATACTTCGAATAATATGTTAGCAGTTGCATCCAGGCTACTCGGAGCCGGCATCGATCCTAATTTACAAAACCGCATTGGATGGTACAAGTCCTTAATTCCTTCCTAATTAATAAGCGCTATCTTTTTTCACTAGCATCGTCTTTTGTTTTTATTTAGGACTGCTTTACATAATTGTATTCGGGAGAGGAACGAATCACTTTTCGATATTTTGTTAGAATGTCAGGCTATAAATTTAAATAAGACTACCAACGAAGGCGACACTCCGTTGTCTATTGCTATGAAAATGGTTCCGTTGGATGAATATGTTGCTAAGAAACTTTTAGCCAAACACGCGGCTCCGAACCCTGTGTACGACGGTACAGGGGACAGTCTGCTGCACGTTTTGATACGAGAACGTAAAGAGGAAGGAGCATTGTTTTTGATCGAGCACTGCAAAGATGACTTAGCGCATAAGAACAAAGAAGGATACTCAGCTTTACACGAAGCTTGTAAAGTTGGTTTGAGAAACGTAACGAGAGCTTTATTGGCAGCTGGTCTTCCGGTCGACGAAGTAACATTTTCTAACGGCGATGCACCGATACATATTGCTATTTCGAATTTATATTTTGATATTGTACAAGAATTATTAGATGCACCTAACTCGGATATTCAACTAAGCATAAAGAACGACTCGAACGAAACTCCTTTGAGCCTGGCTATCAAAGCTCCGTTCAAGAAAGGCAAGGACATCGTTTTGGCTTTAATAAAAGCTGGAGCGAATATCAATCAGTGCAATAAAGATGGACTGACGTTGTTGCATCAAGCTATATTGAAGGAGGATTCGGCTACGGCGATCTTCTTATTGGAGAACGGTGCGGACATGAACGCTAGAACTGCAAACGGAGAGACTCCGTTGCAGCTTTCCGTGCACTGCAGGCTGGGCGAAGTCGTCGAAGCTCTTTGTAAAAGAGGTGTAGACACTTCTATTGGATGCGCGTTATGGGATGCTCTGGATTCCGACCAAGAAGACGTGGCGTCGATCTTAGTCAAGTACGGCGCGGATACCGATTGCTGGGGTCCTGGCCCAGACGATTGTCAGCAAACATTGTTACACAGGGCGATCAATTACAACAAAGAGGATATCGCTCAGTTCCTCATAAGGAGCGGCTGTGATTTAAACACGCCGAGAAAACCTGGACCCAATGGATCTGGAGGGGAGGAAGCAAGAGACGAATGCACTCCTTTACATCTGTGCTGCCAATGGGGCTTGGAACAAGTTGTACAGACACTTATCGAGCATGGCGCGAACGTGAACGCCCGGGACTTCGAAGGCAAGACGCCTATTCACGTGGCCATACAAAATCAGCATTCGCCAATTATTTCGCTGTTGCTATGCCATCCTAACATAGACTTAACTAAACGTGACAAGAAGGGGTTGACACCGTTCGCAACGGCTTTAACGTATCGAAACAATAAAGCTGCACAGGCGATACTCGAACGATTACCCAAAGCCGCTGAACAGTATGACAATAAGGGAAGAAACTTTTTACACACGGCTATTCAAAAGAACGACATGGAAAGCATATTGTTCCTATTGTCTATACAGGTGAACATTTATTATCTTTTTAACGATCGAAGATGTACATGATGCTACGATTCTTATTTGGTGTAGGTAGATGTAAATTCCAGAGTACATGACATTACGCAAACTCCGCCCTTACATCTTGCCGCTGTTTCTGGAAACGAAATGTTGGTCAGAAGTTTGATTTTGGCTGGAGCGCGTGTCAACGATACGGATGCGAACAGAAACACTGCGTTGCATGCTGCTGCGAAAGCGGGTCACGCCGCGATCGTGTCTGCTTTATTACAGGTGAATAAAAAAGATTTATTTATTCTATGGAATACTATAGTATTTCGTTTATTTCAGAACAACATCAGTTTCGATGCGGTAAACGCAGATGGTGACAACGCGTTGCATGTAGCTGTAAGGGAAGGCCACGTATCGGTAGTAAGAACGCTTCTGACGGAGTGTACGTTAGATGCGGAAGCAGTGAATCTTAAAGGAAGAAATCCTTTACACGAATTAGGAAGATGCGGGAAAGATAATGCCGCGACTATATGCGAACTTTTCTTGGAATGTATGTCCCAATACCCGGTGAACAATGCAGGTAATGAATCAGCTGCTCAGTATTAATCTCGTTAAGTACAAGTTACATTAATAAAGATTTCTGTTCCAAGATTTGGATGGTAATACCCCGCTGTTGATAGCTTATATGAAAGGAAATGGTCAACTTTGTCGAACTTTGGTAAAAGCTGGTGCATGTTTAGGCTCTATGAATAAGGAAGGAATTACGATCTTTAATTACCAGGTAGCAACAAAACAATTATTGTACAGGCTCCTGGATTCTTTGACGCAAGAAGCACCGTGGGCAGATAAAGATCTTTGTCTCGAATGCGGCACAAAGTTTTCGCTCACGATGCGAAAGCATCACTGGTATGAAAACTGCTGAGTATTAAATCAAATTTTACAAATCGATTTATCCGAGTCACCTAAATTTTGTTTTTATTTTTTCTAGCCGTCATTGCGGTCGGATTTTGTGCAATAAATGTTCCGACCAAGATGTCCCGATTCTGAAATTCGGATTAAATAAGCCGGTGCGCGTTTGTGCTGTATGTTTCGATGTATTACAACTAGGTACTGAATGAGACAAAACTTGAATAAAAGCAAAGAGATGGATTCATATGTAAATAAAAAGAGTATCATTCCATATGCATTTCTTACGTAAATAATACCAAATATTTGTATTATTCTATGCTATACATATTCCCCTGTATGATACAATTATTCTTGTTAAAAAGGTTTGTTAAATTTTAAATACAAATGAAAGAGTGTTGGCAAATTATTTATTCCTAGAATTTATTATATCTACAATGCATTCAATTAATTGATAACACTTCTTCATAACATTTATGCATACTCATCGATTATAATCTTATTTCAGTTTAGTGAAGAGCGTTTCTGCTACACAATGATCTACACATTCAATATAATCAATTAACTCTTCCAAACACGTCTCCTCTGTCTGTGTTCTTGAATTAACTCGATCAGTACAAGTATCAAGCATTCCCTGTAGGCTAGCGCATTTAGGTTCTGCCGAACATTTTCCCTAAGGAATTAACAACAAAATAATGAGATTTTATAACTATTTGATACCAAGATACTACGATAATGTTAGAGTCTGTTCTCTCTACAATTTAATACTGACGAATGAATAAAATAATTATATTGTTTGCAATGCTTTGACAATGAAATTCTAATTCCGAATTATTTCAGTATAAGTATATTATATAATAATTTTGACTTACGCGAAGAACTTGTTGAGGATCAACTATTTCTTCGTCATCTGCTTTCACCATCGGGACGTAACGTTTCAACAAATTTTGGAAGAACGACATTTTGTTCTTAAGTTATAATTTTTATTTAAACTTCAGAGGTATCTCGAAATAACCTCTAACGTTCACCCGTTCACCAGGTATCAAATCTGCGGCTGCCAACCACTACCATTGCCAACAGTGACCAATACCAGCCTATGCAGAATTCAACGAGTAGAGTCGGTTGTCTTATTAGATTTTATAACACCGCAAAAACGATTTACGATCGACTTCAATTTTCAAAAATAAAAAGAAAGAGCAGTCGACAACGTAAATAATGAAATTCTAGGTTTATAATAAATTTTCACGAATTTTCATTCAACGTATGTAGATAATTACGAGATTTCGTTTAGAAAAATTTCCTTGCCAATACATCGTCTGTAAATTCTCTTAGATCGGAAGTGACCAATACTTGTTCGTATGGAAGGAATGGGGAGAAGATTTACAGCAATTACGTACCTATAAGTACTGCTACATATTTTGCAATATCGTATTGTTAAGCAACTTATAATTGCCTTAGCAAATTATTGGTAAATATACAGAATGCCAGCGGTAGGCAAATTTTCTAATTGTATTAGAGATACGAAAACTTGTGAATCGAGACAGAGTAGGAAACGAAAAAAAATATCGAATACTATTTGTCCGAGTATCAGTTGGTCCTTTCGACTTATTTGACACATTCCAAAGATAACGATATTTCTGAACAATGTTATTAGAAATATTTTATTGCGAATAATGGAACACGGTGTTCTCGATTCGAACAGTCGTATTATTTGTTTGGTAAAATGATCAAAAGAACGGTCATGTTCTTTATAACAAGGATGGCGTCATCCAAATCTGTTCGCGTAATTTTATCAAAGCAATGAGTTTATTGAAATACGGTAAACGTTTCTACGTACCAAGATTAAATGAAACGAGTATCGGCGGATTAGTTTATTTTAGTAGTATTGTTTGTACTACTGATCGTTAGTTGAGAAAAATTATAAAAATCGGGGCGCAGTGCGTTGTGCTCAACAGTCAAACATTGGAGTAGTTTTGTGCTGGTGTGTCGGGAGGCAGTATCAATAAACCTCTATATTTTTCACGAAGAAAATCAACGAAGAATAAAAAGGAAACGAATACCAAGATTGATGTACAAAGAACGTTCATTCAGCAAACACCACGTTCTACGGGCAAGTTAAAAAATCGCAGGTTTTTGAAAAAAACCGGAACGTATAATTGCATAGCATTGAAGGGCTGTGTTTTCCATAAAATACATCTCTAATCTATTCGAGAATACGCAGGCAATTAAATTCGAGGAGCGTAACACCGCAAAGAATCGTTTTAACGAAATGATTATCACGTCGTTTTTTCGTATTACGGTTCAACTTAAAAACTGCGAAATACCTGAGGTTATGTTTTATTGAAACATGAATTTCCTATTGTGCTAACAAGCTAAGCGACTCGCCTGAAAAACAAACGCAAACCGCATGTAAGTGAAAAGCAACAATAAATTCTTCTGCATTTTAACTTTTACGTTCGTAGACAATGTTCTCTTTGTTAGCATTATCTTCCAATCTATTTCATTTGTAAAAATGCATTGTAATTTGATTTATTTATTTCTACGATTATTATTTATTAGTTTTTCGTGATTATTGTTATACTATCAGAAAATCTAGTTGATGCATTCTGTATTTTCGAGCATTCTACCAGAGCGCGTAACGTGTATCTTTTCTTTATCATTCGTATAATCTTTGAATTTTAATTTTTGCATTCATAATATTCATTACTGAATTTAATTCACAGCAATTCATATGAGTGGATAATGCTTGGAGGCAATGAACGGAATGGAGAGACATGGGCATGGACATGGATATTCGCATGCACACTCACATCGTCATCGTCACTCACACGGAAATTTGCCAAGCGGGCAACAAAATTCGAGCCAATCTTCGAAACATAGCCATACCCATGCACCACACTCGCAGAAAGATACGTCTGCTGTTCAAACGCCTCAGAAGCCAAGAAATTATAAGTTATTAGTCGACCCATTTTTGGTAAAGGGCGCGACAAAGTTGTATAGGTATGATGGTATGGTTCCAGGAGATCCAACTTATCCCGAAGTCCAACCGCGAGATCCCAGGTCACAATTAACAAGAATATGGACTCGCTTAGAACAACTTGATTTACCTGTACCTAGATTTAAAATTGACTCGAATTATTGCGGCGAACCTCCTCCGATTGAAGTTACGTTTTGCCATTTAAACGACAATATCGACAAAACTTTTCTAACAGACATGGTTCAGAAATTCGGGATAGTAGAAGAACTGATCGTTTATTATCATCCTATAACTAACAAGCACCTTGGGATCGCGAGAGTGGTGTTCGAAAGTACAAAAGCTTCGAAGGCTTGTGTAGAAAAATTAAATAACACGTCTGTGATGGGTAAAGTCTTAAGAGTATTTCTCGACGCATTCGGGGACGAATGTAAAAAGATCTATGATGATTTAACCACAGAAAAGAAGCCAGAGAAAAAGATCGAGAAGGAGACAAAACCGATCGAGACCGAACAAGGAAAGCAAACACCGATCGATAAGATCGTTACCGAGGAGAGGGAAGATTTTAGGAGTAATAAAAAATTGGTATCTGGCGTAGAAAAATCGAGAGACGCGTATATAGAGAACTCGAGATACAACAAGTATAGAGATTATCCTACTCCTAGCGGCAGCGCAGGAAGCGATTTAGGCTACGGTACTGCGCCTAGCGAATTAAATTATTCCAGTAATTATTCGCAGAATTCTACTCCAGCCACGAATTACGATTTTTATTATAGTGGTTATCATCATCAAGCTCCAAATAATTATTTAGCAAATATGCCCCCGCAAAATGTGTCGCAAAATCTTTCAATGCCGCAAAATTCGAGCTTGTGGTGGGGAAATAATACAGCTGCACCTGGTTACGCGTCGTCTTCTATGTGGCCTGTTCAGCAACATGGAACAAATTTAGATAATCCTAATTCGAACGTGGTTCCACTCGCGTCTAAGGCCTCGAATGTCAAAGTGTATAACGCGGCTAAGAAAGAAAAAGAAAATCAAAATGTAACGAAGAATTCGTCGCGAGATTCGCCAGTAGAGACTCGTAAAACGTTGGATCTGGATACTAGAATCGCTATGTTACTGAAAGACAAAGCGGGAGGAATGGCACCACCCTTCTTGCAGTTCGGTAGCGATTCCGAGGACGAGAAGAAATCTCTCAACACGGACAACGAAATGCTCTCGGAACCACCGAGTCCTTTCTTATCCCACGAGGCGTACAAAACGTGTTTCGAAAAGATGCGAGAGAGGAATAAAGAACGATGGAAAGTTCACGAGAATAACATAAATCAATTTTCCGTGGACGAAGATTTAGGTAGCGTTATTAGTTCGAGCGAAGACGAAGCGTTGTTGGGAAGTTACAGTCCCGCACCGGATGAAACTGGACCGGAACCGCCGAAGGAACCACTGCCCCCGCCACCACCCGATGACGATAGGATGTCATTAAGCCCGCTAAGTTCAGGAGATGAAAAAATCGAAGAGGTGATAGCTCAAACGGAGCCCACAAGTCAATTATACCCAGGAGCTGGTTATCCTGGACAGTTAACTCATTATCCGACGAACGACGTGTACCATTGGCCAAGGCCAGCGCAATATCCGTACCCTTACGGGACGACGTACTTGCAAAGTCATTATCAACCAAATACTACATCATTCTCTGGTAATCATCAAGGAGCGAATTATTATCCATCGTTTCAATCGAGGCTTCACGCTATGGCGAACCATAATATTACGAAAGATAATCCACAAGGCCCTACTATCAACGGTGTGCTAAACAGAGTCGTGAACGAGTTGAAGCAGATATTGAAAAGAGATTTCAATAAAAAAATGATCGAGAATACCGCGTTCAAACTGTTCGAAGTGTGGTGGGACGAGAAAAAGTCGGAAAAGAATCAAAATCAAGCAGGGGATAATACTATTGTTAATAACAATAACAGTAATAAGGAAGAGAGTCAGAAACCGCAAGGACTGTCGTTACTTTTAGAACAAGGAACTCCGCTCGGATTTAATTACGACGGATTCGGTCTGGGTATCAGAGCTAGCATGCCAAAGATGCCTTCCTTCAGGCGAAAAATGAAAGCTCCGAGCCCGTCGCCACAAGACGACGACAGTCGTCAGTCCGACCACGGCGATACGGAACTTATAGGAAGCGATAGCGATCTCGATTTGGCTTCGGTGCAAAAACTTAAAAGGCCACATACTTCTCCTCCAAGCGTTTCTTCGGCATCTTCGTCGTCGTCATCATTGAGCGAGACCAGTAGCGAGATAAGTTGCAGCGAATCTTCCAGCAGTTCAAGCGAGAGTTCCGATGAGGAAGTCTCCGCGAACTTTGAAGATGAGCAAGACATGGACAGCCGTATGTCAGATCATCGTCCACTGGCTTGCAACAGCGACGATCCTGATATTTTGATGGAGCTTGCCATTCAAAGATCATTAGATTGTCCAACGCCTACTGGTAGAGAAACGCCATTGCCTGACTTCGAAATGAACGATGTAAATTCGAACGAATTCCCAGAATGCGATAACGAAGCCAGTCCTCTGCCATCTCCGTTACGAAGCGATAAACAAGAAACCGAGGAAACGAAGAAGACATCTATTAGTGAAGAACAATTTGAAGATACTTTATCGGCGAACGAGAATGTAGAGACTAAGAGCGTGGAAAACGAAATACAGACGAAAGGAAAAGGTAGCACTTCGGTAGCATCGGGTAAACAAGAATCATGTGATATGCAGAAAATGGAAAATTCCGCAGCGGAAGCTTTAATAACTTTAGCTGGCCAAGATAATATTATAAGGCATAGAAGTCCGGGACCTGTACAACCAAATATTATTAGAGCTCTTGAAAATATGTCTGACAAGTACATTAACGACGAACCCATTTTGAAAGAATCTGAGAAGATCGAGATGTTTAGCGAGATACCTACTACCGACTCCGAGGAGGAAAGTTTAGAAATTAGAAGATTGAGGTACCAAGCCGAGACCGATCTTCGATTGAATGGACAACAGAGTCCAAGACATTCTCAGGCTTCGCAAGTATTTATGGAACATTCGTATTCATTGCCTCCGGCACAATCGGATATCGCAAAAGCTGTACTTCGCGCGCCTCCGGTGCAAATGAAACCGGTGAAACTTAAATCTCCGAAAATTATGAAACTATCCAAGCCTAAAGATAAATCGCACCGAGTGGAAAAGCGTAAATACAACAAATATACGAAGATACATGGTCACCAGAATCATCATCACGAGGGTGAGAAAGAGAATATCGAGAATGAACATGTTTACGATAAGTATCCGAGGAGGGTCGAGAATCAACCAACGGTTACTTATAAAGAGCGAGAGCTCATGTCGGAAATGGCTGTTTTGTACGAATTTTTAACCAGAGGAATAGACGCGGAAGATGTTGAATATTTAAGACGAAGCTATGAGGCTTTATTAGCTGACGATACTCAAGGTTATTGGTTGAACGACACGCATTGGGTCGACCATCCACCGACAGATATTCCAAGCCCTGCGAAACGAAGAAAAAGGGATGAGCTTAGATTGCACACAAGCGGTAGCGCGAGAACAGAAGGCTATTACAAAGTCGACGTTCGAGAAAAAGCAAAACACAAGGTAATCTCGTATTCCACCCTCATGGATTTCTAATGTTAACTGTAAGTTATTATCATTTTTCTTTATCTTTCGCAGCATCACTATGCGCAAAGCATACAACGAAGTAACGACGTCGAGGATAGCAATGGCCCTTACACTGGCGGTGACGGAACGATGAACGGTCCAAAGAACAATACTAAAGCTTTAACTGGTAAAATGCAAGCATTGTCTCGAGAAGCCCGAAGTAATCAACGTCGATTACTAACGGCGTTTGGTATTGATACCGACAGCGATCTTCTCAAATTTAATCAGTTGAAAGTAAGATCTCAATTATTTTATTACAACATTCTTCGTCGTGCTCGGCCATGTAATTAATCTTACGCGTTATTTTGTGTTACAGTTTAGGAAAAAACAATTGAAATTTGCTAAATCTGGTATACACGATTGGGGTCTATTTGCCATGGAACCAATCGCAGCCGATGAGATGGTTATCGAATACGTTGGCCAAATGGTCAGACCGGTTGTTGCCGACTTAAGAGAGTCTCAGTACGAAGCTACTGGTATCGGCAGTTCTTATCTTTTCCGTATCGATTTAGACACGATCATCGACGCAACGAAATGCGGCAACTTGGCACGTTTCATTAATCATAGTTGCAATGTAAGTATCATACTAATAAAGTTTCGCCGGCACTCGACGCTTATAATATTATCGAATCCTTCTTGCTTCTCTTCCAGCCGAATTGTTACGCAAAAGTAATTACGATCGAAAGCCAAAAGAAAATTGTAATCTATAGCAAACAACCGATAGGAGTTAACGAGGAAATTACGTACGATTATAAATTTCCATTGGAGGATGATAAAATCCCTTGCCTATGTGGAGCTCCTCAGTGTCGGGGTACCTTAAACTAAATCGTTCATAAGAACTATATTGTTCGATCCATTTTCCTGTCTTCTACACTTCATCATACCCTGCTCATATTTTTGTAAATACTTCCCCATGTAAACATTTTATAAAATGCAATGGAAAAATGCTAAATTATGTTAATACGAGCTATTTCTCTAACATCCTTCCCGTAAATTAAGAACATTATAATTATGGAAACGAGAATCTTGGAATCGTTATAATATTTATAATTTACGGTCTGTTTTTGTATATACATAGACGTAACTTAAGGTTTTATTCCTATTATGTTTCTGTTAAAAAATAAAGTAACAGTTTGTTAACAGTGATTATGTACATAGATCATCCGTACGGTATAAAAATTTCCATGTTTTTTAACAGAAATCGAATCGAACGACAAATATATGTAAATATATTTCACTACTTTTCCTTTTTTTATTTTCTTTATTCTTAGTGTATTTTTATGTGTACTTATTTCGACAGTAGTAATTGACAAAATAAATAGAGTATGTACAAATAGTTCATATTATTTTCGTTTACCATTAGTACATTAAGACCATCGGCTGTGCGACAGAATTTATTTAATACCAACTTCATTAGGTCTAATTAATCGTTTACAATCTCAAGTTATTAACAGGAATATAGAACGATGGTAGAGCATGTGCGGAGAAGACAAGGATAGACATATATTTTCTCTCTATATACTCCGCGCGTATAATAAGCTTTATTTTTAAACAAAAGAGAGCGAACATTGGAGTATACTTCGCTGAAAATGCTATCAGAGAGATTGAAACGTCATTATGAAGTTTCTTTCGGAACCTCGTCGAAAAGTAGACACGGAAATATTTTTATTCATTTACTAATAAGCAATTGACACTGATAATTGAAATAATAAATTGATCATAGCTCGAATAAGATTTAGAGACTGCTTGTTAAATGAATTAATTGCAAGGAGACTATGCTTGCATCGTACGTGTTCTAAGGCGGCTCGAATCTTTGGATTGACAATAACTAACAGCGTTGTATTATTTTTTATAGAAAAAGGAGAGCAAGAGGTGGCAGCATTCTGAAATGCCGACTTGCAGGCGTGTGTGACATTTTGATGTAGGATGTCTTTGATGATTTTCGTTATGTATCGACTCAATACATAGATATTCGTGATAAATAGAGTTTACCAAAAATAGTTCTGCAAACCTCGTATAAGATAGGTAATATCTGAATGTGTACGTCTGATATCTTCTTTTAGGTTAGGAATCGTCGACCCGGGATTTGGTATTAAGAAAAATGATTCTTTGCTTTACGAAAGCGATACAGCTCTAAAACTCATTTACATTTGTGCCATGGTATCTATTTCTTAATGTAGCTGGGTAGCAGAGTTGTTTGTGAATTTTTCAGAACCAGATAAAACGTCAGAAAAAAGGGGTACATGTATATTGGCACATGTTCATCCAGTTTACTGGTCTTTTCTCTGAGAAGAAAACTAATAGGAAGAGAAGGTGTTTTAGTTTTTGCACAGAAATGAAATTTGGTCATTGTTTGTAGGAAAATATGGATGTTGCAGTAGTAGAAGTCCTCCAACAAGCAGGTAGTCAAGATCCCAGTATATTAAAACCAGCTGAAGAAACTTTGAAACGTTGGGAAATTGAAAGAGGATATTATACTGCATTATATGTAAGCATTACAGATACGTATGCTAAAGATTTAATGGAGCTGTTGTTGGCTACAAATACATCTTTTATCGCACTGACGTTAGAAGTTGCATTATTGCATATTTTCTGTTTTATTTAATTGCATGAATTCTTTTAGGTTATGAGAATATTTGATTTTAACTGTTAATTAAGCTAAGACCTTAACTAATAAATCAAATAATAATGTTTCAGAATGTATTTTCTAATCATTCCTTGACTGTCAATATTAGATGGATGGCTATTTTATGTTTTAAAAATGGTATTGACAAATACTGGAGAAAGTGTGCTCCAAAGTATGTATATCAATATTATATCCTGCATGCAGCTTCGAACATGACTCAGCTATAAAGTATATATTACATTGTCATTGCAGTGCAATTGCTGAGGACGAAAAAGAATTTCTCAGACAACGTTTAATATCGAATTTCGAAGAACCTGTGAATCAGTTAGCTGTACAACTTGCAGCTCTCATTGCTAAAATCGCGAGGTAAAGTATATTTCTCTTGGTTTGTTTCTTTAGAGCGGCAAGCTAATAAAATTAAATAAAATTATCTTGCACAGACACGATTGTCCTAGAGAATGGCACACGTTAATTCCAACTTTATTGGAAGTAATAAGAGGGCAAAGTCCGTTGGCCCAGCATCGGGCACTGTTAACGCTACATCATGTTATTAAGACTTTAGCCTCGAAACGTTTAGCTGCAGACAGACGGCTCTTCCAAGAATTAACCAGTAATGTGTTCAGTTATATTTTGAATTTGTGGAACTCTTACACAGAATCCTTTCTTATATTGACGTCAAACGGAGCCGACACACATCAAATACAAGAAGCTTTGGAGAAGGCATTACTTTTGCTGAGAATACTTAGGAAACTCGTTATAAATGGATTTAATATACTTACAGAATCTCCAGATGCGATGTCGTTTTTAAAAATTGTTTTTGAACGTGCAAAAGCCTGCCTTGAATGTCGTTAGTACTTTATCACCGCTCGGTGTATTCACTATGATCTCATTCAGTTTTCTTCGTAACGGTATTATTTTTTTACATAATTGCAGGGAAGACATTAATTTCAAGAGGTATACAAATGGAAGTGTGCGATAAATTTATAATTCATTTGACCAAAGTATTAATAGGTGTGTTAGAAGCGCAGCCAAAATGTTATGTTGAACTGGCAACAACGTCATTAGAATTCTCGGTTTTTTACTGTTTCACCGAAACCGGTCAACCTCTAACCTTCGAAAGATTCGTTGTACAATGCTTAAACTTAATGAAAAGCATCGTAGAGATGTCGTCTTGTAGCTATGCACTTGCTAAGGATGTTACGACACATCGGTTAACTTTCAAAGAAACGGATTTCGAAATTTTTACACCTGTAACGTTAACTGAAATCTGTTCAAGACTTGTAACACATTATTTTCTCCTAACTCCTAGTGATTTGGAATTATGGGACACAGATCCCGAGAGCTTTGGTAAATATTGTATATATACGGCCGTGTACGCATATCTTTTTTACAATTCTTTATGATTGATCATTATTCGTTTCAGTAATCGACGACGCTTTTGATTCGTATAAATATAGCTTGAGGGTAAGTATTCCATGTATTTGTGTTTAGGAATAACAATACAGTTTCCTAATCGATGTTTTATTTTCAGCCGTGCACGGAGGGATTGTTTTCAGCGATTTCTCATCGTTTTAGAGATGTCATTGCACCAGTTTTAGTTGATTTAATGCAAAGGCATCACCAACCATGCGATCCGAACGATCTGCATACAATTCTATTGAAAGATGCAGTATACAATGCGGTTGGTTTAGCTGCGTTCGATTTATACGACGAGGTAAGGATGAAATGTTACGATTAAAATGATCCATTGTTATAACATACATGTACATATATCAGGTAAATTTCGATCAATGGTTTTCAACTACACTAAAAGAAGAACTGAAGATCCGAAGCAACAATTATAGGATTATTAGAAGACGAGTATGTTGGCTTATTGGACGATGGACGAGTGAGCATATTTAACGTTGTATTCATCGTTCGATAGAATTATTTTTAACACGATTGATCTGTTGCGTATTGAAATACAATTATAGGCGTAAAATTAAGTTCAGAACTGAGGCCAGGATTGTACGAACTCATGATCGAAGTATTGAGTCCTGACGAAGATTTGGGTGTCCGCCTGGCAGCAAGCGATGCTTTAAAACTTGCGATAGACGACTTCCAATTTAATCCAGAAGAATTCTCGCCGTATTTGGCACCAACGTTCTCTCTCTTGTTGTCTCTTTTGAAGGAAGTGAAAGAATCCGATACCAAGGTACTGCATTAATCGATTTCATACTTCGTTACTGACAAATTATACTTGAGAAAAATATCTGGATGCAATTTTCGTTAGATGCACGTTTTATATGTATTGTCGTTTATGATCGAACGGGTTGGGAGCGAAATAAATCCACATGCCGCCGCTCTCTGTTCGTATCTACCGGCTGTTTGGCAACAATCCGAAGGCCATGATATGCTAAGATGCGCTATCATTTCAACGCTTGTGCACCTCGAAAAGGTAATTGGATCGTTTGGCTGAATTCGGATCTCTTTAATCAATACCTGTTCTGACCGTACTCGTTTGAACAGGCACTAGGTGCTGAAAGTATCGTCATGGAACCATTGGTAGTGGGTGTGGTCGCGTTAAGTTGCGATGTTAATCAAGATTACCATGTTTATTTGTTGGAAGACGGACTGCGATTATGGCTGGCTTTGCTGGAGAACGTATCCAGGCCGACGCCTGTCATTATGGATTTGGCTAAGCATTTGCCGGCATTATTAGGTTCGTAAATATAGAATGGAACACTTTGCACGTCGCTCATTTCTTTTCGACGTTCCATACATATGAGAAATTTAATATTTTCAGAAAAATCCTACGAATATTTAAAATTATCTTTGTACATAGTCGAAGCGTATATAATATTGAGTCCTCAAGAATTTATAAGTCAAAGGGGTACGGTTATAGTTGAAACGCTCATGTCGCTGTTAGGTGATTTAGGAGCGGATGGAACGGTAATGATAATGACGGTGTTTCAACTATTTTTGCGCGCTTCACCCCGACAAGGTGCAGAACTCATTAAACCTGCTTTAATAAATATATTTGAGTGAGTATGTCGGCGATCGTAATTCTGATCAGCTAAGGCAAATGATATGTAACTTGTTCCATTGTTCGTAGAATTACGTATAAAGACGAAAGGACCTTATTGATGGTTATGAGTGTGTATTTATCAATTATCGCAAGAATTTTATGGCTTTATAAAGATATTTTTATACAGGTATCATACTATAATTGTTTTATTATCATTGATTTATTGATGCGAGTCAATCGAATGAGTATGTAAACGATGACACAGGTAATAAATGAAGTGACTAGAAAGTTGGAGATGGATGGGAATGAAACTAAAGAAGAAGCTGTACTTGGAAAAATAATACATACATGGCTTAATCATATGCCGTACGTTATGTCGGATAAAAGTAAACTGTTAGCTGTTGCACTTTGTTCACTTCTCGAAGTTAACAGTCCTCCCAGCGTTTTTCAACATTTTCCATTAATGATATCCAACATCGTTGGAACTCTGAATGACATCACTAAGTACGATCACGAAAAGGGCGAGCACGTAGAACATATCAAGTATGTGTCATCGAGTATCTATAGCGACAGGGAACACTTTGAATTTTACTATATTCGTTGTTTCGTTGATTAACAGGGAATCAGTTTCATCCGACGATGAGGAGTACGGAAATAAACACGAACAGCGAAGAAGGAGGATCGAATTTAACGATCCCCTGTCTAGAATATCGTTGAAAGAAACGTTTCAAAATCAGGTAAACTACCAGCTTTTCTCGTTACGTCAGAGAAATGCTGATCACATTATTTTCCTTTTAGTTATTTACCTTACGCAGACAAATCGGCGTTAATCATTTCAATCAGTTGATGTCGACACTAAATCCCGAAACCGAGAAGGACCTGAAACTTTACGTGTCGTTATGAGAATAAAGGCAAATCGAATTGAAATAGATGGAAGATAAAAACGAATGAAATATTAAGTCAGGTGCGATATTATCTACGTGTAAAAAAGCTTTACGGCGCTCTATTGTAAAACGGCACTATTTTATTGTATCATACTAGCTGTTTCACTGTACTAATCATGTTGATAATAAAAAACCTGTCATTTCAATATTTTTTTTCTATTCTTTTTAGAAGCTACATTCACAATTTGCCCGGTTTTTTTTTTAAATTCCCAACGCTGCCCGGAGAGCTATCTAGCGTCGTATCCGGCAGTCTTGGAAAAACAGCTGTATACAGCTGTCGTACTGTGTCAAATCGAAGTAGGGAATCTGTCTGCTTCTACAATAGCGTGTCGTCCTAATTAAATTGAAGCGCGGTGAGTCTTTTGAAACGATATACGCATGTTTTATTTCCCGTACTGTTATTATCTTTTGCGTTGTACACGATAAATCATACAAATCGGTTTGTTTGTTCGGTACATGGGCATACCGTGGCAGTGAGCCCGATTCGGCGAATCTACTCGTCAATTTCACTTCTCTTCTTTGTGCATGTGACTAGTAAAAGTATCTACTACGATAGTATCGCGTTCTCGCCGATTGTTAAATTTATATAAAACCAAATGGAATAATATTGAGAAGACGCCATGTTCATTATTCAGTTACTAACAGCAACAACACCTGTGATTGGTTGCGTGATGATCATCATTTTGCTGTTTGAAACTTCGATAAAACATTAGTTTGAGTATTGTATTTAGGATCGTCGCAGACGAGCGGCTTTTGGCACACGAGTTTATGTGCGTTATTCTTTTATTTTTAAGCGAAAATAAGCATGCGGCGCGGCTTCCTCTGGCTACTTAACTGAAATAACCGGTTTTATACAATTATGTGTTTATCACGACAGATACACATAATCTATTTGATTTTTGTATGTTATTGGTAAAATGATAGAGTCGTAGGTGTACGTTCGATTTCAAAGACTTTGAGAGGACCTAACGTTGTCTCGATTAATATTATACAAAACGATTGTAAAAACTGTCTTCGCTCTCTAGAAGTCCCTGTGGGACTGCCGTTACCTGGTGTACTGTTCCTCCTCTTATAACACGTGTAGGTTCTCCCAGTAGTCTGCCTCTCACTCCTTACGTCATGTCGTTAATATTTAATTATTACGAACAAAAGAACATTGTCGCAACGAACAAGTTAACGTCCTCTCATTCGTGTTAATTATTCTTATTGACGAGGCGATCATCCGAGTTGGTGAACGGTAACTTATCTACGGGTATGCTTAATTAAAATAATTTGGCCTTGTTTATTACACGACAACGCGCACGACATGAGTAACTGTCGTTTTTTCTTTTGGAATCTTCGTCCAGTGAAAACGAGAGTCATTAATTTCGTTTCGTTTATTGGAAAATCTTTCTCTGTATCCGTTTTGGATGTAATACTCGGTTACTTGTTTGTACAAGTTGTTAACCTAAGTTAGAACACGAAACGTAATGAAATCGTACAGAGAGATGATACTGAAGGTAAACGAACGTTGTCTCCTGCTGGTCCGTTGCATACGTATTTTTAGAAGTATTTTCACGAAGACTGCGTGGGGGGTATTTTGTGTACCGGATATGTACGCATAGTCGGACGCATGGGGGGCGTCACAGAGCGACACAACGTTATCGGATGATAGGAGCATTGTAATTTAATCATATTTCTCGAGTGAGTCGGTGCCAAACAGTCCGAACTCAAATGAGATAATTATTAGGTTAAATGGAACATAAAAGAAGGATTACTAAGGGGCGAAGAGCTAGACAAATGTTATGAGAAGAGGATTTGGAGAAAAGGGAACGGAAGGTAATAAGGGAAAGTGGTAGGGAATGCAACAGTCGAGGGAATATAATCACGACGAGGTAGAAGCAGGAGAAGAGGGATGAAGAAAGGACGATATGGCGAAGAGTGGAGCAAAGAGCTTTCGAAGGAAACGTCGAAGGTGCAAGAGAAATAGAGTAACGGAGACATTCGGGGGAGGATCGAGAGAGAGAGAGAGAAATAATGGGAGTGAGCAAATTGGCGAACGAGAAGGAGAAAGGGAAACTGAACAGAGACGGAGATTAGACAAGCGCACGGGAGAGAGTGAGAGACAGTTGCGCGGGTGGAGGAAAAGAGAGAGAGAGAGAGAGTCGTAGCCGGGTATCGATCGTCTGGCAGAAAACTACCCCTCGAGGAAGAGGCGCAGTGTACGAAACCACGTATGAGTAGTCGGTGGTGCTCGTGGTGCTCATGGTCCACGCGGATCTCGGCTCCCATCAAGTTTTCGTGCCTCGAACATCGTCGTCGTTGTGGTCTCGTCGGTGGACGATCGGCAGCCAAGCGTTAACGAAAGGTGTCATAAGAACACGACGTTTCGAGCGCTAATTCTAGGTGATAGATTCGTTCGTTACATTCGCATCTATCGAGAACTCTCCGTTTTCATTTAGTTGCTAAGTAAATATCGACTTTCGAGTCCAGTTCGCGAGAGATGCATAGATTTAATCGCGAGTCATGAGAGTGAAACATGTTTCGATTTTTTTATACCCGTCGTTTTCGCGCGATGAATCAATTCCGAGATTCGCAAAGAATTCATGGAACTAGTTTAAAACATTAACGTAGAATTACGGTTTGCCGTGGAAGCTAGGACGACGAATTAAAAGAGTTTCGTTATCGTACTCTCCGTTCGTTTAATCGCTGGTTGCATTATGGCCGTTGTTAGTCTGTTATTGAGTACACCTAGGCGAACCTTGTTCCCTCGTACGTGCAACCTTTGCCCTTATTCCTACGGCACTTGTTCTGTCCTCCTCGAAGGAGCGTGCAACTTATTAAGAGGGACGGCAGTCGTTAATTCCTCTTTATGAGCGTGACACTCTATTTTTGGAGTTGTCGTCTTTATTGCGCGATGGAAAAAGACTCGTACAAAGAAACCGCGTACATTCGAGGGTAGATCGCCGCGATGCATGTGCATGATGTAATTTTCTCCGAGCGTACACCGTAAACGCGGTGACAGTCGTTTTCATCGGACAAGCTGTGTACATATGTACTAGAATAACAGCGACGTTATTGCTCGTCGCGTGTAGGTATCCGCCGATCATTACATCAGAAGTATTTAAGTCACGCTGAAAAACGTGGTTGATCGATAACATTGAAAATCATTCGTCCGTGGACGGTTGGCGGACGGCCAATCGACCAGTCATAAATTCAAACTCCGTTTCCTTCTTTGTTTCTCCGAAGTCTTTTCCGATTATACATCTTCGATTAGTCGTCGCTTTCTCTCTGTTCTAGGCCTTCTGCTCTTCTCTGCGTAATCGGAGTACCGTAACACTACCACCATGGCGTTCGCAGGGTTGAAGAAACAAATTAACAAAGCCAATCAGGTGAGTGTTGGTTACTTTTAAATTCCATATTATCCATAAGGGAAACTTGCCGCGTTACACAACGTACTATGCTCACATCATTAAACATTCTGTGATGCCTGCTAAAATCGCAGATAGCGATCAATCGGATATCGGACTTTTTATCATGTTTTACCCTTTGCGGCGACCTTTCGCCGCCGCGATATTTATCAAAAACGCAACGTTCTAAATTAAAATATGATGCTCGACATTTATCTATCCGAGCAACGAGTATTGGCACGTTTAGCGGATCCATTTAATGTCTCGTGGGTCACCATTGGAACGCGTTGGGGGACGAAAGTATCGGTCTGCTGGTTATTAAGCCAAGAGTTGGAAGGGAAAAAGATGAAACTGCCAAGAATGGGGCACAATCGGTGTCCTCCACGAATATCGCGATCCAACTTTTTGACCTGGATTCAGAAGACGTCTGACGGCAATGTCCAACTTCGACCGCAGAAATCATTCTTAATTCATTTCCAAAAAAGTTATTCTTATAAACGTCGCGATGGCATCAAGAGATTAGCCGACCGCGCCGGGCCAGCTCTCTCCGTGAAAGTAATGCAAGTATCGGAGATAATTTCGATGAGGCTTCCTGTGCATTTCACGAGGGGTCGAGCTTAATTCAAAGTTCACCGGCTTTTTAAACGGAATCTAGGAAACGATATTCGAGGTTGCACGAGAGGTGCTTTTAATTCGATTCATAGAAAGACTCGGTATTCGATTCATGGAAATTTATATTCATTTATACGATTACCTTTCTTCGTCCATTCTAATTTGAAAGCATCGATTCATTTTTACTCCGTTGGAATTATTATCGGGGATACAATCGGCAAACGAATCGTTGAAGTACAATCTTTTATAAATGAAACCATTTCTTCTTTAACAAGAGCATGCATACTGATAAGATTAAAAACGAACCGAGTTACAGTAAGTTTGACGAACCGGGGTACGGGTGGTAACGCGTTCGAAGAATATTTAATGCCAGTACGTGTCCCAATAAAGTCGGGTGGGTCGGCGAATAAATTCGAATGAAGCGGCACGTGACATTGCAACTGGCATTATACGGGTGAGATTTACTTTAGGATCCGACGTTAATCGGCGATACTACCCATGTTCCCGCGTGTGCTACCCACTAACTAGCCAGTGGGTCACGTTAAATATGGGTCATGGTCTTCCGAGACTTTCGTCGAATAATCGTGTTGCCTGACTTGTACGATTTTCAACGATCTCATTATTTTATTGTTACCGGCACGCGCAGAATTCACCGCGAACTAATATTTTTTACATCGCGTTAATTAAGTTTCCTAGCGCTCTACCCACGGTCGTCGTTCGCCGCTCGTTATCTCTTGAAGTTCGGTATTCTCGTTGGCAAAATCTCAACAGACGTATCACCCTTAAACCGATTGATTGCAGATATTATTGATCCGAGAAACCTGCCACTGGCATTTTCTCCCCTTTTTCAAACATTTACCCCGTTTCATCCGTATCCAGGTTTTTCTACCCGTAGGGCATCCCGTTTCGTCTTTCAGGATTTACGGGCAATTATCCGACATCGAACAATCGACTTTTACGACGTATGATTTCGTTCGTTAATAACGTTATATTTTGCAGTATATGACGGAGAAGATGGGCGGAGCGGAAGGGACAAAACTCGACGTCGACTTTATGGACATGGAGAGGGTGAGTACTACTACACGTTTTTACATTTGTAAGGTTTCTCAGGTGTTCATCTGCCGTGTCGTTTTTAACCTTGGATCGATCTTCTTATATGAAATTTCCTCACGTTATTTTTTCTCTTATTACTCGGGAATTTTATTACGGAGAATAAATAAAACTTTCGAGGAGTATCCTAGAAAAAGCCTTGCAGCTGGATTGATTCACCAGATGATGTGTGACACCCTTTGATCACAGAAAACCGATGTTACGTACGAGCTGGTGGAGGAGTTACAATTGAAAACGAAAGAATTCCTTCAACCAAACCCAACGGCCAGAGCGAAGATGGCAGCGGTCAAGGGCATAAGCAAACTCAGCGGTCAGGCGAAAGCCTCGACTTATCCCCAGCCCGAGGGTGTTCTCGGCGATTGCATGCTCACTTATGGAAAGAAATTGGGCGAGGACAGTGTTTTTGGTATGTTCCAAGTGTTCGATTCCAGCTCGTAATTAATCGTTGCTCGAGGACCGAGCTTATACAAAACTTTTCAAGTACTTCCTGTGGCTTCTAGTCTCCGGTGAACATTTCCGTTTACTTAAACTAGTACTTTAGTCAATAGCCAACTACATTGCGTGAATTCGACTCATTTATCTTAGGAAATTCCTTTTCGCAGCTCAGGCTCTTATAGAAATGGGCGAGGCGATGAAGCAGATGGCGGACGTGAAATATTCGCTGGACGATAACATTAAACAGAACTTCCTCGAGCCTTTGCATCATCTGCAGACCAAGGACCTGAAAGAAGTGATGGTGAGTTGCCCTCATTTCGGAGTCTCGCGGCTTTTTGGCGAACGCGTGTTCCTTCTTGTTTCCAGCATCACCGGAAAAAGCTTCAGGGACGAAGGTTGGACTTCGACTGCAAGCGAAGACGTCAAGCGAAAGGTACACTTGGCCGCGAACTGACTTTATCTTCTCGCGTCGTTTATTGATTTATCTAAGTACAGCAACGGTCGGAGAGCTGAACACGTCGGGCTCTCGCAGAAAATTGAGCGGACGCGTGCCGTTCACAATTATATATACGTGCATTCGTGTTTCGTTTTAACATTCCAACAAATGTTTCGCGTAAAGAGAATAGAACTGCATTGTACAATTTGAGCATGCGTTCCTCTGTTATCAACATTTAGTTGTTGGTGAACGCGCATGAGATATATATATAGTTGACCGATGTTATCGTCATTTTATTTGTCGTACTCGCGAATCATTCACTGATTTTGCATGCGACCAAAAAATAGATTTCATTTTTTCCGTTTCTTTCTTTGCATTCTTAATCGTTAGCCGCTGGAAAAAGGTCATCCAGTCCACATTTTGGAAGTCCAGCGAAGTCTTCGTCACCGTACACCGGTACGTGACTTCTTCGCGGCCGAACATTATTCCCGTTCTTTGGTTTTTATTTTACGCTTCTTTTGTAGAAAAAAGTTAAATATTTTCTTTTCGTTTAGTTTCATCGTGCGAGGCAACGATTAAATTATTCACCAGTAGACAACGTCCAAGTCGGCATTTGTACATGCTTGCGTATGCGTTTAGATAAGAGAAGAAGAACACTTTAATAACTTTACTTTTACCGATATTTCTTTTTATTTTCTACACAGGTACATATATACATGTACATATATATATGTTGTATATATTGTTATTTACCGAAGTTAGGCATTGATGCAACCCAGTAGTACAGTTTTTAATATCTACCCCGGCGCAAATTTTGCGAGCAGGTTCTCACGTTTCAGACGACGAGATTCGTCAAGCCGAGGAGAAATTCGCGGAGAGTCTACATTTGGCGCAACTCGGCATGTTCAATCTCTTGGAGAACGATGTAATTATAGAATACAAATCACGATCCACTTTAATATTGACGATTCGATAGTAATGAGCTGGTTCGCAGGTAGAACAAGTGGCACAGTTGGCAACTTTCAGCGAGGCTCTCTTGGAGTACCATCAGCAATGTATCGAGGTTCTGAAAACGTTAACGGAAACATTGTTGGAGAAGTACGTATTAAATTATCCGTTACGTGCCTAAAAATCTTTGTTTAACATCGTGATAACGTGCTCGAATACAGAAAAGACGAGGCGGCGTGCAAACCGAAGATGGAGTTCGTCCCGAAGACACTGGCCGATTTACATGTCGACGCGTTACCAACATCGGATGCTATGAATGGTGGGAACTTCTCCCTTTACGGTAAAACAATTTTACACATACACATACGAGGATTGATAACGAATTGTTTGTTCTCTCTCAATTCCTCTTACTCCTGTCATGCAAAATCTTTCTACGTGTCCTGCAACTGTACACTGTGGCCGTGTATACCGTTCTTACTCTTTCTTCGTGCTACACTGGATTTCTTCGTCGTCCCTCTTGCTATCGGACGAACTTTAACAAAACAGTCTTTGGTTCGAAGGAAGAGGTCGTCTTAATTCGTACACGAATCATTTAATTACTACAGCAAACACTAACACACTATACTCGTTGTCTGACTGATCTCTGTGTTATGTATACTCTCGCATATTTGAATGTCTGTCATTCTGACACGATGTAGGGTCAAGTCGAGCCGGGTCTCCGATTCAGGCGGACAGGCGCTCGCAGCTAGAGCTATTCCCATCCGGAAACCCGCCACAATCTGCCAATGGTAAATTTTGCATGCGGCTGGCAACTTCTTTAAATGTAGTCGTGTCCGATCGAACAATTATTCCATTTCGATTCTGTCGCTTTTCATGTAAAACTTGTAACCGATGCAAAAAAAAATAATTGCTGTTTTCCCTTTCCTGTATTTTCCATAGTATCACTCATCCCTTTAGCACATTCGTAATTATCGATGCACGCATGGTACAACGAGGTATTTTTCATTTCTCAGGTACAGTGATTCACTGTATTTTTATAGTCGTTTAACTTCTCCTCATTCTCTTATATTTTATCCACGATTAGATTCACAAAGCAGATGATTAGCGATTCCTGATTTGCGGCTGTCGCAGCAAGCCTAGCATTCCGTTGCTCGGTGTATGAGATTGTTTCGACGCGATCGTGTTTCAGCTTCTCCTTTGCCGTCTCCAAGCAAATCGCCAGCCCGGAGTCCGATGACGAGACAACCATGCTGCACGGCATTGTACGATTTCGAGCCGGAAAACGAAGGAGAACTCGGTTTTAAAGTGAGTAATCAGTTTACGTAATATCTCGATCGAGATTTTAACGCATTTCGTTTTTGTTCTTTTTTTTTCAGGAACACGATACGATCAATTTGATCAAGAAGATTGATGAGAATTGGTTCGAGGGTAGCTTGAATGGTCGCACTGGTTACTTCCCAGTAACATACGTGCAAATCGTAGTGCCATTACCTAATTAAGGGGAGACGCGCAAGCGTCTCGAAACCAAAGAAACAACCTTCGTTCACCGTAACAATTGTCTTACGCTCCAATTAGCCTAAAGAGTTTCTCTTTCAATACTATCGTCTCTATCGAGATCTCTTACGTTACTATTACACGTTAGACTTGTTCGAAACGGATGAATTCCCCTCCGCAAGGTTTTACTCTATTCTCGATCGTTTTTTCGTTTCCCTCTTTCTCTATTGTCTCCGAGAATAGTTCTATACACGCATGTTAATGTACATATATGAAGTTACATTACGATGTCGTTTATCGACGTAAGGACCTTCGCGCGCGTAGCAAACCAGATTACGATATACATACATCCATGTATATGAAGCATAACATTATTCTACAAGTAAGTACACGTATAATCATGTATACAACGGTAGAGACACGTACCACGTTAGCGAGGCTGCGGATACGAGTTTGTATATGTCCGCGAGGAGTGTAATTGCACAGAAGTATAGATAAGTGTAGAGAAGTCGGTTCTATCTATAAGACGTAGAGCGATGTGCATAGGTATCCGCAGTCAGGGGCGAGTTCTCGTATCGAAAAGACAAGAAAAACTATCGTCGCATGTGTCATATGTAATTTGCCGACACACATCGCTCTATGGTTTTTCTCATCGAAAGTTCAATTGCACAAAGTAAGCGGCAAAACTGTATCGAATAACTCTTCCGTTCTAACGAATACTCTTTACCTCAAGTATTTTCCATCCGCTCGATCGGCTTGTTGTTTTTAGTCGAGTCTTCGCTTTTAAGATTTTATTTTAAGCATCGTCGTCCGATGCACGCGGTAGATTTAATCCCCGACGCGTTCAATCATCACAGTTTTACATTCGTGTTTTATTTTTATGTGTTTGTTACAGTTGTTTTTTATATTCGTTTTTACACGCACGGTTCCTGTTGCGTAAGTGAGGGAGAGAATGAGAGTGAGAGAGTGAGAGTGATCTCTTCATCGGAATCATACCCATGTTGTTGCGTTGGTCCGCACGGCGACAGACAGGAGACAAGCCGCATAACTCATAATTATCGTAAGTTAATTACATACGTACACATATTATTATATATTATACATACAT